GGTCGAAATCGTTACATAGAACGGTAAAAAATTATAGGAAAAAAATTGATTTTCCTTAGCCTATTTGTGTTTTGTTATAACTTACAAGTTTACATAAAATAAACACAATAATGGAACACTTCATAGGCCTACTGTCAACATTTTTTGTTACTCGTTATTAACTAAGTTATACGGATATATCCGCTACCTGTCCGCGGATGAGTAGAAAAGCAGCAGATAAACTTATATCCGCCACCCGTCTATGACGATATGACCATCACAACATTAGGCAATAAATAAAGAACAATTGGCTATGTAAACAATAAATTGTTATGTAAAAAGACAATGTAGTGTTGAGCGAAACGTTGAGGGGAGAGCGTAGGAGAGGTGGGTGGTGCGGAGAGTGTAGGCACGGGAAAGAGGGGGGAGTGTGAGAGAGAGCGCAGCCATGGAGAGAGCAGGCAAGTGGTGCCTTGGTACCGCGAAACATCTGGGTACTGCTCAAGCACCTGCCAGTCTGTGTGAAGAGAAGGCGGATATATCTGCTTCCCCCCCGGAACATCAAAAACCATAAGCGGATTTATCCGCCACATGTTGTCCATTATCGCTGAAGACTTAGGCGGATATATCCGTCACCCGTCCGTGAAGGGTTTAAATAGGGGTTCTTAGCTGCCTAAATCGGTTAATAAACGACCACATTTTTTGCCTTTCGGCAACAGCTCAACACACACATGGCAAGGGTCAGGTACAATGGAACCCCTTTAACAATACTATCGATTAGACGTCAACCATCTATGTAGGTACCGAGAACATTTTTTTTTTTTGGGACTAAAACATCTTAGGCCTAATTATATTGGTCGTAATTATATTGATCATGGACATCACGCTAAAATTAAATTTTGTCCACTTCTTATGCTAGGCCTATATAATGTCCTAAATTAAAAAATGATTGTCATTTTCCCCGGAAAAGCACCGTTTCCCCAGAAAATTGGAAAACAACATTTTTGTGGAAATGGGTCATGAGGGTACTCAAATTAACCGGTAGAGTGAGCTGAATAAGAATACCTTATGCAAGAATTTTCAAGATCCGGATATTAACGGAGATACGGACGGAAAAGCGCCGTTTCCACCCTAAAAAAAAAAAAAAACATTTTTGCGTAAATGTGTTAATGAGGGTACCCAAATTAACCGGTACAGTGAGGTAGGTTAGGTTGGGTTAGGTTTTGTTAGCTTAGTGTGGGTTAGGTTAGGTTAGCCTATGTTATGTTATATTATATTATGTTCAGTTAGGTTGGGTTAGGTTATGTTAGGTTGGGTTGGGTTAGGCAATAACTTAAAATAGGTATTGTTAATAACCCAACTCGGGGAAGCGAGCTGGTCTAGTGGGTAGAGCACACGACTTCCCCGGTGTCTGAGGTCCCGGGTTTAAATCCTGCCAAATAGTTTTATTTTATATGTGCGTGTAGTCTTTGTTTTTGTGTCTTTTTTTTCGTATTAAACAACGACGCAGTCTATTCCCTCATCAGAGGGTCAACGACGAAGGCTAATGAATAATGAATGAATAATAACCAATGGATTTTATTAAAGTGATAATGCCGCAACCTCTAGGTCTAGTCTGAAGTAATGTGAAAAACAATTTTGGGCTCGTGCCTAGCGTCCTAGGACAAAAAAAATAAATAAAAAAATCCAACCCAACCTAACCTAATAGAACTTAATCTAACCTAACCTAATCTAACCTAGCCCAACCTAACCTACCCTAACCTATTTTTGGTCATTTTGGCGCTAACTTGATTAACCGACGCTTTTCCGGCCGTATCTCCATTAATATCAATATGATCTGAAAATCTGAAAATTCTTGCATATTTTTGTTCAGCTCACTCTACTGGTTAATTTGAGTACCCTAATCACCCATTTCAACAAAAATGTTGTTTTTCTGTTTTTCGTCTGCTCTCTGTACTCTCCAGTAATGGAAAACATCATCCCCTCAATACTTGGCCAAAAACATTGATGTAACAAGCAACAAAAACATCGGTTACCTACCATTGATGTAAAAAACATCGAACATCGATAGAAAAACATCGAACATTGATAGAAAAACATCGAACATTGATAGAAAACATCGAACATTGATGGAAAAACATTGATGTTTTGAAAACATCGACTATCGATGCTCATCCGTACTCTCGATAAAAGTCACCCTTGATAACGCCATGTAATAAAAAATCCCCTTGAATTTATTTGACCCCTAATCGCAAATCTTGTTAAGAAGTCAACCTTAATAACAAGGGTTATTTAACAATCCCATGGGGTGCAATTCGGCAGAGAACCTGTGATAACTTATATTATCGGTTTAAATAGGCCCATCAATAGCCTATATGCCTAGCAATTATAATTTGATCTGATTTAGCCTATTGCTTCTACAATTTTTTTTCCGATGCAAACATTGAAATTAGTTATTTAACTTAGGTTTTTATTGATGTTTAGTACAATATTAACACGTTCGCTGCTGAGCACTAGATGCCGGGACGGCGCCAGTTGCTGAACTAACGCTCGGCCGCTGCGTGACATTGCCACCGATACACTGAATTACAATAAAAACAACAGTAGTTATACTGGATGGCAATGTTCTGCAATACAACTGGCTTTGGATATAGTACTAAGTGATTCTGATAGATAGCAGCACTACCCAGGTTACAGTCGTTAAAGTAGTATCGCTATCTAGCAGGAAAGAGGTAAAACAAAGCCCTGTTCCAAACGACCCTGGTGGTGATTTGGAAAAACTATATTTTTTATTGTCAGAAAAGTACGTCCCCACGAGCTGCAAAGAAATATAGAACGCTTGTGACGTGCTGGCTTATCCATAGCAACGTTAAACAACAATGAACGGTGACGTTCTGGAACGTTCTTAGCTCCTGGCGCCGTGGCCCGGCTGACGTTCCGGAACGTCCGTAGCAGCGAACGTGTTAAACATTGAATTCTTTGAGTGCAGTACCTTAACCCTTCACGGACAAGTGACGGATACCTATATCCGCCTTTGGCGAAAAAGGACGGGTGGCGGATATATCCGCTTATGGTTTTTGATATTCCGGACGGGAAGCGGATATATCTGCCTTCTCTTCAGACAGACTGGCAGGTGCTTGAGCAGTAACCAGCTGTTTCTCGGTACCAAGGCACCACTTTCCTGCTCTCTTCATGACTACACTCTATCACGCACTCCCCCCTCTTTCCCAGGACATCCCTCTCCCGCGCCTCCCCCTCTCCCGCGCACCTCCCACCTATCCTACGCTCCCCCTCAAGGTTTCGTGCTCAACACTACGTTGTCTTTATTTATTGTTTACATATTGTTCTTTATTGCCTAACGTTGTCATGGTCATGGTCCCGTCCGGGAAGCGTTAAGTTAATGTTGAATTAATATGAAACTAAGTTAACTTATCGATATGATATTCAATAATATACAAAATGAAAATAGGTATATTTTATATACGTTAACAAAACGAACAATACTGTAACCAAAACATATTGATATGAATGGTTACCCGCATATAGAGTGAATAAAATAATAGTTTCTTCCATTTTTAGTCGTAGGAATTTAGAGTAGGCTAAAACCAAGGATTGAAATTTAAACAACTTGATTTAATTTATGTTTTAACTTACCGTAGCGAATTGCACTATATAGGGAAGTGGCTATTACTGTAGGTGGCACAGGCATTGTAAGATCTAGGCCCGGTACGGATTTACTTTTTCATTTTGATGTCTCCAGAGTCCATGAACAATAGGTATTAGTTCAATTCGTTCAAATTTGTCTATATAGGCTATGTACCTATACATGTTTTGGAGAGTAAGTGAATTGTTGAAGTTGGCTTCTTTATAACTTATATTTTGATCAAAAATTTAATGGCAAATCATTTTATTTTTATAGCCTTCTAAGCTATTAATATTTTACACACACTACAACCCTCCTTGTAGCAGCAAACCTAAGTAAGTTAAGTTACTCATTAAACTTAAACTGTTTTTAAAATAGATTTAAGTGAAAATCGAATCAGGCTACTGGAATTTAACTTAGTCATTTGGTATACAAAATTAGGCGGTTTTATTACATAGGTTAAGAATTTTATCCCCTCCACTTGATCATCCTGCCATTAAAAAATGTCTAGCTCAACAGCTGAGGTTTGTCAAAATGACAATCAGCTACATAGGGCCTATATACTAACAAAAAAGAAGTGGGGGAATTTCCCCCTTAAACCACCTAAATTTTGTGAGTATAAAACTTAATTTAATGCAATTATAATATCAAACCAAATTTTAAACTATATTATATTGATATTTAATCCAATAATATATCGTAAGTTCTCTGCGGAACTGTAACCATCGATCACAGCCATGACAGTCTTGTTATCGAGGCTCGCTACAGTAATTACAGGCATTTTCAAAGCTGTTGAATGCGGAAGAAACTGTACCCAGAGTCGGGCTGTGTCAGGTCAGGTAAAACCGTTCTCCTAACTTGGCTGCCGAATTTGGTAGAGACTATCCAGCACAGCAGTGACCCTGACCACTCCTCCTGGACTATTTTCATAGCATTTAGTTGTACAGTGTATTAAAATTGTGTCAGTTTTCAGTTGTAACAGTGACTATTTGTTAGATGGTAAATGTTAAATATACTTTCACAGGGGAGCGAGCTGGTGTAGTGGTTAGAGCGCGGGACTTCGGTCCATGGAGTCCCGGGTTCAAATCCCACTAAATCACCAATGGATTTTATCTAAGTGATAATGCCGCAACCCCTGGGTCTATCCTGAAGTAATGTGAAAAACGATCCCGGGCTCTTGCCTAGCGTCCTAGGACAAAAAAAAATAATCACAAATTGAGTGGTTTGGACGAGTCCGTATATATGTGGACTGTGGAGAGCAAACAGCTGTTTATATAGGACTCCAACACTCCATGCATATTTGAATCAATTTATTTTCAACGGTTCTTTCTGAGAATAGTCCTATGAAATTTGTTTAACTCTTCCCGTGTTTTTACAGGTTCGGCTGAACCGCCCTTGAGTCCAGGAAAACTTAGGCTTTATGGAATGAGGTTTTGTCCATATGATCACCGAGTGCATCTAGTACTATTGGCAAAGAACATACTGTAAGTACTGTCATCGCATGCACTTTGAATAATATTAGGTCTAATTAATAAATGTTAGCTAGGCCTACCTAAGCCTGTCAAGAGAGTGATTACATTGAAACTTACACACAGTTTTTGATACCATTTGCTTGTTTGACACCTTGATTTTTTATCTCTATCCTAAAAACAAAAACAGTTGCATTGCACCTTAAAAACAAATATTGATTTTAGAAACAAAACTCAACTGTGAACAACTTAGCTATCATACTATAATCCCCTTTGTTTAATTTAAGCAACCTTTAAAGCAAAATATTAAAATAAAACAAACTGATAACAATATCTTAATATATAAAAGAAAGTTGTGTTAGTTACAGCGTTTATAACTAGAAAACTACTGAACCAATTGGCATGAAAATTTACAGGGATATTCCTTAGGTACTAGAATAACATAATAGCCTGTTTCCGTTTCAAAAACCCTTAAGGGAAGTGTCCTACGGCCCTTTGCAGTTTACATGTTAATCTTATGGAAGAATGTTTTATTTTGTTTACCATGCCATGATTGTCATTTCTTGATTAAATTAAACTAGTGGTCGTCCTGTGGTCGAAACTCGACCAAAAATAATTGTACAGACTACTATATTTTCTCCCCACTGAGCCGTGACTTGTCCACCAAGCGTCCCACCAATGTCACGCCTCAGTGTTTTTTGTATGGTGCGAGGGGTCGGCTCAGATGGTAGCAGAGCGTGGTTTTTTGTGCTCTATCCACGAAGGGCCGTGGTTGGATTTGATTTTTGGGTGATGCTGGTCTGGCAGTCTTAGGAATTTTTTGAAGAAATGTTGTCGTGGTGGGGTAAGCACACTGTTGAAGTTTTTTATTAGGAGCTCGCCCTTGGCCGAGTCACCGGGTGGAATCTGGTTAATGACTTGCATCCTTTGGGAGCAAGAGTGTCTAAAGCATGGCCAAACCCAAAATTGAAACTGTGTGTGTGTGTGTGTTTACCTCATCACACAAATGTTAGGTGTTGTCGTTTAGTGTATGTATGTATGTGTGTATGTGGTGAGTGTAAGCCCGTGTTTTTGTTTTGGTGGCTTAGGCGGTGTGTATGGGCAGGTTCTTCTGTTTGGGACCTCATCTGACTGTAGGCATTTCAGTCCAGAGCCTTTAGTTAGTTAAGTTTGTGAATTGTTTGTTGTAAAATTTGTTTGTGTGTGTTTTGAAAGTAGGCCGACTGACTGAGAACAAAATGGGTTTGTTTGCTCCACTGCCCAATCCCATTGCTGGGGTTTTGAGCGACATTCGCCCAGTTGATGGTTTAGAGGTGGAACCTTTGTTAGAGTTTTTGGGAAAGGTGTTGCACCTGAAGGAGTTCCCAGGCATGGAGGACTCAGTAGTGTTGGAACTGCTGGTTCCACTCTGCCTGAGACCTCTTGGTGACAAATTGTTAGATTGTTTGAAACGGGGAGTAAATTTTGACAATTTTCACAGTGAAGTGCTTGAGCTCTTTGTCCCCTTCAGGGTCATGGAGAGATTGAAGGTTGAGAGAGTGTTTCGACCTCAAAAATTGGATGAAACTCTCAGTCAGTATGTGGGTGACATTCGTGGCGTGTGGCGTGTCCTACGGCTGGGTATCCCTGAAAACCAACTGGTGGACATTGTCTTGCAGGGGTTGAAGCCTGAGGAGCGGTCCAGACTGATTTTTGCTCCAAAGCCTTCTTCTTTTGCAGACCTGGATAGGTTGGTCATCCTTTCCAGTTTGCCTAAACCGCCCTGTGAGAAAGCTGTTTTGGAGAAAGTCAGCAGGAATTTGGTTTCTCTGAGTACTGCCCCTTCTGGGAGTGCTGGTTTTGGGGAGCCTCTGTCGCGGGGAATGAAGGAGCTTGCATGCATGGGAGTGAAAGCGGCGCGCTCAACTTGCCCACGACTCAACATCTTCTTAGGTAAAACGGTGCAGAAGGCCCTTGTGGATTCTGGGTCAGCCCGTTGTCTCATTTCCCTTTCCCTGTTTGAAAATCTAAAATCTTCTGGGCTAATCAAGCAAGTTGAGCGAAGTACCCACATCTGCTGGACTGCATCAAAATCCCCACTTCCTATCATCTATGAAGCCCGTTTGAAATTCAAGATTGAACATTTTTCTTGGGTTTGGAGTTTTTGGGTAGCCAAGGACCTTTGCATTCCTGTCATTTTGGGAGCGGATTTCATCAAGCATTGTGGCCTGATTTTGGATTTAGGCAGAGGCCAGTGCTTCTTTCGTTTCGCAAGACGGGTGCTCATTCCTTTCGCGGATGAAATTGTGGATGGTGCAGCTGTGGTAGAGCCTGAGACACCCAGCAAACCAAAAGTTGATCCATTAGGGCATCTGACTCCTGGTGAGGCTGAAGCTATCAGAACATTGTGTTCTCGTTTTCCTGAGGTGCTGACGCCAAAGCTTGGAGTCACAAATCTTTTGGAGTACGAAATCCGTTTGACTGACACCCGTCCTGTTCGTTCTCATCCTTACAAACTTGCTCCACCCAAGATGGATACACTCCGTGGAATCATCAATGAGCTTCTTGAAAATGGGGTAATTGAGCCTTCTCGCTCAAGTTACGCTAGTCCAGCTTTTCTAGTTCCAAAGCCAAATGGCAAGTCTCGAATGGTTCTAGATTATCGCAAGTTGAATGCTCAGATTGAAATTGACTCTGTCCCTCTCCCTGATTTGCACTCTGCGTTCGATTGGTTCGGTAAGGCCAAGTATTTTTCCATCTTTGATTTGAACCAGGCTTACCATCAGATTCCTTTGAAACCTGAATCTCGGCCTCTCACTGCTTTCTGCGTTCCGTGGAACTTGTACCAGTTCACACGTGTACCCATGGGCCTAGCTGTGGGGGCCCAGACCCTCACCAGACTTCTGGACTCCATCTTCCATGACGTCAAGTTCAAATTTGTGTTCAACTATCTTGACGATCTTTTGGTGTACAGTGAGAGCTTTGAAGACCATCTGGTTCATCTTGAGGAAGTCATGAATAGGTTGCTTAGGGCTGGCCTTACCGTAAATCCCGAGAAAGTTAGTTTTGCTCAGGCTGAGATTTCTTTCCTAGGTCATCTAGTATCATCTCGAGGTGTCTGTATCGATCCGGCTAGAACCCAGGCTATCAGGGATTTTCCTCCTCCCAGAGATGTCAAAGGCATTGCCCGTTTCATCGGCATGGTGGGTTTCTACCGGCGCTTCATCCCCAATGTGGCTGAGTTGGCGGCTCCTCTCAATGAGATTCGGAAGAAGGGCGCCAAGTTTGTTTGGGGTGAAGCACAACAGATGTCTTTTGATCTTCTGAAAGAAGCTATCATGCAACCTCCAGTTTTGGCGATGCCAGATTTCAGTCAAAAGTTTGTTTTGCAAACCGATGCTTCCTCCGTCGCCATTGCGGCTGTGTTGTCTCAAGAGGTAGATGGTGTTAGGCAGCCAATTGCGTATGCCTCACGCACTTTGAACCCATGCGAAAAGAAAAGCTCTTCTGTGTATGAGTTAGAGTGTTTGGCTGTCGTGTTTGGAGTGAATAAGTTCAGACGTTTTTTGGAACACAAAGAGTTTTTGCTGGAAACCGACAACCAAGCACTCTCGTGGCTCCTTGCACATCCTCGCCAGCTTGGGAAAATTGGTCGTTGGGTGGTCCAATTATCTTCCCTCAAATTCCAAGTGCAACATGTTCGAGGCACGCAGAATGTGATTGCTGACACTTTATCAAGGATGTATCACTCACCTGACGACCAACCTTCTGATCAGGAGGAGCACACTGGGTGTGCCGTGCTCCTGGAGTTTCCCCTTGCCTTTTCTGAGTTCATCCCACATCAGTTAAAAGATCCCGAGCTGGCTAAGATCATTGGTGAGCTTCAAAATGGGGGAGCCCACCCCCCATATTTTCTGTCCCAGGGTGCTCTTTGTTGTCGAGACCGACAGCGAGGTAAACCCAAGGTTGTGCTGCCTAGTCTTCTTGTACCCATGGTCTTTGCGTACTTTCACTCTTCCCCTGTGGGTGGGCACTTAGGGATTCACAAGACCATTGCGAAGGTTAGGGACATGTTCATCTGGAAGGGTATGGACAGGGACATTGCGGCACGAGTGCGTTCTTGTCAAACATGCTCGCTAAGCAAGCCTGCTCAGAATACCAAGTATGGGTTGTTGTCATCTGAGGTGGCGGAGAGACCTTTGGAGAAGGTTTTCATAGACTATGTAGGGCCACTCCCACGTAGCAAGTCAGGAAACAAATTCTTGCTTGTTTGTGTGGATGCCTTCTCCAAGTTTTGTTGGCTTTTTCCTTTGAGGAACGCCACTGCACAGCTCACCGTGCAGGCACTTCGTACCCATTTGTTCCAACACTTTGGAATACCCGCCACCATTGTTTCCGACAACGGAACTCAGTTCGTGTCTCACCTTTTCAAAAGAATGTGCTTTGGGCACGGTATCCGCCATGTGACCACTTCTCCTTACTATCCACAGCCTTCCCATGCTGAGAGGTTCAACAGAAATCTTCGATCCGCTCTCATAGCTTTTCATGCTGACAAGCAGACCACCTGGGATCAGGAACTTCCTTGGATTCAATTTGCTTTCAATACTGCACACCATGAGAGTCACAAGGCGGTCCCTTTCGAGCTGTTGTTGGGCTATCCACCCAATAATCCTTTGGCAAATGTGTGGAAAATTGGCGACCTTCTGCCACCCCCTGGTGCTGCCAATGTCAAGGCAACTTGGCAGGCGGCTAGGAGGAACTTGATCCGAGCTAGGGAATTGGTACGGAGGAAGCACAATCGAGGTCGGTTGGACAATCCTTTCCAGGTGGGGGATTTGGTTTTCTGCAAGGCTCATCCGGTCAGTTCGGCCGTGGACAAGAGAGCCGCAAAGTTGTCTCATCGGTGGTCAGGTCCCCACCGAATCTTGAAGTTCTTGACTCCTGTCTCCGTGCGGCTGGGAAATCCGCAGACTGGAGAAGTTTTCCGGAGGGCTCACATTTCTCATCTGAAGCCTTTCCGGGGAACAATTCCGTAGGTCATCTTTCTTTACTCTTGTGTCTGAGTGGGAAGTGCACTGGGCCAGAGAGCTTGATCACCTCTTCTGTCCCTTGTGCGCTGCTGAAGATTTTTCCCTAGTAAATTTTCCAGCACTGGCCAGTGCAAACCCTGGGGGTGAGTAGTCCCTCCAGTTGAAAGTTTTTGGCGTTCCCCACTTCAGACACTTGAGTTGATCTGTGGTGTTGAGATCTTCTGGAATTGGGAGAGGTTGTTTTCTTTTTTTTTGGAGAGGAAGTCCTCCTTTGGGGGGGGAGGTTGAGCCGTGACTTGTCCACCAAGCGTCCCACCAATGTCACGCCTCAGTGTTTTTTGTATGGTGCGAGGGGTCGGCTCACCACACTGTAAATGAAAACATGTGATTGGGATTTCCTCCAATTGTTTTGATTTTCTGTTTACATTTTGTTGTTATTTCGTCACCATCATGGCAACCCAGTTGGTCCATGTTAATTTTTTGAAGTTTTCAAATTCGTTTTTTGTGCTTATTTTTTAGCCTATTTTAATTTATAAAGGAATTCTGCACATCTACAGGCAAATATCTTTCTAACAGTATGCGTAGATTTTCCCTGCGATGCACACGAGCTGAGAAAAAAGGTTTTAAAGAAACATGCTTGCCTATTAATATATAGATTAAGGAAACAGCTGTTGTAATGATAACCTAATTTTTAAAAACAAATCTATGCATAACAAATGAGAGCTATCAAATAGGTTTCTATTCCATTTGTTTTTTACAAATATTTGTTGTCAAATGTAACCGAAGGCAAGTGAGCGCAGCGAACGAGCTCCAACCTAAAGGTGAGTGAGCGTAGGGAACGAACTTCAACCAGGACGTGATTGAGCCATGCGAACGAGCTCATCTTGAAAATGAACGAGCATTTGACATAAAACCACATTAGGACAGGACGACGTCTGTCGGGCCAGCTAGTAATAATATATAATAACATTAACCATTGTTATAAACAAATTAGGCAGGCAAGATGAATATGAAAGTTAGACATTACAACATATTCCCAACTTGCATATTCCTTGCCCCTTGTTACATTTCATGAGCTTGTCTTTATTGAGAGCCTTAGTCAGAGAATCAGCCACCATACTAGTTGTGGGTGTGTTAACAAACTTAACTTTCTTCATTTAAACTTTTTTACGTATAAAATGATGACGAACATCAATGTGTTTTGTTCTTGACTGATAAGCACTCTTCATAGCTGCTGAGGTTCTTTGCTGCTTGATTGTCCCCATATATTGTGATAGAATTCGATAATGAGATTATTTCATTAGACAATCCCTTATTCTTAAGCCATAGCTTCTTGAGTGGCTGCTGACCATGTACTCAGCCTCAGTTGTTGACAAAGCTATTGTAGGCTGCCTTATTGTACACTAGGCAATAGCACCTTTACATTTAACAAAAACATAGAAACATAGTTGATCTTCTATCGTCAGAGTCACTAGCCCAGTCCTAATCACTATAACCAATTATATCTTAATTTTTGTTGCCATCAAACGTTATACCTTTGTACAACGTTCCTTTCAAGTATCAAAGAATTCTTTTTATTGCTTCCCAGTGAGGCACTAGGATTCTTGTTGAACCTACTCACACAGCTGACGGCATATGAAAGATCTGGTTGTGAAACTTGAGCAGCAAATAATAAACTTCCAACTGCTTCTTGATAGGGTACATTCCTTATTTTTTCCGCTTCTTCCACCCTTTTGGGTGATTGCTCTTTAGAAAGTCTTTCTCCAACATTTATTGGAATAGAAACAGGGTTGCATTGATTTAATCGTTTCAGTACACTTTCAAGATAGGCTCATTGATTGATGAACATCTTGTTTTTCCTATCCAGGGTTATTCTAAATCCCAGAATAAACTTTGCTGTCCCCATATCTTTTATTTTGAATTCTTTCATTAGTCGTGACTTAAGGATTTTCTTTGAGATGTTTATCATTGTGAAAAATTAGCAAATAGTCCACCCAGGCTGCTACGATTAACATCCTCCCATTTTTAACCATATGGTAAACGCAGGAATCAAAGTTTGCTGAGCCCCTCCATAGTTTATGGTAAAGAAATGTTAGATATTTTGTTCATTTCTCAATTATTTTTGGCTTGATTTGATGTTTTACCGTTTAAAAACAACTATTACTGTGCTGATCATCTCCCAACATTGCCGCTAAAGAAATTTTAATCTTTTGTTCTAAAAAAAAGTTTACTTAATCTTCCCTTAGTTAAAAGGTATATACAAATCTTATTTTAATTACTCGATAAACCTCTCAATGGTTTGAGTAAAAGCCTTATACTTTTTCTAAATATTGTCATTTGGATTGTTTGCCTACTTGGGAGGATAACTTAGAGTTATCATTGTGTGTTATGATTGGTACCTGATATAATCATCTTTTCCAGACATGATGTTGTGTGGATCAATTTAAAGAACAAGCCGGAATGGTACGTGAAAAAAATCCCAACAGCTAAAGTACCTGCGTTGGCCATCGGAGAGAAATGTCTGTGGGAGAGTCTGATCATCGCTGACTATCTAGACGAACAATACACGGAGAGACCTCTGCATAGCAGCAACACACTTCAGAAAGCCAAGGATAGAATTCTGATTGAGTCTTTTGGACCGGTAAATCTTACCATTCATAACCTACAAGACAATACACTGTATTTATGTTTATGTGTTAAACATTTTATGTAGTTGGTCTTTTATAGCTGGGTTGTTGAGTGAATGGTCGCCTGGTAATCAACAGGTCGCCAATTTGATCCTGTGAAAACTTAGTAGCCTTTAACACGTTCCCTACCGACCGTCACACTCCTCTGTAACTGAGGGATGAGTATAGTTGGTAGCTAATGTGTTAATGGTTCAAAACTAGACCAGCTGTCCTTGATAATTGGGCTTTTAGAAATCATCCTGATTAAAAACCAGCTGATCTTAGTTAGTAACAAAGCTTCAAAAGGCATTTCACCAAGGCCACACTAAAAAACAGGCCGTAATGCTCGTCAAGCATGACGTCACGATAGAAGACGGCAATGTCGTAATGTTTACCGTTTGTGATCTGCTGCTTGTTTTAATCATTCCTTGGGAAATAAATACCTACGTCATTGCCGTCTTCTATCGTGACGTCATGCTTTACGAGCATTACGGCCTGTTTTTTTTAAATTTGGCCTTGCATTTCACTTTATTTTACAATCTACACTTATCTTTAATTCATATTTGGGTTAAAATCTATGCACCTAGGTGGTGTCCCATGTCTATTGGTAATATAATAATACTAATACACCTGTTGCTCGAATTTGAGCAATTGCAAAGTATTACAGGCGTTATTTCAAAACGAACAAAAGTCATAATTTCCTATCACTTAAAAGAGTCGACTAAAAGATAATGTCATCAATCACTCCACTCCAGTTATCAAAACTGAAAACAAACTCACTCTGAAAACAAACACTCTTGTGTTTATCATGTGTTTACTATGAACAGATGTAATTAATACAAACTATTCTTCCCTTTGAGTAAACAAAATCCTTTCTTCATAAAAAATACATTGTGATTTTGATGGCCTGTGGGGCAAAGCCCGAGGAATTTTATTACAGGAATTGGTGAAAGGGGGCGTCTATACAAAAAATACTTAATTTTGACACATCGTTTGTAAAAATCCATCCATTATTAACAGAGGAGTAGTTTTTTATAGAAATCACCTTCACGTTTATAAGGATTATAGCTGGTCCATTTCTAGCCCAAACCAAAAAGGGCCTTACCAAATCAGAGGTTACAACATTGTGTTGGTAGCCTGATGGTTAGCGTCACAGACTTCAGTGCGGGGGGAGGGATGGTTTGGGTTTGGTTCCCAGGAAATCCATAAAACTTAAAGGGGATTGGACCACTTTCCCTTGAAAGTGTTTGAAATTTACTTAATTGGAAAATGCCGTACCGGTGTAGACACAAGAAAAAAAAAAGATAAAAGAGTAAATATTTTAAAAAAACCACACATGTGATGTGAAAAATATCAATCACCGTTGTTCTATCTACACACGACCACAACCCCTCAATAGGGGTACTCAAGCTAGTGTTAGACCCGACACATTGTGAACTTTGGTTTTAATAATCAGGGATAAGAAATATCCAGAATAATCATTTGAACAACATTAACACACTGCCATCAAAAGTAAAACTCAAAAATCGTTCAATAAATACAAACTTTTAGGAAAAAGAGTTTTATTCAAATGTATATGATATGCAAGGTCGTAATAATGTATGCCTTATTTTATTTGTGTTTGTTAGATTCATGATTTAGATGTCAAGTTTTATGTTATGTTATACAGATATCGGGGGCATTCTACAAATTTATCATGACAAAGCCAACTCCAACCACTGAAGAGTTTGAGGTTGTTGTTCGTGAAGTAAAAGTATTTGATCTGGAGCTGGCTAACCGGGGGACACCTTTCTTTGGAGGTACTGTTTTATTTTTCATAAAATTAAACATGGCAATACCTGTATCACAATTAAATTTTAAACCGTTATAAAGAAAGCTGTTCAGTGTTCAGCGTCACTGGAGTTTTTAAAGCAAATTCTTGAAAAAATTATACTCCACGCGGTGAAGCCCTAAAGGAAATTACCTTTTTCGTCATACAGTAGACTCCCTCTAGTTCGGCCACCTCGGGACCGGACCACTGGCCGAACTACAAAACGTCCGGACTAACCGGTTGTAGTGCATTTTACATAATCAAAATACAAATAATAGTATTGCGCAATCAAGATATGTTAAGTCAATAACCTTGGTACAGTAATAAAAACTGTAACGTTAAAATCACGCTTACTCAAGCAAAACAAAAACTACACAACACTGAACGTACAGCAATAAATCACGTAAAGAACAGAAAAATTGAAAGTCTAGTACTGCAAGCTACTGCTACCGTAGTCAGCATAGGCTACTACTACATGTTGTTTCAGAACATAAGAAAGTCGATGAAAACATTAGACAACTAGTCTTAAAGATAATAACGACAGTCGTCAAATGAGATAAAGATAACAATAGATGACGTAAAACACTGCTTATTCTTTCTTCTTTGTTCTTCTATTCTTTCTTTGGTTTCTCTTCATCCACACATTCAACAAGTTGCCATGGTTACTAATCACCCAATCTTAAACTGTTTTGTGAGATAGCAAACAAGTGCACAGCAGACATCAGTTGTGTAAAGAACAGATGATTGTCAGTGCAAGCGGATAGCTTGACCTTTTGAAGCTAACGATGGCTATTTCTTTGTTTTGCTTTAATTTATTTTTGTCAAATAAACTGTGGTGTTTCAAAAATAATAATGGGGGAACCTACCGCATAAAAAAATGGTCCGAAATATTTAGTTATACACTGCATTTCAACTTATTAGACCGAAGAAAAACTATTTATAAAATGTTCTCGGTATTTTTGAGGTTATGTAACATAGTTTTAGTTTTACATAGGTAATATGCAACAATTCACCCATAGAAGCACCCGTCAACTAAACTGACATGAATTGTTTACTTCTATGGCCGGAAACTAAAAATTCAAGTTAAATCCTGTCGAAGGCAATTCACCCGTGACGATGTGACTTGTCCCCCTGAGACCAGGCCGGACCATCCGGCGGCCGATCCAACCGAAGCCGAACTAGAGGGAGTCTACTGTACTGAAGCAAAAACAGATATGTTCATTATATGCATTACGGGTATAAAGTAGCTCTTTTTCTCGCTAAGGGGTAAAAATCTCTTTTACTCCATAGGGAGTAAGAATCTGATGGAAACTATGAAGTCAGTGGTATAATTCACTTCAATTGTAAATCACCATTGCATCGAAAGTATCGATTGTTTTCACTTGATTGTAGTTCATTGTTCCCTTGTTCTCAACTAGATTTAAATTTGTTTACGTTAAATCTAAGAAGATGGAATACACGGGAAGATAGTTTATAGCACTGAAAGCCCAAGAAATTTGAGTTAACTATTGATGTATCAATAGTTAAAAATAGATATCTATCGATAGACACGCCTAATCGTAATAGACAAAATTGTTTATTACCTTACCGAACAACTGATTGTTGTTCACAATTGTAAAATTAAGAACAAGACGGAAGCCATTTTGGAGCTTTCCATGAAAAGTATTTTTTTTTTTAAATAACTTCTTGATCAGCGTTGTACATGTTATTAAATTTACGGAAAGTAAATCAAAGAAACGTCTTATAACACTTAAATAAAACATAAATTTACGCTTATACTGTTACTCACAAGACGGTAAATATACAAAAAATATGGTAAGTGGTGATCGACTTTGATTGGACACTCCAATCATCATCAGACCCAATAGGCGAATGACAAGAATCTTGAATGGGGTCCCTACTAGGGTATAAGTAGGACTTATGGTCAAAAAACACTTTTTACCTTCCCCGTAGCAGCAAACCTAAGCACTCGTTAAATCTAATGTTATTTAAATAGGGAATAAATATGTCTTATTTATGGAAATATTTTAGTAAAAATGTAATCAGACAAGTTGAAATTCGCTTACTCTGCAGGTTTGCTGTGGCGGGGGTATTTGTATTTAGTACATAGAAGAAGATAATGGCAATATTACCGTATGGTAAGCAATATTTTTCTTACAAGAAATTTAAAACCTTTTCACAATCCAGCTAATGATTGGCAAGTTACAGTGTCCATTACAATCTAGTGGCATTTGGTATGCTGTAAAACAAGTTCTGTAATGCTTTATGCAAGAACAAGACTAGCATATCAGGAAACATTTCAAGATTTAAAGTCAAATGTCCACTGAATCATATCTGATCTAATATTATAAAATCTTTTTAAGTTGTAAGTTTAACTGACATTTGCAACATTTCAATACAGGTTCTCAGCCAGGAATGGTGGACTACATGATCTGGCCGTGGTTTGAGCGATTTGGAGCAGCGAAAATTGTATTCGGCGAACAATTTGATATGACTTCAAAATACCAAGCTGAAATTCCTCACATTGTAAGTTGAAGAAACAATTTTATTCAGTAGAACTTTACTGAAATAAAAAAAAAGTAGTATAGTATAAATAAACATTTAAGAAACTTGCGGTAACGAAGAATAAATTTAAATAACATGATCATCGTCATTGTCAATAAATAAAAATAGCCTAAGACATTTATTTGTACTTCATGTTGTTAGCCTCCGGATCACTGGTAATAATAAATAATAGTTTAAATACCTTATACTGTCAAGTGATTGGGGAGCGAGCTGGCGTAGTGGTTAGAGCGCGGGACTTCAGTCCCTGAGGTCCCGGGTTCGATCCCCGCCAAGTCACCAATGGATTTTATCTAAGTGATAATGCCGCAACCCCTAGGTCTAGCCTGAAGTAATGTGAAAAACAATCCCAGGCTCGTGCCTAGCGTCCTTAGGACAAAAAAAAAAAAAAAAAAAAAAAAAACTGTCAAGTGATCCTTTGTAGTCCAAATTCGGACGACAAAGGATGATTTACATAGATAAATTTACAACATTAAATTGGCCTATACACTGTTGAAAAATCATGATTTTTTTTATTTAAAAGCTAAAATTAGGCTAAGCTTGATGACTTAATTTCAAAATTTTAAAAATTATCCAATGTATTTAAGGAATTATATCCATTATGTAAGGAATTATAAAGGATTCAATTCTAATTATACTTTTTGCCTACTGAGAATTTTTTGTACGTCTGACATCAGTATCTTTTTTTTATGTTGATGTTTCCATATTCATCCCCAAATCCTTTTAAATACATCTTTCTGCAACTTAACCCTGACTTCATGAAAAACATACCACCATGCTAAGTTTGAGTTAGTATGGTTCTAATTCCACATTTTAGTTCCTGGGCAATATGTCACATAAAAATGTACACTTTTATGTCATATAAAGGTGTGCAGAGTTTATTTTTCCTGGTGTAACCCATTTAAAGGTTAAGAGGGTGTATCCATACTTTTTGTCTAACCCTGTATAAAATAACATTTAAATGTTAATTTATACATTATGAATTCTCCCTCTGAATGCTATTTACTGTACTGTTATCAGGTTCCTTGGGTTGACAAAATGCTTAAGGATCAAGTTGTACAGAAACATTTATTGGATTTTTCAAAACATTCAATGTTTATCAAGAGCTTTGTTTCTGGGGAGCCTGATTATACCATCCCAACTTAGGAAAGAATAATGTAAGATATCTCATTTCATTACCAAACATTTTCATTGTGTTTAAATTTGTGTTTTATGTAACTTTGATTAAACCCTAAATATTCACACTGCAATAATAATCTATTTACCAATCTTATGCTTATTTGAAAACAAAAGTATTTACTCAAAATAAGTCCTATCTGCATACTTCTATCTTACGTTTTACTGCATATTTAATACATTTTTCCGAATACTCTTGAGTCTAGTTAATACAAACTTATTGAAAGGTAATTTAAATATTGCGATAATCAGGGGTGTTTGGGGGGAGGAAGACCACTAGGGGTGTGCGATGCAGCAATTTTTTTTCGATTCAATGCAGCAATTCTTCAAAGAACTTCAATTCGAATCAATGCGATTCGGTGCAGTGTGCCATGACTTTCTTTCAATATTATTTACAGCGTGCGTTTCTGTAACGGATCATTTACCTTGAAATATACTAAATAAAATGTTTTATGAACAAGAGGATAGTTGCTGACCTAACCTCCTGCTGATGGACAAAGCTAATTTTATTTTTAGCCTAAGAAAATTCAGACTTCACTAACAATTAGAATAAACATATACCAAAGCAATTTTTATTATTATTGACCTGTATTAAATGTTCAAAATGTTCATTTAAATTCCAGATGCTATCTAGTTTTACTCTGACGTAACCTTAAGATTTGCAGATTTTTTAAAGTTAACTCTTTTAAGAGTGCTAGTCATAGTCTATCGGAACATGTTGTTTTAAAACAGAGGCATGTGGGTGATAATAACCTACTAGTTTTAAACAAATCAAATTGAAACCAATAAAACATTAGATGACAGTTAGGACTAGATAAAAATAAAAACCTGTTTTTGGGCTGGGGGGACTCAAATGTACAAGATCCTCAAAATTCAAGCATAATTTAAATAGGTGACAGCACTGAATTTACTATATAATGTTTACCTATTGGTAATGTTGGGAAAATTTATTTCTATCATTACATACATACATATCCTCTCCCGTTCCGGTTATTTCTTGAGTCTGGGTGATGACTAGGCCTCTCCATCTTCTTCTGTCCCTCCACAAAATTCCTCTTCCTCCACATACTCCATGATTTCCATAATTATGTGAATGAATTAGAGAACTTGAGTCAAACACACAAACCATGTGTTTGGTCAATACGCTGGTCTCTTGATATGCATTGGCTATCTACTTTTGGAGTTTCACTTAAACTAAACAAGCATTTAAATAAATTCTAAAAATAGTCTAAATTTCAGCTTCCAAGTGATCTATTTAAAAATATTTAAAAACTCTCTTCTTTTTATACTAGGTTTAAAAGTCCGATGTTTACTTTTTTTAGGTCTCTTGGATGAATTCTATGAAGGAAGACAGAGCTGTAAAAGAATACGCTTTATCACCAGAAACACATGCAAGATACATGAAGGGTTATATGGCTGGAAATAGTGACTACAACATGGAGATTTAAACACTTAAGGTTCTCTAGCATTTCTGATTTGATCATGACAAATGCGACAGACAGTATTAACAGGTTATGGGGGTTTTTTGTCCACAAGAAGTGATCGCATAGTCCATTTTCATTTATGTTCGGATAAAGATTTAAGTTTTTGCAGTAGTTTTCAATTGTGCCAAGAGATCATTGGTAATTTTGAATTCTATTCATAAAGTGCCACATGAATAGAAAGATAGTTGCAGCCAAGTTTCAACTGAAAGATCATCCAACCAAGCTGCTAAAAATATTCAAATAGAACTATGAGTAAACACTAAATACTCAAACCAAAGAAAAACTCAAACTGTTGAAACTCCAGGAATATACTTTGATTTATTGGTTTTGTATATAAGGATATTCAAAAATTAAAAACAATTTTTGTTGAACTAATTTTAGGGCAAGTGCACCAGTGAATGACCATTTTGTATGGACCTCAAAATAAACTTTTTGTTTTGCTTAGTCGTAAAAGTAACATTGGAGCCTTATTGGGTCCACCCAGTTACCAGTTCAAGGAAAGTGTCAATCATCCTTTGTAAAATAATAGCTATTTACCTTACAAGTGTAGTAAGAGCGTTTTTACATCACGCAGGTGAAGGTTGCGGAAGCGAGTTGCATAATTTACCTAAGTGATGTAAACACGCTCTTGCGTAACGTGTAACGTACAAGATTTTACCTGACCCGACAATATACAGGAGGTTACGAACAATATTAATCATTATCCATTTCACTCATCTTCTAACAGTAACGTTAATTTACAAACAAAAGCTAGGTTAGGAAAATTTTTCAAAACATAACAATAAAATTCAAGAGCACAGCTGATTTCTAGCGTTGAACGTCGTTGGCTCCATAGAGGTATATTTTTTAAGTTTTTTTTTTTTTTTTTTTTTTTTTTGTTGTGGAAGTTGTATACATCCCGCTTGGGATAGCGAAGCTTAACATGGCGGGTTAGGTAAACAAAATTAAATGTTCCTATCACTTTCTCTTCAAGCTTCTCACTATAGTGTCTCGCACAAGCAAGATTGGTTGTATTTGATCTGGCTCTTTGATTATTGATGAAAGCATTGGACACTGCAATATATTATATGTAATTTCATAGTTAAAATGTTAATGTACAATTCAATACTCATTTTATAATAAAAATCCTTACCAATAATTATTTAAACAGCCGGTCATTTACTGGAGCACATCTTTGGAATTAATGAATTACTGTTTTGGTAATTAACTAGATTTGGATAAATTTGTATTCAATGTTTTGGAAAAGATTTTTTCATGTTGGTTTGGTTACCAATAAATTTATGCTTGTATATTTTTATACTCTATTTATGTTTAATGAAATAAATATTTTTATAGAAGGTGTTAACTAATGTGAAATAACTTTCCTCAACCCTGCATTACTATACTAACTCAACCCTTAAAGAATTCTTTATTGAATCTGTAGTACTAGTAAAACATAATAATTAATTGTAGATTGGTGCTTAATTTTGAAAAAAATTGTTACCAGACATTTGTTTTTTACAAGTTGTCAAATACAGCTAAATCCCACAGATAAAACTAGATAAGTCACAACTCACACGTCTCTTCTTGCATAAAAACATCCTTCATTGCCGCTTTGGTCAATAGATAAATTAAAAATAACTAAAACTAATAAGTTATAACAACAAAATAATAACAGGGACAGTAAAATTGAGAGAAAATTACAAATTTATCTAATTGGTCTGCCTGTGCCTCCCCACAGGGAAAGAACACAAGAGAAGATTACGGTGATTCTTCACTGCCTCGTCCAATGCAAACTGCTGGATGATGGTTCTTAGTATAATTTTTTTTCCATTTTCATATCGCAAGAAAAAGACCCCCCCCCCCTGTATATATGTATACAGGCACTCTATTTTCAGCCCAACACTCACAGTTCCTTCATAGTGTTCCAAACCATGGAGACCACCACCCTTTTGGCCTTTTGGCACCATGGTGGACAATGGAGTGCCAAAATATTTTAACTAACTGTTGTACATTTACGTTGTTTTGTTGTGAATTTAAAAAAATATATTGACGTAAGTTGTGTTTTAAGTGCTTATTAACAAAACATCTGCAAAGACCATGAAGAGGAAAATAAATATATATGTAAGGTGATGTTCAATGATATGGATGGGGGGGTTAAAGCAATTTCTGCTTTAGTGCGCTCCAATCCTGGCTACGCCACTGGTAGCAGTTCTGCTATGCTGTCAATAAAGGCTTAATTTTGACTTATGTTTTGTATCTATCTATGCCAATCTACTGTAGCTCTGCCAAAGTCCCAGCTTAGTAAGTCTCCATGAACACTAAGGAATTAAAAATTAAAAATTTGTTATTAATTTTATTTAAAATTATCTCTAATAATCATTATTCATAAAAAAAAAGAAAAGGGGTTTCAGGTTTCTTAAGACATTTATAACTTTTTACAACCCAACAGTTTACTACATACCGTCAAACACCAAAAACATTTGTAGCTCATTGTGAGAGTAATCATTATACTTAAACTTAACAAATGTGTAACTAAACTAAAATCAAGTTTACTACATACTGTTAAATAAATAAAAAACCATTAGTATCTCATTGTGAGAGTAATCATTTTACTTAAACTTCATGAGTGTGCAACTAATATAAAATTAAGTTCACTACATAACGTCAAACACCAAAAACATTTGTAGCTCATTGTGAGAGTAATCATTTTACTTAAACTTAACAAATGTGTAACTAAACTAAAATCAAGTTTACTACATACTGTTAAATAAAAAAACTGTTAGTATCTCATTGTGAGAGTAATCATTTTACTTAAACTTCACGAGTGTGCAACTAATATAAAATTAAGTTTACTACATATCCTCAAACACCAAAAACATTTGTAGCTCATTGTGAGAGTAATAATTTTACTTAAACTTAACAAATGTGTAACTAAACTAAAATCGAGTTTGCTACATACTGTTAAATAAAAAAACTATTAGTATCTCATTGTGAGAGTAATAATTATACTTAAACCTAACAAATGTGGAAAATTAAAAGTTACTTCTACTCTTGGCAATGATAACAAAATATTTCTTACTTATTAATTAACAAATCATTACATTATCTAACAACTTTCAAAATTGTTGGGAGAGACTCATTCTATCGCTGAAACTTCTGTTTGAAGTTGACGAATGATTATAATGCTCGTTCACTCCTAAAAGAAACCAAAATAAAACTTAAAACAGTAAATTGTTTGATCATTATCTGAATCTGTGCATTATCAATATTTAATAGCAATTAGATTGATAAGTTCCAACATCTCAATTATGATAATAATTCCTGATCAGTCAACCATCAATCTTCTGGATCAAGAATATAACTTTTATTCTTAGTGAATTTCTTTATAGGGAAGATGTTATTATTGTAGGCAACACGGAAAACCCTAGACTCAGGACTGATTATACTTTTTCATTCTGATGTCCAATGTATTCATAGTTATTTTGATAGGGGTTATTTTATAGCAGAACTCCTAGAGCTTTTAATCGATCTTGACGTTTTTGTGTCATTTTAAAGAGCTCACCCGAAGATGTGTGTGGTACCATGAAATTAGCTCAATATACAGTAATATGATAAGCTTCGCTTCAGGGCCCCTCAATGTTATGTTAATTTAATTTTCATCCTGTGCTTATTTGTATGTTTTTAGTTAAATATATTTTAATTTGCACATGTTTTTAAGTTTGAATTACTTTTTAAGTTACTATACTGATTTGGTACGGATAAAAAAGGAAACATTTACTATCTGGTAGATATTTATTTACTAGCGAACCTGGGTATGGATACAGATCATAATGCAAGAAAATGACTGGAACATTTTATAAATCTTGTCAAATAAAAAAAAACTGAATTGATACATTGCTGTATGCTTAAGAAATTAAAAGAACTGATTTGCAAATTATGGAAACTTTTACAATTCTTCTAGTTATAATAAAATTAGAATTGTTCTCAATTGTTTTTATTCTAGAAAACTTACAAAAAGTCAACATAAATCAACTGCCAAAATTATACAATTAAAATACAGCTGATTTTCAAATTTATAAAATATTAAGTATAAGTCCAGTCAAACATGAGCGTCGATCATAACTTCATCAGTCATTTTCACATACTCCCACCTTGAGGAACGTAAGGTAACTTGTTCCTCAACACAAGGTTTTTATTGGAGAAACCGTTTTGGTTGTTTAACCATCCGTCCACTTCTAGTCACAGTTTTCTTATCTATCACTTTATTATCCTTCTTCGTTTTGTTCTTAATTTTTTCATTTAGCAGGAACTCTTCTTTCTCACAATTTTGTATTTCAAGAGGGTAAATTTTTTGGATAGTTCGCAAAATTATTCCTGAATTCGTCTTGAGTTTTGCTAGACGAATTTTACCATCTCTACCCGGTATGAGTTCTTTTACAACTGCCAAAGGCCAATTTAGACGTCTTTTGTCGTCCGTCTCCACAATGACAACTTCTCCAACTTGTATGTCCCTTGTTGACTTTTTCGACTTCATCATTAGTGCTCCCAAATACTCGCTCCGAAATCTCTTTCTCAGATCTTCTTTTAACTTTTGGCAGTACCGGACCCTGCGGTTCAACTCTCCGTGATTAATTTTGTCCACATCAGGTGTTCCAGTTTCTTTAATGTCAGTCAAGAACATTGCTGGAGTCAAAGGTATTAAGTCATTTACTTCGTTAGAGATGTATGTGAGGGGACGTGCATTTAAAACTGATTCACAGTCACAAAGGATAGTCTGGAATTCTTCATAAGTTAAACTTGAGTTGCCCAAACATTTTCGAAGAAGTTGCTTCATCATTCCTATCAATCTCTCCCACCAGCCACCCCACCAAGGTGATGAAGGGGGGTTGAATTTCCATTTAATTCGCTGGACCGAACTGTATTCCTGGATTTTATCCCAGTCAACTTGTGTAAAGGCATTGTTTGCGCCAACAAAGTTTGTCGCATTGTCGCTGTATACAATTGAGGGTCTGCCTCTTCTAGCTATGAATCTTCTCAAAGCCTGTAGAAATGCATTAGTTGACAAACTTGAAACTAGTTCTAAATGAACTGCGCGATAAACAGCACAGGTAAACAGACATATCCAAGCCTTCTGACCATTTCGCAAATATATTGGTCCTGCAAAATCGACACCACTAATTTGAAATACTGCAGCATCTTTTACTCTGTCTTCTGGAAGACCAATGGGCCCAGTTTGTAGACTTTTCCCTTTGTATCTTAGACACTTCACACAAGACGATACTACAGATTTTACTGTTTTTCGCCCACTTAATATCCAATAGTCTTCACGCAAAATGCTTAATAAATACTGAACTCCTGCATGACAAGCCTTGATATGCTTAGAGCGTATTAAAATTTGCACAACAGGATGTTTCGATGGTATTACTATTGGTGTCCTGAAGTTTTCTTGGTCTTTTCTGTCAGTAAGCTTCGACTTTACACGGATCAAACCATTCTTATCTTCAAAAGGACATAATGTTGCAAGTTTAGCATCTTTCAGTCCACAAAAACTCTCTTTCTGGACTAGTTTCCAAACATTGACTTCAGCTTTTTCTATTTCTTTCAGGGTTAAGGAACCATTTACTTTTTCACTTCTACGGCAATTATTATAAAATCTATTTATCCATGCTACCATACGCACGATCTTTTCAAAATTGCTGAAGTATTTATAATACCAGCCTGACTTAGTTTCTTCAGAATTCGTACAAACTGATACGATTCCTTTCTTCTTTTCACTGTGGATTTCTTCGTCGTTGTAAATCATGTGAACTTTTGGCCATTCTTCTGGAGGCTGTCTTAGCCACTGAGGGCCCTCCCACCATTTACAATCAACTAGATCCTTAGCTGAGCATCCTCTACTAGCTACATCAGCGGGGTTTAGGTTTCCAGGTACATACCTCCAAGAGTCTTTACAAGATAATGACCTTATTTCTTGACATCTATTCCAAACAAAAGTAGCCCAATTGTCTTCTCGTTGAATCCAAGATATGACTGTGGTTGAATCGCTCCAAAAATGTGTTTCTAAATCAGAGATATTAAGACTATCGAAGATTGACCTTCCAATTCTGGCTCCAATTGTGGCTGCTAGTAGTTCCAGTCGAGGGATTGACAGGTCTTTCACTGGTGCTACTCGTGACTTTGCTGCTACAAAATGAAGATTGACTGATCCATTGGCCTCAGTCCTTAGAAATGCGACAGTAGCATAGGCGAATTTACTAGCGTCACAAAATATATGCAAACTAAAAGTACCATCCTCCCCAGCGAAAAAACGAGGGATGTTAATCTCACTTAAATATCCCAGATCTTTGAACCATTTTAGAAAGTCACATCTTATGTCATCTGAAACCTCTTGATCCCATTTGAATTTCATGGACCAAGTCCTTTGCAATAGAATCTTAGGGAGCAGTGTTACTGGGGAAGATATCCCTACAATATCATAAACTTTTTGAGTAATAGAAAGCATTTTACGCTTTGTAACTACTTGTAAGTCAACTGATTTGAGAAAATCAACATTAAGTTTAAGCACGTCAGTTCTCTTGTCCCACAGCATACCTAATACACCAACAGGTTGAGTAGTAGGTGAGAGAGTTTTGTCAGTAAACTCCCACCCTCTAAGTTCAAATTTCCCATCTAAAAATAAACTAGTTGCTTGGGAAATGAAATCATTCAGTTCACTTTCAGAGCTCACACTTGTTACACAATTGTCGACATAGAAACTATGCACGAGCTGTTCGACATAAGGCTTGGAATATCCATTTCCCCTTATAGCAAAACTTAAATGATAGTTAATAGTAGCTGCCAGTAAAAATGGACTGCAGGTCACACCAAAAACTACTCTTTTGTGTCTATAAATTTTGAGGTTTCCATCATCATCATACCACAAAAATCTTAGGAAATCTCTATCGGACTTAGACAAACTGATTTGCAAAAAAGCTTTCTTAATGTCAGAAATGACACCTATTTCTTTTAATCTGAAGCGAAACAGAATGGAAGGAATTAATTCAATCAAATTAGATCCCTTACTGAGACAGTCATTCAATGAAGGTTGATTATACTCCTTAGCGGATGCATCAAAGACAGGTCTTACCTTTGTTGTACTGTTTTCCTTGTAGACGGGCCGATGAGGCAAATAATGTCCCAACTTACCAAAGTCAGCGGTGTATGGGACTTCTTCAATTATACCTTCTTGTTCCCATTCTTTGAACGTGGCATCATAAACATCATATGTTTTCTTTTCCTGGAGTTTTTTCACTGTTGATTCAAGTCTCTTGACCGCTATGTTGACATTGGTCGGCAAGGGTGGATGGCCTTCTCTCCAAAGTAAAGGCACCTCATAACGTCCGTCATCATTGATCTGAACAGATTTGTTGAAAAACTCTGTAGCTTCAACTTCTTCTTCAATCTTGTTCTTCCTTGAATTCGGATCTTCAATTCCGATGACATCTAATTCCCATAGCTGTGAGATTGTTTTGTCCTTCAGCAACATTGTATGAGTAGTCATGACGTTAGGGGATTCTGTAGATACCACTGCTGTAGATGGAGTCTTTCCTAACAAGGTCCATCCTAACAAGGTTCTTACTGCAACGAGACCTGAACTCAAAATTATTCGCTCATCCATTAAAAGTTTTCCAGCGACATCTGCACCAATCAAAATATCAATTGGCCCTGAATGAGTATCAGAAATTGTTACCCCTAACTCCTGTAACTCCTTCATCCAATTCCCCAGTCCCGCAACGGGTAAAGCATTGCATATTTTTATTTTATCTAGAACTTCAAAATTGCAAGCGTAGTTGGTCTCTGGGTTACTAAGTCTGACTCTATAACAAGTGTGTTCTTCAACTTCACTACTAACTCCACCGAACAGTGAATGTTGTAGCCTCTCTTTTCGAATGGCTTTATACTTCATTTCTTTTGCAAGATTCTGAGATATATAGGATCGTTGCGATCCTGTGTCAATTAGCGCTCGCACGAACTTAACCTTATCATCGCTTTTGATGCATACACTTAGCGTTTGCAATAAGACCTCTGATCTGGTATTAGCAGATAATGAATTTTCAACTTGGGCTTCAGAGACTTTATTGCCACTGTCATCTTGCTTAACTCCCTGCCTACACATTAAAGGGACATGTCTTCCACCGCAAATGTTGCATTTCAATTTGGCTTTGCAATATTTGGCTAGATGTTTTGGTTTCAAACATAAATAGCAAAATCCCCTTTTCTTCAAAATATTTGACTTTTCATCATAGGAGAGTTTTCTAGCACTAAAGCAATTCTCACTACCATGCGAACCTTCACAAAATACACATTTCAGAGTTGATTTAGATGGTACATCAACTAAGTCTGAAGCGGATGGAATTCTAGAGTCATTAGTTGTACTAGGTGAATTTAAGTTTGGTCTTCCTACTGATTTACCCGTACTTTGTGTCAAATTTGATTTATTCCTAATAGAACCGCTCCTATGCTGACTTACCGACTGACAAGATTCAAAGCCATCCATAGCTAGTCTTATTCTTTCTTCTGATTCAACTTCACCTTTTAGAAAGAGAACAAGGGACTCTAACTTTGTTTTAAGATCTATAGGTTTATCCCCTGAACTACAAAGTGATCTTTGCCATGCCCTAAGACGTTCCTCAGAGAGACATGACTCAACTAAGGGGTACAGTAAGGCTGCACACTTTTCAGTAGTTACCCCCAAAGTATCTAAAGCTCTAAATTGAGTTTCAATCCTATCATACAAAGTTGAAATGGGAATCTTTTCAATAGAGTTTTGAAAAGTTATTTTCAAAAGTTCCCTAACATAGATTTCCGTTTGTAAGTCTTCTCTCCCAAACCTAGACTTCAGACATTCAATTACTTTGGGGTAATTTTCAGCTATAGGTGGAAAACTAATGACTATTTCCCTAGCCCTAGATTTGGGTTCAGTAGCTTGAATAAGATATTGAAATTTATCTTCATCTTTAAGTTCAGAGTCTAAATGAATCTTTTGGAATTGGCTCCAAAAGTGTAGCCAATTTTTCAAATTTCCATCAAATTTAACAAACTCGATTTTAGGAAGTTTTATTCTAGCTTTTGAGGTATTCGGTTTACTTGAACATGATTTACTACAACTTGAAGCTACATCCTCATTAGATTTCAAAGTCAAACTGTCAAATTTAGCTTTTATAAGAAAGAACTTATTTAAATACTCATCCGATCCGCTGAGTTCTTCGGTGAGTTGCTCCTCCGGACAGTCTGATTCGAGAAGTTTTTCCAGTAGCTTATCATTGAGTTCATTAAGTTGGTCGTTCTTTTTCTCTAATAGTTTCATACTTGCTTCGATTTCAGGGTAATCATGGTCGTTAGAATTCAATTTGTCCAAGATACTTTGCAAAAGAGTTGTAAACAATCTCCGGATTACCGTTCTCTGTTTCTTAAGTCGATTTATTTCGATAATTTCTGGTCCTGTCACGGTCGCCATGTTTTACAATTCTAATTTTATTATAACTAGAAGAATTGTAAAAGAAACGTAGAAAAATATGCCCCAGAGTACATAATACATAACAGAGTAATAAATACACTGTATCAGGAATCTGACACATACTTTCTCCCATTAGCTTGTAATGTTTAAAAATTGGGTACCAATTTATGCCCACTCTTTGCAACATTAAATTTTCTTATTATTCTATTATTGTAAATAAATGGTTAAAAAAACATCCCTGCAAAGCACCATTTTTTTACATTTTAACCAACTTACTAGAGCTAGGCACACAAGCTTGCTGGGAGGAAAACATTCTACCGATGCCATCGTCTCGTCTGTACATCATGTTCCTTGGCTGGTCTACTGGATCACCGTGAAGAAAATGTTGCCTTCGTCCAGTTGCATATTTTACCTGAAATATTGTTCGTTAATAAACAATAATTTTGATTGTAAATTATTTGTCAGATTAGGTTATTATTCATTATTATTTACTAACTTATCCACCTGCCTCCTCTGAACACCAAAATAAAAAGATTTACTAAAGTTAAAACAAAACAGCCAAGATGCTGTCAATAAGACGGATTTATTTGGAACATTTGTTTTCTAATACCATTCTAAAAGCTATGGGGACAATGATATCGTTACGATATTCGGGCAATAAAAATGACTCTCATTTAAGAGCATTAGTCTCTGCACCCAAACCAGAAATATTAATTCAGCTACAAACGATAGCAGTGGTGGTTCAAGGACCTAGTCAATGGGGGGCTAACAGGGGTGTCCCATAGGGGAGTTCGGGGTCCTCCCCCAGAAATTTTGCTTTTGTTAAAATTGCTTGTTGTTATTGTTGGTGACTTTTCAATGTCTATAACTGTGCCGACTGAGCCACCGACTCACCATTACCCATTGGTTGAGAAGACGTCATCAACACCTCCTGTGATAGCGGTGAAATTAAGAGCATCTCATTGTGATTGTGAAGTCCATCACATTGTTGGACAATTATGAATCGGAAAAATTTTCTAAGGAATTTGTTCAGCGTTTATTATTATTAATAAGTTCAATGGGAATACCGGTATGTAAAATAAATCCCCCCCCAAAAAAAAAATCTCTGTGCCGCAAGTGTGCCGCTGTCCCTCCCTCTGGGCACCACTGACTGACATGCGTTGATAGCCATTTTATAATAAATACAGTAACTATTTAGTTTTGACGTTTTATAATTATTTGTTAGAACAACGAGACCATAATAGTTTGTGGCTAACCGCAAAAGAAATTAATTTAACTATTCATACCCGAATCTCATGGAGCATCCTGTTTGAAAGTTGTAGTTTTTCCTCCAGATAATGTGTCTTCTTCAAATAGTTATCAAGATCTCTCTGAAGGGCTGAATAAAAAATAAAATGGTAAATATTTGTGAATTATTAATTGTGATCATTAAAATATCTGATGTTTCAAGTCTGATTACTACCCATTCAGATTTATCATTTTGTCTCATTAACTTTAGTAATTATTTTTTGTTTTGTTTTGGTTTAATCAAATTGGTAGGCTATTGTTATTTTTTTCTATTTCCATATCAAAAGTTTGAAAAAAGGTATAGGATAGGCCTACTCAAGAACAACATATAAATACTATTTTCTTTCTATAGAAAATGTTTAGCAAAGAACTGAAAATGGTCCAATTGGTCATCTATCTATCTGTATATTAATAGGGAAGCATGTTTCTTTAAAACTCTTATTCTCAGCTCGTGTGCATCGTAGAGAAAATCTATGCATACTGTTAGAAAGATATTTTTCTGTAGGTGTGCAGAATCCAAATTAAAATAGGCTCAAAAATAAGAACAACAAATGAATTCAAATTTTTTTAAATTAACGGGCCTTATGGATTGTCATAACACAGCAGTTACAAAACAAAACGGAACCAATTTATAAATATATCATATCGCTAATGACATATCATCATCAATAATAATTTTGCCAGTAAAAGAAAGAAAGTGATATAGCCAGAAAATTGTGAATACAAATGTTTTACCAAATTCCTCTTAGATGTGACACTGCACTTCTAAAATAAACAGTATATATTATACTGTTTTATGTCAAGGTATAGCACACCTAAAACTTAAAACCAAATGAGATACTTTATTTTTGAAATGAAAATAAGTAAGTTTACGCTAAAAAATTATTACACTATCAGCTTTAAAAGTACTAGTACAAGATATACAATATCAACTTATCAAATCATGGGGTTAAGGTTAATGTTTTAATGAGTCAACTCACTTTCACATTTTTGTGTTTGTTGCTGTATAAGTTTTTTTAATTCATTAATCTTTGCTTGGTAATATGCTTCCTTTTCGGTCTGTTGAACTTCTGACTTGGCCAACTTAACATTTTGGCGTTTTATGTAGCTTTGCAAGAACATTTTCTCATGAAAAGATTGAAAATTCAAAAATTTCAACGCGTTAAATCCAATTTCCAGAATAGTAGAAGGGCTAAATCCTGCTAAAGCAACCTGAAAACATTAACTTTGACAATGAATAAAGCAATTTACTACTACCGTTACATTAATATGTTACATATAGGCTACATAATGTAGCTTACATATACAACATGTTACCTAAACAATTTGTTTAAATCCTTTTTCCCACAATATCCTTGAGTATAGTAAAATAATAAAACCTTATGAAGTACAGTCAATACTGAAAACTTGGTTTACTCATCTAAATAGCCAAAACAGTGCCTGACATGACGTAGACTACTACGATCTGGAGGACAAGGTTTTACAATTCTAGAGCCTAAGTTTGCTGATGTTGGTCCCGATCTTATAAATACTTAAATCTAGTTTTGTATGGAACAAAATGTATACTTGGCATACATACACAGGAAGGATTTAAGTACCAAGTGGTGAAATTCCTGATCAGGCAGGCTAACTCACAAAAAATCATTCATCCTGTGAATCATTGCTATTATTAGGTACATTATTGCTATCTTCATGGTCATTGACTCCTCCTGTGACAGGAATAGCCTGTCAGATTGAAAACAAACTAGAGGTTGAATTCAACGATATAAACAACTCATGGATCGCTGGCTCAGTGTTGGCCGCGCGGTCGAGCTTCCCCCACCATCTACTGGCAGCCCATACATTCACCATTATAAAACACACTTTTTATTTACTGTTCTGTTGAAATTTATAGGGATAAAATATTGCTAAATGCTTGTCAAACTCTTTTTACTAGTTAAACCTTTTAATAAAAGGTTTAATAATATGTCTGTTTTGTTTCTTGCAGAAAATAGCCCATCTGAGTTCTTTAAAACTACAAATTCACTAAACCCGTTTTGTAGATGTTTTTAGACAACTGATATTGCTAGTTCCAAATTGTACATGGTAAAATAATAAGTGATTACAGGCTTGGTGACTACAAGGCAGGGGTGCCCACAAGGGGGGGGGCTGTGACGCAGACTGCGTCATTGAAATTCTTGGAGGGGGGTTGCAAAAACTCAAATGGGGGGGCTAAAGTTAATTGCAACAGTGTTTAACGTGACGACAATCAAAAATATTACGAAGTCACTTAATAGAAAGTCGATTAATTAATGACAATAGTTATACTATTGAATTCAATTAGTTAAAATAGGATTTTAGGATTCGTGTATGAAGTTATTATTCAAGATTAGCAAGACGTGAGATCTAAGAGGGAGGGATTGGAATGGCTCAACTGCTGAGATAGATAAAGATAACGCGTGGTACAGACACGTCCAGCTACACCGCGACCAGAACGCTTTGTTGACATAAAGCTCGTTAAAATACAATCAAGTAGCCTATACTCGATTACCTGAGATAATGGGGGGGGGGGGAATTAAAAATACGGTTAATCCAATATAGTATAAAAACAATTGCATTTTTATCAACAAAATTCAATATTGCACAATCATTATTGTTGTGCAATTAATAACATTTCAAATAATTTATTTTGGTTCAGTTGTACAAATGGCAACGTTTAAAATTACAGCTCACTCAAACTCAACTAATAACTAGCCAAACACTGTATTGCTATAAATGACGTAAATATTAAACCTTAGAAAGTTTTGTAAGCTACTGCTCATGATAGACAGATAGGCTACCGGTAGGTGCTGTATCACAACATAGGAATTAATAGATAAGTAATACAAAAGTGTAAAATTATATTTTGAGATGATAAAAACACTCTTAAAAAGAATGTAACGAGAACAATTGAAATTGAATTAACGAGTGACTTATAAAACTCTAATTTTATTTATATAGAAAGATAAGTTTTCCAGTCTTGTATAACACTGATTCACGGTCTTTTCCCGGTACCTATTCAAAGTTCAAGTACAACTTGATACACACAGAATCTCCGGTTCCCGACCTGGATGATGGCTAATTATTTAATTTAATTTACAGTTACATATTAGTATCATTGATAAATCCAAACCGTTATGTAAGCCACACAATTAATCTCACTTGGTTTTGGATTTGCTTACAAACATGATCGGAAATGGTTAGGATCTACACAGTATTCGTAAACAACATTATTTATGTAAACATATTAAGTGACAGCTAGAAAAAGGAATCTTTAACAAAACAGCTGTTCGTAATTTCATGTATGACGTTATTTCTTAACAGATTATTAGTATTTCATAAATGACCTATGTAGTAAACATGGAGAAAAAACTTGAAAAAACCTCACAAAATTGGGTTTTAGATCGTCCGTTATTTTATTTCCAAAATAGTGAGGCCATATTTTAATGGCTAAGGACACTCTCGCCAATCCTGTGAATACAAACCATTAGAATCATAATCGGTCCTACTCTAGTTTTCTTTGAGAGTAGGCTGCGTAAAATGCCTTCTGGGCCGGACATAAATTGAGATAAGACATGTTTCAACTTCTTTAATGTATAAAACGTAAAAATAACCCAAAATATGTATAATTCTGAGCAATGTGTACAGACAAAACTATAACTTTATTTATATATAAAACGTGGGTTTGAATTTTCAATATCTAAAAAATGTATAAAACATTTTTTAGTTTTACGGGGGAATGCTGTTTCACATTTTTTGTGTACCTCAGATTTTGACCCATTTAAACTGTAACCATAGAAAAATACCCCCGCCGCAGCAAACCTGCAGACTTAGCGAATTTCCATCTGCCTGATTGGATTTACATTAAAATGTCTCCTTTAAAATATCACATTTTATTCCCTATTTCCCCTAAATATAACTAGTTTAACGAGTACTTAGGTTTGCTGCAACAGGGGGGGGGTAAAAAGTTTTTTTGTTGTAAAATCTTAATAGTTTAGTAAAAAATGAATGTATTTTCCAAATTCAAATAAAATTTGTTCATAAACAAGCAAACTACAACAGTTGACTTATTCTCCATAAGAATAACATGGGAATTTTAAATTTACAATTTTTTCTCCGCAACCATTAGGCGCATAATAACGATTCAATATACTAAACTATTTGTTCTTTTGAGCTTTATAAAATGGTTTGGAAAGAAATTGAGAAATTTTGTGTTTTTAGGGTCAAAAACAAAAAAAACCTATTTTTACCCCATAAAACCCTGTTCCCATAGTCCGATCATGCTGATTCGCGAACTCGTTCGAATAAATGTAGGTTTAAGTTTACACGTTTGTACCAAATTTCATCAAAATCGGATAATTTTTGCTCGAGTTATCGTGCTGACGGACACATATATATACATATGAATTTGAACGGATGGTGTTTTTTGCCTCTGGGGACCTCAAAACAAAAAAGTAAATCGGTCCCGGGTCTAGGTCTTACCATGAGAGCCTACGGTAATAGATTATTCCCTATATGGGAAATTCGCTAAAAAGAATTGAAAATAGACTGTCAGCCATGCTGCGGTTACCATAGGTTCTGGCGCACACTGCTGGGAGCCCGTGTAGTTACATAGCGCATGTACGCCGTAACTACATGGCGCTCCCAATGGTGTGCTACAGAACCTAACTTATGGGGCTGCACTTTACTTTAGGTCCTACACTCATTCGAATGAAAATATCGATCGATATATTGATTGTTTGATATATCGTTTGGTTAGTTATGTAAGATTAACCTAACCTAACTAACCAAACGATATATCGAATGAAACAATCGAACAATCGATATTTTCATTCGGTTGTTTATGTAGAACCTAAAGTGAAGTGCAGCCACCTATGGTAACCGCAGCACGGCTGACGGTCTACATTTAGTTCTTTTTATCCTTGCTGTAACTTAGTATGTAGCTTTTTAAGCATCTATAGACATAACTGAGGAACTAACTTAGATAGATACTGATAAATAAAATATATTTTATACTAGGCCTACCTTCTTAAAAATATAGATAGGTGGATTAAAGACACGAATAATGATGTCACTAAGCTGCTTAAAAGTTCATTTCCAAATCTTAAAACTCATAATAGCCTCTAAGATGTTAAATAAGTTATATCATGCTAATTAAAAAAAAATGAAGGGCAAAACTCTACATAAATGCTATAGCCGATTCTTTAATTATTTTAAACTAAACAACCTACCGATTGATACGCGTCTGACGGGTTTAGGTTTTTTTCATAAACATCATGTTTTGCTGACAAATCCTTTGAACAACAAGGGCACTTCCTTACAGAAGCTGGTCCAGATGGAAAATGCTCTCTGCAAAATATATGGCTACAACTAGTTATCCATGCTTTGTCTGAACCTGTGAGAGATCTGTGACATTTTTTGTCATTACAGTAAAGAGTTCCGTCCATGGTAAACGCCTTTCTTACAACAAACAAATCTTTACACAACTAAAATTATTTCAAATTTTACAGTTTCAAAACAAACAGGATATTGCATGCATGAGCACTCTAGATCATCTGTCTGTACCGTACCGTACCGATTTTTCTAATAGTGTATCAGTGTGGCCAACCTAATTTTAGAATTACAGTTACCTATGCGACTATTTAATTTATTGTATTGTATACGTATACCTATGAAATATATAGCGTGAAAATGACGGTGTACCAAACGCTTAAAAGTAGTAAAATTTACTTTCCTACTACAATGTTAAATTATTGTTTCATTTTTAGCATTGACTATAAAAATAAGGTGTGAATATGTTGGTTGATTATTTTGTTTAATTACAGTGACTCGTGCTGTGCAAACCGGTTTGGTTTTATTGAAAAGAAAACCAGAATAAGGAAATATGTTGCTTGTCTTGAGAGTAAGGTCAAACGACTTAGTGGAATAATACTAATCTAAAAATATAAAAGAGCAGTTTGACCTTGGAACCTCACCTTTGTCCTCAATTTCGCTGCAAGCTCTTTCTTTATACAGTAATACAGTCCTGTGAATCGTGAATGCAGCTATTTGCTCTTGCAATTTTCAAATACAATATTTTATAGTGGTCATATGATTTTATAGACCAAGCATATTTTCATTTTATAACCTTTCGGCCATGGGTTTCATAAAGGCATTTCAGCTGTTTTTTACGTTCATTCATCTGTCAAGCATTCGTTCTGTAGCTTCCGCGGCCGCTATGTCAGAGAAATATCAACATCTCTCAATTGGTATGTAATAAGGGAAATTGATTATATTTTAACTGATACAAATCAACAAAATGAGCCTAAATATATCTTAGGAATCTTTAATTCAGGATTTGTACTGGACTATTCCGAAATATAACCTACAAATCTGTTGGTCTCAAATAAACATTTTTTTAAACCTTGTAATCTGAAGTGTTTTGTTCACAATTTAACTGAACTTAAGTTAACTTATACAGTCAATGGTTATACGTTTTAGTACCGGAGTAGTGGTGTTTACTGGGCTATTAAATAGTAGAGAACTTCAAATAAATGTTCTGTTTATGTCCTAACCTAAATTTTAGTTACCGGTACATTTTATTTTTTTTTATTTTTTATCAAGTGTAGCCTATGCTAATTTGAGTTATGTAACTTACATATTTTCTAAATCAACCTTGAATGCTCTCTAGAATCATGTTAAATGATGAATTGAATCTAATTGTTAGGCTACTGTATTAAAAATTCACTTTTTTGGCGTGAAACATGATCGTAGGGCCTAGTCTGAACATAACTTATTTCATATCCACATAACAAGAGTGTTAATAACATTTACAATCTTTGCAGGTTCTATAGATCCACCCCTTCAACAGGGGAAACTGAGATTGTACAGCATGAGATTCTGTCCTTATTCTCATCGAGCTCATTTGACGTTGTTGGCAAAGAATATTTCGTAAGTTAGTAAGGTAGTTATTGCCGTAGGTCTATAAGTTATTGTAATACCTAGGCCGTCACCAATTTATTGTTTTGTTTTAATGTCCACAGAGGCCAAGCACCATCCGTTCAGATTGATATAACTTATTTATATTTAACTTATTTTGTACAGGGTGGAACAAAGTTAGGTAGTGTTAAAAAAAATATGTGTTAAACTACTTAACCCTAGTTGGGTAACTTATCGCAAGTAAATTTGACATAAGGGGAGTTATTTTTAGCGTCCCACCCCACACCCCATCAACCGACGCTACCCTCCTTCCAGCAGTGCTCTCAGCAGTCATTTGCCTTGTGATGGCTGCCTTGGTTGGGTCGTAGTGTATTTCTTTATTTCCTTGCTAGTCGGTTTCCTGGAAAGCATACGTCAAACTTACGTGTCAATACCCTTTGTGTATAGAAAAATGGCCAGCAGTATACCAAATTTACATATTGATACCCTTATGAAATGAAATGATTTATTTGCCGTTGATCATGTACATGAAATGGGCATTGTCATATGATTAATGAAATTAATTAAAACAGATTGTCATATATCTATAAAGACTAACTAAAATCTAATTTCTATACATGTATTAAGATATTCATATGTATTGTAAAAGGGATTGTCTAAAAGCCAAGCAGTTACCTTTTTTTTGAAGATTTTGGGTGTGCAGGTCCTTGATGATTCATGCAGTTTGTTAAAAAATTTGATGCAATTTGCCTTGTGTGATATGCCGAATTTTGTCAATCTGTGCTGTGGAATATCTAATTTTGTCCTGTTGCGTGTTTCATGTTCATGTATTTCTTGCCTGGTGGGAAAAAGGTGAAGATTAGCTTTAGTGTAAATTAGAATATGTAGTATGTATAAGTTAATTACTGTTAAAATTTGCATTTGTTTAAGTAAAGGTCTACAGTGGTCCAATCTGTTAGCTCTGCACATAGTTCTAAGAACCTTTTTCTGTATCAGGAGAACATCTGATACAGCAGTTGCATGTCCCCAGAGAACCAACCCATAGGATATGTGAGATTGAAATAAACCAAAGTAGGTCATTCTGAGATATTCATCTGACACAGATTCCCTGAGTTTCCAAAATAGATAGCTGACCCGTGAAATTTTTTTACAAAGGTTGTTGATGTGGACATGCCAAGACAATTTAGAATCGATATGAATACCCAATAGTTTGACTGATTGTAAATCCAGATTTAGAGAGGTGCTGAGGATGATATTTTGAGTTTTACCTTGGTTACAAAGTAGTTTATTCGTGGAAAACCAATTCAATGCATCTCCCTGGGCCACACCCACCTGTCTGAAGAGCTCTATTTTGTCCGAATTTTTAGCAAAAATTGATGTGTCATCAGCATATATTACTGACTCAGATCTTAGATTCTTTGGAAGATCATTTATGGCTATTATAAAGAAGAAAGGCCCAAGCACAGAACCTTGGGGCACTCCCATTTTGATATCAACAACATTGGAATTAGCACCCTGAATGGAAACATACTGTTTCCTACCATTCAGGTATGACCGGAATATGCTAAGTGATTGATCCTGAACTCCATAAAATTTAAGTTTGTCAAGTAAGATGTTGAAAGGAACACAATCAAATGCTTTGCTCAGATCTAACAATGACACAGCAACTGATTCTTTGCTCTCAAATGCATTTAAAGAGTAATCAACAATCTCCATGACAGCCGATGTAGTTGATCTTCCTTTACGGAAGCCGTGCTGAGAATCAGATAACAGATTAAACTTATCAAAATGAGCAGCAAGTTGTTTGTGCATCAGAGATTCAAAAACTTTTGAGAAAATCGGAACAATTGATATTGGTCTATAATTTTCAGGAGAAGATTTGTCTCCCTTTTTAAAAATAGGGATGACTTTGGAAATTTTTAGAAGATCTGAGAAGTATCCATGCTGCAAACAAATGTTGAAAATGAAGGCTAGGGGATCTTTGATGATATGAATAGTGTTTTTGATGATATAATTAGACAACCAATAATAATCCATGCTTCGAGAATTTGAGAATTTTGAAACTATGCTGGTAATTTCCTCTGGAGTGATATGTTGCCAATAAAAAGGCTCAACTGCTTTCAAACCATTGCCCAGAAACTCAGAGACACTAGCATTTGTGGCTGGAATGTTATTTGAGAGTGTTGTGACAGAGTCAATGAAAAATTGGTTGAGCTGTTCAGGTTCTAGTGTAGTTTGATGTGTGCCAACTGCAAATTGCTCCTGCTTAACTATATCCCAGGCTGCTCTGCATTTGTTTGGAGCAGACTCTATATAATGCTCACAGGCTTGTCTTTTAGCCAATCTTAAATTGTTCCTATAACTCTTTTTACATGATATGTAAATCACCTCTAAGATTGGATATATCTCTTTTTACCATCGTCACACTGTATGACAATGCTTTACTGTATGCAATTCCTATGTACGTCAAATTTACGTATTGATACCCTTAGCTTCATGCTGTATGACGATAGCTTTCTAGGGTTAAGTATTAGTGATGAAATGGTACCAATCCAGATTCCCATACCCTAACAGTTAAAAATAACAGATAGGCCTAAACTACAATTTTCAAAATATTTGTCCTTGCTTGGATAACTTAGCTTAGTACAGTTTCATTTTATAATCAGCTGGATGTTGATGTATATAAACATCCAACCCATGCTGGTATTCTTACTGTATGGGGTATAAACTAAAGTGTACCCGATAAGAGCCCTAAAAATACAGTTGGTATTTTTCTGCAAATTATTGTAATTTTCAGAATGTTCATTACTTTTCTTATATCAATAAGACCCTTTTTTTGCAATGAAAGTTAACATTACCGGTAGTAAATTTTTGAGAAAAATTTAATAGGTTTTACACAGTTTTTTCTATAAACACTGGACTGCAGAGAGTGTCACATATTATTGAAGACTTCTTCTATTAATAGGCCTAACTCTTAAAATAACGAGCATGGGTTTTAACTAAGGGCTGTTTTTGCGTATAAATCCCTAATTATTTGCTTACACGGTGCAATAAGGCTTTTTGCCACTTACTAGCATTTTTTGTGAATAGAATGACACAATTAGCAGCATTGTATCTTGTATGCTTTGATGTGTGTTTTTACATTTTTTTTTACTATCAAATCCTCTGCCACGTGCAAGATAAGGTCAGAGTTAGAACCCGGCAGTTTCAAAGAATTTAAAATTAGTTCTCACGACATCAGTGTCACAAAATCTTAAACATAAATTTAATTAGTAATTTTACTAATTAATAAATACTTTCAGGTTCGATCCAGTTTTTATCAATTTGAAAGCAAAACCAGAATGGTACACATCAACAGTACCATCAGGGAAGGTTCCAGCACTGTTGATTGATGGTCAAAGTGTTTACGAGAGTTTAATCATTGCTGACTTCTTGGATGAAAAGTTCCCTGAGCGTCCTCTGCATAGTCGTGATCCCCTGCAGAAAGCAAAAGACAGAATCCTCATTGAGTCGTTTGGAAAGGTAAATAAACCGTTTGTGCTCCTCCCTAAAAACATGTTAGCCAATTATAAAAGTTAATGGTTTAAAAAAATTAATATTTAGGCCTAATTTAAAACTTTGGAATCCAAAGTCCAATAGCCTATATAAAAAATTGGACATAAAGAGTAACCAAACTAACTCTCTCTAAGAGTAACTAAGAGTAACTCTCTCTAGTTCCTGTGCAATTAGATAACAAGTTTAATAGTAGCAAGTTAAAAAATTGGTAATCTTGGTACCTAAAAACTACTACGATACATGTTTTATTATCTATGATGCTTGTAAAATAGCTTGTAAATTGCAAAAAATATTACATCCTTCCAATCACAAAGTCTTATTTCTATCATCAAGCAAACAATGCTTTCAAAGTTAAATTATAACTAAATGCTCCTTCACTGTATTTAAAGTTGGTTCTTAAAAGCTTATTAGTTTTCTGATACAGTTTTTGAAAAATATCCCAAACGTATATTGATTGTTTTATGTTCTAGCTGAGCCTATTTAATTGTTGACCGATAAGACAATGCTTCTTTTAGCGAATTTCCCTATAGGGAAGTAGCTATTACCGTAGGTGGCACGGTAAGACCTAGACCCGGGACCGATTTACTTTTTCATTTTGATGTCCCCAGAGGCCAAAAACACCATTCGTTCAAATTTTTATATATGTATATATATATATATATATATATATATATAGACTTATATATATATATATACGTCCGTGAACGCGATAACTTGAGTCATTTTTGTCCGATTTTGATGAAATTTGGTTTAAAGGTGTAAAGCGGGATAAACTTGAATGAGTTCGCGAACCAGCATGATCGGACCATGAGAACGGGGCTTTACGGGGGGTTTTATGGGGTAAAAATTGGTTTTTCTCACTTTTGACCCTCAAAACACAAAATTTCCCGATTTCTCTTTAGACCCTTTTAAAGAGCTTAAAAAAAACAAATAATTTAGTATATAAAAGTATTTTTGTTCGATTATTAGTAACGGAGAAAATTAAAAAAATTGTAAATTTAAAATTCCCATGTTATTCTTATGGAGAATATTGTCAAATGTTGTAGTTTGCTTGTTTATGGATATATTTTGATCAAACTTGGTAAATTTATTTATTTTGTACTAAGCTATCAACATTTTACTCAAAAACACACTTTATTAGTTTCCTTGTAGCAGCAAACCTAGGTACTCGTTAAACCTAATGTTATTAAAATATATTTAACTGAAAATCAATTCAGACAAATGGAAATTCGCTTAGTCGGCAGGTTTGCTGCGGCGGGGGTATTTATAGGTACCTTTCAGAAAATATTTATTAGAATAATATTTAAATAACTTGTTTCATCTTAGGGTACAGTTTTTCTGTGCTGTCCATTTAAAAGTTATTCCTCAATACACTGTTGTTTACAGATGTTATTCGTTTAATTCGTTTCAAATTTATTTTCAGGTTACCAGTCCTTGCTATAAAGTAATGACTTCCCCTAATGCTACATTGGAGGATTTTGAGGCCATTGTTAAGGAACTAACTGCTTTCGACAAAGAGTTAACTAGCAGAGGCAAAACTTACTTTGGAGGTAACTTAACTGTATTTGTTGGTTGCTGTGTTGACAAAGTGCCACACAAAGCATACACACATAAAGTGAGGACAGTATTTTTATAGACTGCTGCCGGTTTGGTTCATAGGGAGAGAAAAATTCCCCCTCAAGGAAGGGTGAAAAGGGGCGTAAATATATCTTAAAGCATGTCACTTGCAAACTGCGGACCTGTTTATATTCAAAATCATGTTAACCAGGACAATGTTTATGTAGACAATCTGTATGTGACAGTTGAAAGTATCACTATCAAAACTATTCAGTACCAAATACTCAATGTAACTTACTGTAATGCATTTCATAACTAACTTACAAGTAAACAAAATGGTAATGCATGTATCTTCTTTATTTTGAATATTAAAAAGAAAACTTCTGTTTTACACAATAATTAGTAATTATGTAGGCTAATAAGTGTCTGATAGGTTTGCAAAAGTGTAAGTAGTTATTTAAATAATTTAGCTCCCAAACTCAATCAAAGTAAAACAATTCATCAAATATTACTTGCGGTTTTTACGCTTTTCTTCTTAATCTCACCAAGTTCCTACAATATCTTTTATGAACTCATTTTAAAGAGGATGTCTAAGCCAAGATTTTTAAAAGTGAAGTTGCACAACTTGCCGAGCACTGTAACTGAAATCAGGTGGTGTGATGTAGCAGACCTCTTTATTTAATAACATCTCGAGCCAGCTGTTCTTTTTGATTTTAGTTGTTCCAGTTTGAACTTTGGGATCTTACTATTTATTTGTTTTTTGTGATTTCAATTTGTTTCCTAAACCACATAAATATTTTACTGTTATAAGCTGTAATACATTTTCCTGATAAAACCTTATTTACCAGGAACCTTAATCATAGACTAAGCAACATATGTTTTATCTATGCCTTAATTGTCTTATTGGTCATTGATTCTGTTTCCGAACCATCTCAATGATTCATTTTACTTGTTTAAGATGTATAGTATTTGATAAACTATCATTATTTGTCAGGAGCTCAACCAGGAATGGTGGACTATATGATCTGGCCGTGGTTCGAGCGGATGGAAATGTTCAAGTTCCTTCACGGAGATAAATTTGTCCTCCCTGAGGATAAGCTGCCGAAACTGGTGAGAATTATTACGTAAAATACAAACTATTATAGTAGTTATAGTATGCAAAATTCATATTCTTTATTCCATAGAGTTTTACTCAATTGTGTCAATACGTTAAGAGATCAGTAGATACCTAAAGTAATGAACTACATTACTATTTTTAACCTAGCGTAGGTGCAGTGCCCAATTTGTAAAAATTGGGGTGCCAGGACTGGAACCTATTTAATATGATTAGTACCTATTTATGCTAATATTTTTATCTTTCTGAAAGAAAGGTAGCGGAACTCCGTTCCGCCGCGTTCCCCCTCAAATCGAGCACTGTGTAGTTGTATAATTTATTCCTTATTAAATTAATGTGCATAGCCAATAAAAATATATTTTATGTGGCGGAATTTTTGGAATAGGCGTTACTTCATAACAATCTAAGATTACTCTGTCAAGCTTAAATAAAACCCAAACAGTAGGTCTATCCATGTACTCTTAGCAATACGGTACGTGAGTGCCCATGAACCCCATTTAAAACACAATATTATTTTGCATAAATGTTTTGTTTGTATATTTATTTTGTATTTTAATTATTTTGTAAAATCCAATCACGTAGCACTTGAGCCTCATTCACACAAAGCCATTTGGTGGGCAGACCACCTTCCTCAGGCAACTTGAAATACACTGTATTTCAACCTGTATTACCATAACCTGTCTGCCTTCTAGCTGGCCTTGTGTACACGGCTTTATTTTCAATAATTTTAGTTTAATAGTTTTTAATATATTTTATGTAAGACTCTAAATAACTCCTTTCTCTGATTTCAAGAACTATTATTTACGCGTTACCTCTAACTCAATTGAGACAGCATTGACAAACAACATTTTTTTAATAAACCAACCAAGCTTTAAGTTAGACATATCTATTGACTATAGTCAAAGACATAACACATAATGAAAGAATTTTACTAAATCCTCAGATAATCTTACAGAACTTCGAAATTTTGTTTGACATAATTAACTAATCTTCATGATAAATATAATCTCCCTCTTACTACCATGTCTTATCTACCGGCCACCTGACACTATAGGTAAACCATTTTAAACCTCTGCTTTTTTAGTTAGGTTGGGATTAACATTTTGAAATCGGGTTAGCAGCACTGTATTCTCTAATAGAGTCCTTTAATTTAATTTAATACTCCACTTCTGTTCTCACTTCAGATTTCCTTCCAACTCCTTGTGGGCTGTTCGTATTATGATGGGAAAAACTTATATTTGTTTAAAAAAGAAAATTTGTTAATATAAGTTTTTATATAAAAAGCTCTGTTGCATCGTCTTCGACTTGTTTGTAAAATAAAATGATGTTCTGGACTTTTTGTGGACCTAGTATAAGGAAAATAAAAAATCACGCCTCTTAAATTATTTGTAGCAGTTAAAAGATTATTGCACAAGATTCGTTACAAGATGTACATAGACATTTTAAAACGTGATGGTTGCCTAATCATCGTACACGACTATTCATACACAGCAGGAATTTCATAGGGTATTAAAATTTGGAAAAAACCAACAATTATATGTCACGTACCTCAGTGTTAAAGTGACAAGTACCTAAAATGTTTAAAATAATTTCTTTTTTCCTTCTTGTTTATGACTGATCCTTTTTACTGTATACATCTCCTAGAAGCCATCGATTTTCCAAAGTCATTCGGTGTTAAGTGCCGTATTAGCCAGATTTAACCTTAAAAATGTTACTTTTCAGACCAATTGGGTGGCATCCATGAAGATGGACGAGGCAGTTAAGAAGTACCTTGTGAAACCAGAAGTCCACGCAGCCTTCATGAGAACTCATCACTCCGGAACTCCTGATTTTGATATTCTATGGCACTGAACGACCCTTAATATATTTGCAAATAAACATAAACTTATTCAAAATACAGAGACTTGTCTCTCTTGAGTTTATGTGTTTGAAAAAATACTCTACTTACAACTGGTTGCAAAAGCCTACTCTTTAAGTTAATTAATTGTCGTATTTTATTATTACATTCGTATTGTGTGTACTTAATAGTTGATCATTAAAGATGTATACTATACTGTTTTTTAAATTGTGTATTTTCTGATTTCCCTTTAGGGATTTTTTATTCATGTCGTCACTGTGAGGTTTTACAGCTGTCAAGATGGTTGATTGTGATTAAGAAGAATGCTTGTGTTTGCTCTGTTAAGAGTGGATCCAGTTTGTTGTAAAAGCAATCAGTTTTAAGTCATAATGAAATTTACAAGCATAACACCGACTTATCTCAAAAATGGAATCCTTGTGTGCATAAATTGGATTACATTTTAGCATAGTGTAAGAGAATTTATCATTTAATTCAGAAGTGTATTCATAATTCATTTAATTCATGTATATATATATATATATATGATTAAAGTTATGAGTCCCCTGAACCCAAAAAAGTGGTTTTCGAAGCGATGTCTGTGTGTGTGTTTGTGTACAGAGCTACAAACCACACCTGTTGCCCAACTTTGATGAAATTTGGTATGTAGGTCCATGGAATTTCCATGTAATTTCTGCATTTTTTCATAATTTTGATGTTTAATGGGAATTTTTTCATAAAGACCCGTAAAATAACGGAAAAATAGGATTTCCTCAAAAATGGCCTAAACGATTTTGATAAAAATTTAGCATGTTATAGTCCTTTAAATTCTGCAATAATTGTACAAATCCCATCTCCGTAAAAATTAATTTATGGAAGCTTGGTTATTGGGCTACGAAAATATTAACTCATCGAAGAACTGAAATAGCTTTTTAATTTTTTTTGTATGGTTTTCAATTCTATATCTATGTTTTATTTTCAATATTTTAATAAATTTATTCATACATTTAAATTCGTATTACGTGAATTAATGAGCTGTTACCTGTCTGCCATGATATCTTATGGTATGTATAGTGCTAAACAACACTACTCGCTGCCAATTCTTACCAGGCCGCGGCCTGTAGTTAAAGGTAGCCATCAATCTAAGTGCTAAAATCGTATCCTCATATAATTATATCTAAGCAGTAGCATTGACTATACACCTCTACTCTCTATACAGTAGAGGTGTATAGTCAATGGCAGTAGGCTACTGCCAGAGACTCCCAGAGTCAGAGTTACATGCATACATTATTTTTCATATGTGATGGAGCTTTTTCGTATTTTTTTCCACGGAACTCCTAAAGGGGCAGTGGCAGCTGATGGTGAGCTAGAGCAAGGCCTCACTAAAAAAGTGTTTCTAGTGGGGCCTTGGCTGGAGCTGGAGAATACACAGTCTGCCCACGGTGAGCTTCAACTTAAGGCCGCGGCATTCGAAGTGGCAACGTAGCCAAGAAGTGTTGTAACAGCTGTTTTGTTTGGATGCAGCTAATGGTAATTTGTGTATTTTTTTATGTACAGCAAGATCAAGGTGTATCTTTCATATGCCTTGCAGCAAGATAACATGTTAATTTATACTGTTTTGTTTTTCAATTCTATATGTTTTATTTTCAATCTTCTAATAAATTTATGTTAGTAAATTTTAATTGAAATGTTGGATAGTACGGAATGATTTGGTGTCACCTGTCTGCCATGTTATTATCATGGGACATCTCGTGCTAAACAACGCACTAGTTGCGACATTGCCAATTCTACCAGGCCGCGGTCTGCCACCCTACTCTTTTTCATTTTTTTTCGGTTTTTTTTTTACTCAAAGTTTGTTGTTGCTATTTTTTTATATTTGTTGTTAGATATATTTAATGTATACAAAATGTATTTAAATCTTATGTAACAGTTATTTAGAGAAATGTGATTTATACGTTTAGGGGGGAGTTAAAGGCGGCCGTGTTAGGGGCCGTCCACATACAACACTCTCAAGGCGGGGGAGAGGTTCTGATTAGCATTACGGGATTGTGGAGGGGGGTTTTCATAATAATCGTTATAAAAACCCATTTCCCCGAAAGTACCTAAATGATATAATTATTTAAGAAATTGTCCTTTTGGTGAACATACGTTTAATATCCGTTAAATTTTGTTATTTTTAATTTTTGGGCTTGAACTGATAGTCTAGTTCCAAGACGTTCCGACGTAGGACATGAAAGAATGACTTCACTTCAGTCATCCTGGTGGTTAAATACGATGGCAAATAAATAAGATAAATGTGAATTAGTTCTAGTTGTACTGCTAAATTTATTACAGTAATGTAAATATTGCTAAAAAAAGTGACACTACAGTAAAGAGAGACTGTAACTCATGAGGAGTGTTTAGTATACAATTTGCAGATTTTTTAAATAACGTTTTTTTTGTTAACTTTAATCTGATTGGATATTGTGTTCAAACTAACTGCAAATATTGTTCTTAAAATGTGTGTTGTTATTAATAACATTACTTCAAAACCAATTAAAGACTTTTTTACTTCGGAAGAAAATTTTACCGAGATTTCATACTACTAGTACTGTTCCCGTACCCCACAAAACGCAGCCTTAGCTTGTGTTGATTCGATTCAGCTTCACAGGCGAGGGGGAGAGAGGTGTTAAGAAAATGACGAAAAACACGTTATGTAATATCATAGATAAAACATAGGAGTATGTTTTATCTATGGTAATATATGGACGGCTCCTTGGTATGATTTTCAGATACATTAATTAAGTACTCTTCCAGTCAGTTGTGACTAATACTTTTGATTTAGTTGGGAGTATGTTTTATCTACGGTTATATCCTTGAGGAGTATGTTTTATCTATGGTTATATAAATAATCGAACATCTGGAGCTTTTATATTTACATGAACGCATAAATGAGTATATATCTCACAGGACCTTCGCTGAACATTTTTTATGTTGGTGCACTTGGCTGTCGGAAGAGAACATATGTTTTGTTACGCACAATTGGTTATTGAATGGAAAGAAAAATCAGCAATCTGAATCTGGAGAAATGTCACTATGGTGTTTGTGAGTCATTGTACGCGTTATATAAATGAATAATGTTTATATTATTTGTAACCTGGTCTTTACTACTAGCGTATAGGTAAATATATTAAACAATACTATTAAAAATGATTGAAATGGAGCCAGAAACCGTCTATGGGACACATGAAGATTCTCATGTTGTTATGTCAGAGAAGGTCCAGTCCTTGGCTGGCAGTATTTACCAAGAGTTTGAGAAAATGATTGGTAAATACGACGAAGATGTAGTGAAAGATTTAATGCCTCTTGTGGTGAACGTTTTAGAATGTTTAGATCTATCCTATACGGAAAACCAAGAACACGAAGTTGAACTCGAGTTACTGAGGGAGGATAATGAACAGCTTGTTACCCAGTATGAAAGGGAGAAGCAATTGAGGAAAACAGCAGAACAGGTAGCCTACATTATTTACTTTGGTTTACCTTAAGCATATTTTATACTTTATGTTAGCCTACTTGATAAAACAGTTCATTAAAACATTGGATTGTGGGTTCACATTATCCTACTCAATTAGGCTAATAGCCTAAAGCAGGGTTGCCACTGTCAGATTCTGTCGGGGCAGTCCTGATTTCTGTCCCTTTTTCCTGTACTTATGTCTGTGTTAATCCTGGGGGAGGGGGTTGTCCCAATTTTCAACTAAACAAAGGCGGCAAATCTTGCATTTACACACTACTCTTACTTCTGCTTGTAGCCTAAGTACTTGACACTTACTTACAAATCACTCGGATCAGATCACTACTTACCTAATGTCTTCTTACCATATATGCTTGCAGTTCATAATTTAATACTTTTAAATGAAATGGCGACCATACGAAGGTACCTAGGTATTTTAAGCCAAGTAACTTATGAATGGTGATGAGTTTAGGATGAGTGGCGTGATCTTGTAGTCTTGTTACTGAATAAGGCGGCAAAGCAGAGCGTTTTTAACTTTCTGCAAAAGACTCTTGCAAAAACCAAAAAATGTTATGCAGGCTCACTTGGTCCAAGCTGCGTATTAATGAACCGTGTGTGTGATAGTTTTAATTAATATCTAGCCTTCTTGGAAATAGGTTAAAAATAAGTTTTCAAACGCTTGTATCGGTCCAAAAACGCCTACTGTTATTACATTAAATGGCTTTGGCAATTTGGTTATTCCATGTGTTCTTCCTTACGATTGATGCGCGGAGTATTGACATCGCAGCTTTTGTTTTGCATGACATTTTGTAGCGTTACTGTTGCAGAACGGAGAATTTTTCTGCAAATAATAAAGTTGTTGACTTTTCTACAGAAATATTTTCTGCAAAAAAACAATTTTACTAACTTGTTATGTAGCATTTTCTGCAGAAACTTATATAGATTAATTGTAAGAAAGGCTAATGTGGCCCTAACTTTGCCCGGTAAAATAAATAATTAAAAAAAAACACCCTCCGTTCAGATTTATATATATATATGTGTGTGTGTGTGTGTGTATGTGTCCGTTAACGCGATAAATCGAGCAAAAATGATCCGATTTGGATTAAATTTGGTACAAACGTGTAAACCTATGTTTATTCGAACGAGTTGGCAAACCAGCATGATCAGATACCTAATGGGAACCGTTCATGGGACAAAAAATAGTTGTTCCCATTTTGACCCTAAAACTAACGAAATTTCACAATTTCTTTCCAAACCATTTTGTAGAGCTTAAAAAAATAAATAATTTTTGTTTATTGAAGCATTGTTGTATGCCTAACCATTAAAAATGGAGATAGGGCCTAGGCTAATTTAAAAATTGTAGCCTAAATTTAAAATTCCCATGTGTTATTGTTATGGAGAATTCACTTTTTAACTATTGTAGTTTGCTTGTTTATGGATATTTTTTTATCAAATTTGGCATTTTTTTTATTCCATACCAAGCTTTTAACATTTCAATAAACAAAACACCTCAATATCTTTCCTGTTGTAGTAAACCTAAGTAGGTACTAATTAAAATTAATGTTATTTAAATAGGAAATAAATCTGACACTTTTAAGTGAATATTTTAGTAGAAATCCAGCCAGATATAAAAATTTGCTCAGTCTACAGGATTGCTGCGGCAGGGGTATTTCTTGTTGTGACACTTTTAAAGGGTTTAATATAGCAGTTAGTAAGTTATAGTAGGCCTAGGAGGTCAATTTCATAACTTTTTGACATTAGCTAATATCAAGATCCATTAGATTAAATCCGGAGTGTGGAATAGGGTATTTTCTCAGACGTAAAAAATTCTATCGGGGTGGACAGAAACAAATATATAAGATAAACATTCAGTCTTAATAAATCCCAACTCAGAGCATAATGCAGCTTTTTCCAGTGTTTGTTCTAAATAGGCTAAGATGGCCTACACATTTGAAAAATACCAGTTCTATGTTACTGACTGTTTATGTTTACAAACTACTAGATTTATAGCTTTGGATATTGCTAAAAACCCTTGTTTTTTTGCTGGATCAATGACATTTTTTCATCCATCCTGGTGAAAAAAATGTTATTAAATTACAAACTATTACCTTTGAGAACCGATAGTAAAAACTAAAAACACTTTAGACCCTTTCAACCCTTTCACAAGTCAAAATTATAGAAAAGCTAATTTAGCTTAAATAGCTTAAACAGAAATGACTCACATCCTGTAAAATGTTCAGCCTGTATATTTCAAGTTTTACAACCACAAGTTTTATTGATCATTGATGGCTCTCCCTGTTCAGATTTATTAGTCTTCATTAGGCTATTTGCTAAGCTGAACTTAAGCGGTTCAGCATTTCAAATTAACACTTTTACCAAAACCCCGGTCTGACAGGCCTACGGGAATTTTCACAAACGCATGTTGGCAACACTGTTTACTTGGGGGATTCTATTCCCCCAATACCTTCCCCACTTTTCCTCCCTAGCTGTTGATATAGTTTGTTCATTTTGCCTGGGTACCGTGACCTTGACAGGTTGTCTGTTCATAACATGCCCAGCGTTAGTGTATTTTAAGGGGTGGTCTCACAGGCCCATGGTTTCGGTTTGTGTGTTTCTAAGCTGGGTCCATTATTTTCAAATGGGGTCTTACAGACCGGGGGTTTTGGTTAGCGTCAGCCTGGGTAGGGTTTCGGTATTATTGTTAAGGGTTTTATGGAGGGATATTGACAAAAAATTGTAGTAGGTAGCCTAAATTAAAACATTTTGCACTAAAAACAGTTTTTATGCTAATTAATGAAATCTGGTGACTGTAACACCCATCGTCAGTGGCGGTTCTATGACCTTGTCGAGGGGGGGGGCTATTGAGGGTTTGGGGGTTCATTCTCGGGGGAAATTATCTGTTTTAAAATCAGTTTGGTGACTTTTTTCAACGTCTAGAACTGTGTCCAAAAACCTCTCAAACTATTGTTTTTATGACAAAATCTATGTTTAAATTTATATATCAAAGGTCCAATGGAAGGGGAGGGCTTTTGCCCCCCTTGGAACCGTCACTGTCCATCGTAAATAATAATGAGCGTATGCAGTACCCTATAAATATTTCTATTTAGGCCTAGTGTAGAAAATTTAAATTTTTCTAATAATATAAAGATTTACAAACTACTTGTTTGGTAGACAACTCATGAGTTTAGATTCGGGCCATGGTAGGACCACCTTATTATCTAAGTGATATGTTGTCTATTGATAACATCTTTATGATTCCTTATATCTGTTTACCCTAGTAGCTCCCAGATAAAATAATATAATTTAAACTACATTGAAGCATAGTTTATTTCATAGCAGTCTTATTTACTACTCTTATTTTAACAAAGCATATAACAATAGCTCATCCCAATCGTACTCTGAACAATTAGTGGGGGTTGTGAGAATTAGTTGTTTCTCATATCACACAAAAAGTGGACCGTGGGCTTATTTTATCCTTTACTTACATGTAGGCTAATGTTTTATAATAGGGATACAATATCAATGTTCCAAACACTAATTAAACATAAAAAATATAAAGAATTAAGAGCTTTATTGTGAAGTTCAATAATTAATTGTTCAACAGGGTCAGTAACTAGAGAATTAAATGTAACATTGTATGTTATTATTGTATTGTTAAATAAATAATTCACAAGTTAGGTACCTAAATATATACAATAATAATATATATAATAATATAAACAATAATATAATACAAGTTATGGTACATAAATTACTAAAAATAAATAGCACAGTAAAATATAAAAAAAATGATTAAAACTTCTTAAACAAATATATACCTTGTTTTATTTACGTTTATTACAAGGAGAACTTATAAAAAAATTCTGATTATTATTTGATTCACCCAAAATATTACACTTGTATTTTTATTTGTGTACGTTATGTTAGACAACTCATGATACATAGAATCGTAGGGCTGATTCTTTTAGTCACACATTTTTAGTACGTATATAAATACTTCTTTGGTTACAAGAGTAAATGCCTCAATATTTCTCAGCGTTACTGAGCCTAACAAGATAAGTATTTTTATGATACTGGTAGCCTGGATGGATTTGAAATTGATTTGATTACACACATGAGGGTAAGCCGAGGCGACTGCTTGTGACCTTCAAGACCCGAGCTATCTCCCATGTGGGCTACTTGTGATTACTGGCAATACTTAATGGGGCAGGAAGGTGGCTCAAATTGGGCATTAGTCGTTGTGGGAGCCTAGTTATTGATTTTGTTGATAAAAACTCATTAGCTGATAAATACACAATTATTGAGCATCAAAACAATATAGCCAATATATAGCAATATGTATAGGAATTATGAACTCAAAATTATATTTTAAAATATAATTCTATATATTTATATTGAGAGGTACACATTTTTTCGTCATTTTTGATCCCAAAACATAAAATTTTGCAATTTCTTTCTATAGGCCTACTATTTCGTAGAGCTCAAAAAAAGCAAATAAAGCTTTATTGAGGCGTTGCTTAATGGTTACGGAGAGAATTCCAAAAAGCTGTAAAAAAATTCCTATTTTATTCTTATCGAGAATAAGTAAACTTGTTAGCTGGGTTCGGTTTTGAGTCATCAAAAAGCTACTGGCTTTTCACAGGACTACCCCTTCTAGTATGTTAGACAAAGTACTATAACCACACAGCTATCTAGCAAAATTCAAGTTTTGAGCTGTTCGAGGTATCTCCTAATTCAGGCTTGGTTTGTTTGTGTAAACACTAAAATTGTTTTACATCTTTTTATTAGACTTTAAATGGAAAGCAAAAACAAAAAAGATGTTTTACAATTTGTATTTGTACAACATGACTTTAATCTCAGTACCTATTTTTTTAACTGTTGATATTTAAAATAAACTTAATGTAGCTTAAAATAATTTTTACATTTAAATTGTGAAAATATTAACTAAACTGCAAAGCTATTTGAATAAAATTAGAAGGAAAATAATTATATCAATAATATAAAGGTATTGTCTGAAAACCTACTGTTGGCTTGGGGTTTGGCAAGTCCAAATATGGTGCTACATAAGTCTTAGGTATAGACAACAAGTGTCAATTCAACTAATGTTGTGTGAAACGGACCTTGTAATTTGATTTAATCCATTTACTTACATTAGTGTTCCAATTCTGCTCTGTATTGACCTACTTGCTTCATATATATCTTGGGGTTTTCCTATATAATACCTATCACATTAATACAATGAGTTGTATTGTTGTGTTTACATACAACAATGTAACGTTTGCTTCTGGTATATACAAATTTTATCTGTGTCTTCTGTTTTAATTTGAGTCACTTATAAGTACACATTGAGTCATAATTATAGACAAATTTAACTCTCGAGTCATTTATAAGTAAACATTGAGTCATAATTATAGACAAATTTAACTCTCGACAAGTCATGCAGTTGTATGCTCACTGACTTTGACATAGTTTACACCCCTCGTATTAAAATACTACTCCGATTTGTTTACTTTCAAGAAAATCCTTTCCTGAACTTGTACAATTGTTCTGTTAAAGAACATTTAGTGATGATGTAATTTTGAAATTGTTATTATGTTTGTTATTTTGAATTAGTGTAGCAGTTTGCCAGTAAAAAAAAGAATTTGGGTTCTCATCTGTTGTGATTGAAACTCCACAATTTTCAAAATAAAATCTTTTATAATAATTAAGTTTGTGAAATGTTCTAATAATTTCATTTCTACGTTATACTAAAAAAATCTCCCTATTAAACCCCTATATACCCTAAAATGTTTTCTACAGCCAAGTAGAATAAATAAAAGTTTTTAACATCAGAATCAAAGAAAGTATTACTGAAAATAGGTTTAATGTACCTAGCTAGTTTATATAGTCTCCTAGATTTTCATTAGGTATTTTTTGAACATTTTAGGCTATGATTTTAATCATTTGATTTTAATAACTCAAATAGAAGTACTGTACTACAATCTTAACATTGTATTGGACCATAGAAAAATAAAATAAATATAGACTGTCAAAGGAAGGTCCTGCGATGTGCCACTCGGTGTTCGATTCGCTGTCGTTGTCGGCTCCTATGCTATCAGCAGACCCTGCAGCAGTGTGCGCCGTAACTACACTGCAATCCTAGATGTGGGCGCCAGAATAACCGCAGAAAAGCTGACGGTCATTATTCTATTTGTCTATGATTAGACTCTTTATTCTTAAGTTTTCCTTTTATGTTAAATAGTATCCTGAACATTTAAAAATAGGTTAAATTATTGTATGCTGTAAGTATTATAAGTAGGCTACAGTAAATTACTTTTCTTTTTCAGAAACTACTGGAAGTGGAAGATGCGACGGAGGATGAAAGAAAAGACTTGACGGGGAAAATCGAGAGTCTCGAGTCCATCGTTAGGATGCTGGAGCTGAAAGCTAAGAACTCTTCTGATCATGGTGAGAGGTTTATAGAATCAATAATATAATATTGATTGGATTTTTGATTAAGGATACTGTATCTCAAATACTCAGAACGTTCTCTTTACGTGAGACCAACAGACTTATCATTTCAAGTTTTATCTAAGTGGAATTACGCCTCCAAACCTCTTGGGGGTGGTTCCAGGACTGCTTTTATAAATGGGCCCGGGCCCAAGGACGTAAGAGGTTTTAGGTTTGTTGGGGATGCATGGAGGAGAAAAATTTATCATCAAGGTAGGTTGAGCTGCACAATCATCTCTCGGTGCACATCACATGCAAACCGTGGGGCCTGGGTGGTCCCAAACCATCAGATGTATGATAATTGCTTAATCAAGTCAAGTCAAGTCAAGTCAATCATTTATTTTCACATAACGTTTTACAGGTCCAGCATAGCTGGGAAACAGGTGAAATGGTCATGGATAATTAAAATACATAAAACTATAATAACTACGGTATACAATATGCTAAGAAATCAAATATATACATCATTTAAAAAATCATCAACTTTGTAATACCCTTTATTAAGCAGCAATTTGGTAACTTCTTTTTTGTATTTTTCAAAAGATTCTAATGATTTAATATTATCAGGCAGTTTATTATACAGTTTTTCCCTAGGTATTGTGGAAGGGTTTCTAGTGAGGTAAGTCTATGAATGGGCAGTTGTAAATCATTTCGATGTCGTGTTAAGTAATTATGGTTATGGTTTTCAGAATTTAATATTTCAATTCTCAAACTAATGAAGTTCATTCATAAAATATTCGTTAGTAGTAGTTAAATTAAGTTTTTACGGTATCAACGGAACTCCACTTTCTTTTTTCAAGTCATACTTAAACAATAGAACACAAAAAGTCAATATTGATGGAGACTGGTCCCAAGAATTAAAAATAAAATATGGCGTGCCTCAGGGGTCTGTTCTAGGTCCTCTGTTATTTTTAATTTGTATTAACGACCTCCCAGCATGTATAACTAGTAAAACTTATTTGTATGCAGATGACACAACATTTTTAAATATTAATCCTGATCTTAAACAACTTCAAGAGTTAGCTCAAAACTCAATTAATGAAGCTTCTATCTGGTTTGAATCTAATGGCTTCCTCTTAAATAAAGATAAAACTCAAAAAATTGTTTTTCGCCTTAGACCGTGTGAATTAAATATGTTGGATGGCTATGTAGACAACGTGAAATTTCTTGGTATTTATCTGGATAAGACTCTTTCCTGGGGACCTCATATTGATTACATAAGTTCTAAGCTTTCAAGGGTAATTTGTCTTATGACTAAACTAATACATTGTATAGATCAAAATTATATTAAAACAGCCTACTTTGCTTATTTTCAATCCATTTTTAGATACAATATTATATTTTACGGCAATTGCAGTAGGATAGAGGAAATTCTAGTCTTACAAAAGAAGTTGGTTAGAATTATATCCTATGAACCCCAACAGGAACACTGTAAACCCCTGTTCATTCAGCTACAAATTCCAACAGTGATTAACATTTATTTATTTGACTCTGTATCATACGTTCAAAAAAATTCCAACTTAATCAAACAAATTTCTCATGTTCATTATACTAGGAATAAAAGCGTTGCTGCCATAGATCTTTTCAGACTGTCTAAAACTCTTAAAAGCCATATTGTAATCTCACTAAAAATATACAACAAACTAATACATTTAATACAAAAATATCCTGAAAACACTTTTAAAACAAAATTCTACAGATGGCTTTTGAACAACCCATTCTATTCTCTAAATGATTTTTTTGAAATGTCTGGTATTAATTTTTAAGTAGAGTTAAGAGTTTGCGAATTGACCAAATTATTTACTGTTGGATTTTGTTGGTTATGCGGTTTAATCACTTCCATTATTTTCAATGCCACAAATTTTTCTTAAGATTAAGATTACCTATTCAATTGTAATATTTAAAATGTGTATTGTAAAGTGTCTCATTTTATGTAGTTAGCTATATTGTATCTTACTGTATTTATTAACTGACTATGCTATAAACCTTAGCAGTTGTATGACTTTGTCAATAATTTGTGAAAATTCTAAGGACAATAAACACATTTCATTTCATTTCATTTCAGTAGCCTATATGAAAAAAAATTCTTATGACATCACTTGATGATAAGTCGCTTAATTTACCAGGCAGTAATGTAGGAATATGGATTACCCAAGGAAAAACTGGGTAACAATCAGATTTTTCAGAAATCTTTCAATTGACTTCAAACCATCCTTTTTTACTAACGATTTGTAACTAATGTCAGTAATGTACACGACCTAATGTATGTAACAGTAGAAATCATGTAAAAAATACATTAAGTTAAGTTCTTGAATTTTTTACCCCAGCAGCAGTCGACCACAAGCAGTAGTCTTTAATAGTTGCGTTTTTAAATTAACAAAAATAATCTGATAACACTATCTTATAAAATTAAAACAAACTAATGTTTTTGTATAGGCATATGTAAAACTAAAACATTTCAAATTGTATATAATTAATAAACTGAAATACAAGATCCATTCACATCAGCGGTTTTGAAAAACACAAAGTGACTGTCAATTGCGTACATAGCTTGCAGAACCTGTTGAATAAGTAGACTATAATGTATTCTTAGGCAGGTCAATCAAAGCTTGTTAATTAGCATGAGCAATCCAGGAGCTACTTACAAGCCATTATGTAACCGATGAGTTGGTATGTACAGTGGAACTTTGGATGAGTAAAAAACCAAGGGACCAATAAAAATGCCAAACTATCAAGACATTTTAATTGGATAAGTTTAATAATGAAATGGTGGAAAATTTAGTAACATTAGCAAAAAACATATTGAAAATCCAAGTATTAAGTCAATTTGAGAGTTACTTACAGGCTACCATTGCTATTTTTAAGCAGGAGTCAAAGTTTTTCAGGATTGTTTTGACTGTAATTATTAAATAGTTGCTTGATTTTTACAAGCGTAAACAATGTCTAAACTTTCAAGAAAAACTCTTAACTGAAAAAAATTGGTGATAAACAATGATTTTTTAATGTGTAAGAGGTTCACTGTAACTATTTAACTGATCAATCGACATGATGTACGAAACAAGGGTCGCCAGCTATAGTTTGGGAAGGGAGGCGACTAGACAATGAGCGGCAGTAGTAATAATAAGGGTTGAGCCGGTCTAGTGGTAGATTTCTTCATAGCCCAAGGTCCCGTGTCAAATCCCGCCCATCACCAATGGATTTTATCTTTGTGATAATGCTGCGACCATCTAGGACTAGCCTGAAGTAATGTGTAAAACAGTTCGAGACCAGAACCAAGCGTCCTAGGATGTGAAGGTGGGGCATGAAAAAATTAAAATAAAAAAGCGTAAATTCTTAGCCTATATAATCTTTAGGTAATGTATAATAGTTGTCTGAAACATCTAGTCTACTCTTATTACTTACTTACTTAGGTACTGCCATTCTCTTGGTACCCAAGGAGGTACTTCGCCTCGCCAACACACTGCTTCCAGATTTCTCGATCCATTGCTTCCTTCTCTCTTCTTCCCATTCTTCTCAGGTTTCTTCTTACTTCATCTTGTCATCACAACCTGGGCCTTCCAGGATGTGATTTAGGGCGTTTTTGCTTACCAATTTCAAAAATTTGTCATTAACAAAATTATTTTTTACAGTATACAGGTTAGAAGAGAAAGAACAGGAAATGAAGAAGGAATATTCAAAACTGCATGAACGATATACAGAACTGTTCAAGACCCATATGGACTACATGGAGAGAACAAAAATTATCATGGGCAACTCGGAAAGAATAGAAGTCTCTGGTCGGAGTCGACTTGGGAACCTTGGAATATCCCAGCTTAACAGGTATTGTAAACTGCTTGATTGTCTTGGGTCAACTAGTCATATCAGTCCATTCTTCCTCGACGTAACACCAGTATAGCATGTTATGGTTATACACCTCTAGGTATGTGTACAAGCTATTGAACAATACTGTGTGGACAAAATGTCCCTCAAAGAAGTGTAAATATGATATAATACCTATCCTTTACTGTGTCTTTTAATTATACATTATAAAATGATATTATATAAGATGCAGGGGAAGAATTGTTAGGTGCCTCAAGGTTAAATGCTGCAGGAGTCGATGTTCGCCGCCTTCCTGTTCAATGACTGTATTGCCCATTCTCCACTTGCTATGTAGAGTTTTGTATGTGCTAATAATATCGCCTTGGCTTACTAGCACAGATAAATACTTCAGATAGATGTGGCACTATTGATAAAAAATACTTAAAGAATTTTTTTCAAACTTGGAAGCTTAATTATATCTTGAAAAATGGTTGATTATGTTTCCACTTCAGTACTCGACTGACCAATCCTCAAATCAAAACCGTATTTGTTAGCGTAGAATTTAAGCAAATTTTCAAGCTACTATAACAAGGTCTATTCCTGTTTTAATACCTAGATTTGTATTGAACATTTTCTTGTCCACAGGTCAACGGGTCCAGTTTCGTTCGGTTTCCAGTCCCTGGAGCAGAGCGCTGTGTCACTACGACCTGCTGGTAGTCCAGGAGAGTTTTCTGGTGTTCCTGCCTCTCCTCCTGAGAGTAACCACTCTCTCACTAGTCTGCGTAATGAACTACAGCCGCAGGTATGTACAATGCTACATGCTACGGGTGGACATTACATTTCAATGTTAGGTTGTTGCCAGTTTAGACTACAAATGAAAGCAGGATGGCCACAGACGAAAAATTCTGGAAATTATGTGTGAATTTGGAAATTTGGCTGGGAAAATAGATTTTTATTGTAATTTTGTTGTAGGCTAGTATGGATTCAAAACAAATTTAAAAGGGTTAACACCCAGCGACATAATTTATTTGCTTGTGTAAAAGCTCATGAAACTTAGATAGCTCAAGTATAACCTGATTTTAAAACATCTTGAACATCTTCTGTGGTCAGTGATAAATCGTGAACATCTTCTGCAGTCATGGCGAAATCAAGAAGGTCTTCCACAATCAAGGCAATATATATTGAAAAAATCTTCCACAGTCATGATGAAATTGAAAACATCTTTTGTGGTAATGGGATGATTCCTAATATCGTATCCCATGATTGGGGCAAACCTGTAAACATTACCCACGATCGCAACTAACTTGTTAACTTTTGAGCATACAACTTGACCCAAAAATGTTGGGGAACTTCAGACTTCTTGTGATTGGGTACTGGAAATTTAGACCAATAATTTAACCAGGAGAAATGTGTGAATTTTTCCCAGGGAGCTGGTGGCCACCCTGGAGCTAATTTGAATGAAGCCACCGACTAAGATATAAATTATCAATTTCTGTTAAACACACTAACTTTCTAACCAAATTAAAAGGACAACTTGTGTACCATAGTTTAGTGTCACACTACAATAGCAAAGCTAAGGAAAAAATCAAATTTGAGACTATGTGCTATTGTGTGTGCTATAATGCATAAATACTTAAATACATAATATCCATAAGTATGTGCTATGTGCACTTGTGTGTTACACTGTGGACAGTATAATATAGATCAGTTTTGATATTTTCTATTGGAACAAATATTTGGCTACAGCAGGATCAAACTTATGGATCGAGATTCTTGACTATCACTAATACACTATTTACAGTTTTCAAGTAGCCTACTTGTCTAACACTATTCATCTATAATATTCAGAGTGTATACTTATGAGTAGTAAAACTTGACCATGAGCTCTCATATGGCCTATTTGTTCACAGGAGATGGATGAGGAGCCGTCCATGCATGTGTCGGAGAAGGGATGGTCCGAGACACTCAGTCCTGTGTCTAAGGATGGCAGTCCAATACAGGACTTGTCCGAAGACGCACCAGCCCCTCCTCCTGCTGTTACCACCCCCGTTGGCCGCTCTCATACCAAACGGTAAGAAACAATTTAGTTTTCAATTTGTTTGTGTCATTTTACATACAAGGGCTAGGCTCCAACCAAGAATAGTTTTTCAACATTACTTAAAGCCAAAGGGTAGTTACGTCACGTAGTTAAATCCATTGTTGAATGGAGAGATTTGATCCTGTAACCTCAGACACCGAATAGTGCTTTACCACTAGACCATCACCAGCCCACTCCCCTTACGTTTTGGATTGACTGATTTGGTGCTTAGGACTAGGCCTGAATAGTCATGTCATGACCACGTAGGTAAAGCCAGTCATTGGTGACTGACAGGACTTGAACCCAGGACCTCGGGTGACAGAAGCCCTTAAAAGTAGATTGATTTATAAATAGTAAGTATTGTTTGAATAGACTGTGAAAACTGGATTTTAAAACTCGTCAGATTCAAATCAACCTTTATTCAATTTGTAAATACAACAAAATCCCCTTTTAACCACAACAAATATTTATATGTAGTATCTGTAGCCTACATGTTAGTCATCAAACTATAGCTTTCAAGATATTCAACGTTTTTATATTGTAGTGATTCATAGATATCATTTCTAATTCGAAGCCTTACCTAATTGATAAGATAAATTCACCAACGTCTAAGTAATAATAATGGAAGCGGTTACTATTTTAGATCTGACGTCACAGAATTGCAAGTAAAGTTACTAGGACAAAATTTTGCAATATTACAGTAGGTATAAATTTTTTTTTTTTTTTTTTTTTTTTTTTTTTTTTTTTTAAAGAGGTTGGCGGCCTCTTTTAACCTTGCATTTGCCCGTCCACATAGACTAAGCGCCCGTGCGTGGATCGTTAACAGCAAAGCAAGGAGTGAGCCGGTACAGTACAAAGGTGAACTGTACTGATAAAATGTTATCGGCAGTGACCAGGATCCGAACCCACGACATCGCTGCCTTGGGCCCGAAGTCCGCGACGCTACCGACTGAGCCACCGACTCACTAAAATGCTAAAATGCTAAATGCTATATTGTTAGCTAGACATTTTTTCCCCCCAATATTTAGAATCTTCTATTAAAAAAATTTATGTAGGCCTACAACTTTTCATTCATTCACCAAGCATATTATTGAGGGTTACAGATCAAATATGATTTGTTTTAAATGTTTATGAATTTTTTTCATTGTTTTGTCTTATTCATTGAACACAGGAACTCGGTCGTTGTGTCTTGGAGTTTATTAGCTAGTTTTGATCACATTGCTTCAGACACCATTGGTTTGTCAATGTAACTTATACAGTAATAGTTGTTTATTCCTTTCGCTTGAGCCACTGTCTTGTGCAGACATGTCCATTCCTCTACCGTCAATTTTTACTAACTGTTGTTTTCTTGTTTTTAGGTACTTTCTCTGATTTAAAATCCCAAAAATCGTTGAAACTAGTTTTTGGAAAATATCTGCAATAATGCATTGAAACAATAGTTTTTTACCGTGTGAAGATGTGATGTACAGACTTGTATATTGGAACAAGCGGCTGATATTTTAAAAATTGAATGTTTTTAATTAAAGTTTTCCGTCCAATTTTTTTTGCCTTGTCACACTAGCTTTTTCCCCTCCCACGTTTAACCTTGCATTTGCTTGTCCACACAGGCCTCCTGAGGCTTGTACATGGAACATGTCAAGCATAATAAGGGGTAAGTCCTATACAGTACAGACTAGGGTAGTTGAAATGAACTGACAACATGGAGTGACTGGTACCAGGATCAAACCCAGAATTGCTGCCACGGGTCTGTCCCACAACCAACTGAGCCTCAGACTCACCACGGTTAAAACGTTTCTTGGCTAGGTTTGTCCAGTGACAAGTATACAATTTTTGTCTCAAAATCTATGTGAATGTCTTTTACGACTAATCAATGCTGCGGCTACAATACCGACTAAGCCAAGATACAATTGTTGAACCCCAGATGGTAGCCTGAATGTCAAAACACGTTCTCCGCAAAAATAGATTTGAAAACGCCATATGAAAAATGTTAAACTGCACTCAATCTGTGCTACAAATTACGTCATAAATGTTACAGAGAAACGCGGAGTGGCAACACCCTCTACCAGGAGCTCAGCTTCCAAGACGCAGAGGCCCTGGGTGAGATGGACGAGGGAGCGGACATCACAGGTATGTCAGGGGCGAGGGTGGGAACTTAGATTACCATGAGGGACAACGTCAGTAGTCATTGCAATGGGTACAGATGATTATATCTGAGTTCCAAGTAGTAGGCTAATAATAGTGTTTGCTATGGAAGGAACTTGAGATTTAAATTCCATGATCAAAAATTCCAGTTGGGGTATCAAAGAACCTAGTTTAATTTTAGCCTCTGGTAGAGGGTTCTGCTGTAAAATTTCATGTTCTTTTACACCAATATTTAGGGAAAAAAGAACTCAAATAAGTTGAGCTTAATCCATCCAGATAATGATGTTAAGAAATAGGCATTGCCTGAAACATTAGGACACAAATTGTAGTGTAAAATATTTAATTCAATTCATAGTTTAAGATTAGTTAATAGTTCATTGCCAGTTTCAAGAACTAATTTCATCCCTTACAGCGCTGTTATCATAAACTGCCTTTAGAGGTAAACTGTCTGACAGTTTACCATTTGTTACGTAATTTCAATAATTGTTTGCCTTAGTTCACAAGTAACTACATTTCCTTGAATGAAACAACAGTGAGGATGAAAAATTTTGAACACTTGTCAATGTGAAATGTTAACAGCTGATTTTACTCAGTAACAAAGCTATGAATTACCAGCTGATCACTCATATTAAATTAAATAAACAATCCACTTCTTACAGTGTCCAGGAATGTTGTGATATGATGATATATTATGTCTAAGTTGTTATTGTTCAATCTCATTGGGTACAGTTTCACTGAGAACCTACGATGTATTATCGGATGAAATATTAGATTGATACGTATTGTATTGTACATTGTTCATGCTATGTAATATCGATATATGTAGTGATGTGTCAATACCAAAATTTATCAATTCTTAATACCAATACCGATACAAAGCCGACAGGCCTACCTAAAAAATCAATGTTTGATTCTCGATACCAATCCTATTTATTTTATAAATCTTACCAAATGTTCTAATCGATTGGTTATACAACACCAACCCCTGTCTTTGTCCTTCCATAAAGTATTTTGAGAAAATGGGGCATTTTTCAAGTAAAGAAATAATTAATGGAGCAATGATAAATTGTAACTAGGAAACGTCATCGTTGTCTTCCGCGATGGCAGCAAATCTCTGTTCATCTCTCGCGGCCGTGTAGAATCATCATCGACTCACGTTGTCACGGAAGTTGGAAACGTCACTGTTGTCTAACGCGATCGCTTCAAAATCCTGATGATCCCCCGTGGCGGTGGAGACATTATCATCAGTTCAGTTTGGATCATGTATTGGTTAAATTTATGCTTGTGTAATTCAGTTGATATGTTATATAATTTGTTTAAGATATAAATCTACAAATATGTCAATTTGTATTTGTGTTATATTTTTCACAAGTTTGTAACAAAATCAATTTGTGTAAATAATAGTTGTTTGAAATTATCTTTATCATTACCTAAACTGATCCAAACTATCTAATCTAAACTGATATAATCTGACTTGTCTAAATCTAACCTATACGCTTAAGCATAAAAGAGTGACCCGAGGTCCATTCCTTGAAAAATCCATAACAATAACAAAGAATCAAACATTGAGCGAAAGATTTTAATCGATAGTTAAATCAAATGAAAAATAATACATCATAGGTTCTCTGTGGAACTGTACCCGTAAAACTTTTACAATGTACACCATTGACTTGAACCGACACAGCCTGATTTTATATTAATGAGATACGCAATAGTAAAATGCACATTTTCTTACGCAGGCAGTTGGGTGCACCCCGGGGAATATGCATCTTCTGGTTGGTATATCAAAGTGTACATACTCCCGTACTGCACGTGATTTGATTTCACTTAGTCTGCTGCACGCAACCCAACTAGTTGACCTATAGTGTTCTGCAGATTGATTTTAGTTTTGTTTAACGATTTGATTTAGCACAACGCAATGATGCCCTCAATTAATTGTAATTATTATATTTTCTGTATTTAAAAAAAAATTATTTTATAATTTTTACGTACGAAAACGAACAGATTGTAACTTAACTTACTGGCTGATAATATTGAATTGTAGAAGGAAGATTCAGCTACCTTGAAAAAGTACAGGTGGCCGTAGAACATTTAGAAGAGACACACGATAATTCGTTCCCTGGAGGACTTTGTTAAGTGAAGAGAGTTTACAGAACATTGTCTGTTCAGTGTCTCTACTGTATGTTCTACAGCCTACTTGTACTTCTTCAAGGTAAGTTACCTTATTCTACAACTCAAAATCCTGGCCTAGAGAAAGGCCCTATTAGAAAAAAAGGCCATGCTGCAGCGGACAGCGCAACACTACGCCACAGTGGTGGATAGTTGTACTATAGTTCAAAGTCAAAGTTAAAACATTCAACATTCTTTATTCGTTGTTTTGTAGCGTTAGTATATTGAACATGCATCATTTCTTAAAACAAATCCTTATAACTACCTAATATAATTTCTGTCAATAAGTACAATAATGTTAAAAACACCGTAATTTCTGTTGGCAAATGTTCAATTTAAGGCCGTTAGTTATTTTAAAACTCATCTAGTGAGTATAATGCTCTCAACTAGGTGTTCTTTTAATTTTCTTTTAAATTTTGAAAACTCTTGATTTGTGTCTATTATGAGAGATATTTTGGATGTTTAAAATTTAGATTGTATATAATTTGGCTTTTTAATTATGTTTATACTACATAGCATGGTATTAGATATCAAGAATATTAGTTAATCTACTGGAACAAAAAAATTACTTCAAATTAATTTAAAATTATAGAGTTATAATCCTTTTGAGCTTATCCCTTTATCAGCTAGCTCTTCATATTAAATCAAATTTGAAGCCTATTTAAAACTAAATTTTTCTCCAGTATTCACACTTGAATCGCCAAAATTATATGTATTGGACGCGAGAGCAACATCACTTAACTCCCAACACTAATAGTGCAACAATTGCTCCATAAACAGCTGAAGCTATAGGTACTTGACTTTTGCTTCATTCGGGAAGAAAATTTAAGGACCACACTTGTACTTTTGGTTTACTTTTGGTATTAGTGTGGTTGACCACGTTCAAGTTTTATTAATAGCTGACCAATCTTTAATGAAAATTACGTTCTTTGTTGCAGATGATGTGCTATATTATAATTGATGATTGTAAATAAATGATGAACATACTTGAAGCAGCAATCATTTTTCTAGCTAGTGTAGTGGCTTTCTTTTCTATTTACGTTACATTTTGTATTATTTCCGCACCTATGTTAGATCCTGTAGTATTTTTCTTTTTCGCATGTTTCAGCAGATAGTGACGATGAGCCGGAACAAAGACCCACGGGTATGATGCTTTTCTTTGTTTACAGAAAATCATCATTCATGTTATTCGGAACATTGCCATTGTCATAACAATCATTGCATTTATGTTTCTTCAACGTCTTTTTTGCATATTTTGTCTGTTTTCTTTAGCAAAATTGCTCTTTTTGTGACCTGTTAAAATCTGATTTGTCAAAAAGGATTTTGCTTTTGTATAATTAATTTGCAAGTATTCTATCTCTTTTAACAAATTATTGAGTTACTGAATGAATAATTCTAAAATCAAATATTTATACATTGTAATATGTTAAAAAAAATTATTTATTTAATTTTAGAGTTTCATTTTTGTTTTTATTTGCTCAGATCCAAGATTTATCAATCTAATATTTTCATAATTTAAATCAGATACGGTACATAAAACAACAGGGTACTACGCAACTCAGATCAGATACGGTACTACGCAATACAACAAACTTTCTAATTTTCTCGACTTTCCTTTTGTACCATAGATTCCAAAAACTCACACTGCATGTTTTACTTTTCCCCTACCCTTTTAACACAAAATTCATCTCATCAACATATATTTTTATATTACAAAATAAACTTTGCTTTCATAGTTTTCTCTTCTTTTCAAACACTGTTGCTTTTTAAGTAGCTTAAACTCCACCACTCTTCACAATAACCATTCTGAGTCAAACATTTTTACTCATAATGTATGGTTGGTAGATTTTACTGAGAAACATTTCACCGTTATTCTCCATTGCCATTTTAGTTTTTTTATCTAACCATTCACTTTAAATATGTTGTGTTGCATTTTAATTTAGATTTTAAAAAAATTTCCACTTTGTTAGTGTGACTATGCAACTATTTGTTTTTGCTGATGTTACATTTTAATTTTTTTAAAATTGTGTTTAATATTTTATTTTATTCAAAATTTAAATGACTATGACAAAATAGATAACACACTTTGTTGTCAAGATCCACTGTTCTTGATAGATGACTGGTTAAGAAATTCATTGTTCCATTTTTATATTTGATTGTCAACATTTTTGATTGTAAAGTCACTTTTGTTATAAATAAGTTTCTTTGTTAGTAGGCCAACTTACAGGGGGGACATTAAAAGCCAAGGGACATTTAAAAACATTTTTTAATTAACTGTCATATAAAAATGTTTATGTAGCCTGCCAAAAAAAGAACAAGTACAAAAAAGGATTTTGTTGTAAAATTCAGCACATCTGGTTCAGCTTCCAGATTTGTTTTATTTTGTTGGTCTGGCCAGGTATAAATATCTCAATAATAATCATAATTCAATGTTTAAAACCTTATTCAATTCCCAGTATTTTAAATGTGGTATTTCTAACGAGATTTTTTTATTTAGATAAAAAACAAACATTGAAGCTCTGAATCTAGTCATATCTGTTTATCAGAGGATTGAAGATATCAATGTATGTTACCTTTTTAAGGTACTACAGTCAATAATTTGTAAATTATATTGAGAACCAGCCTTGTAATTTTTTCCTAAACTCTGGCATGTCGGTGGTTGGATAACCTCGGCATGTTTCAAGGCATGCTGCCCGAGTAAAGTGGCACTGTATCCCTTTTGTTTATTGCATGGTATTTTTGTGATTCTTGATGTTATTGACAAAAAGATTTGCAGCTTTTTATAACACTTGATTAACATGTGTTTTCTTTGTTTCTGCCTTTGCCACGCCTCTCCAGTTAACGACAATTTCTTTGGTAAGATTTTTTGCTAACACAATTCATTGCATTTACTTTTAATTGTTTCGTTAGCTTTAAGTTTGTTTAAGTTTTTGGAATGTGGGCTTATTGTGAGCTGTAGTATTAATCAAAAGACTTACTGGTAGCCTTTGTTTAATCTAATATGAATTACATTAGCCCAATATAAACTTGGTTGTTTCTAAATTAAAACATAATGCTGGTATTTTGAAGAAATTATTTTTTTGTTTAAATTTTGTACCAGCATTTACAATTTGTTGTGTAGTTGCATTAGTTGAAATGTGTCACATTTTATTCGTCTATTGTTAATAAGTTTATATTTTCTCAATTGATGCATAACACTGTCTCAATGTGTTAAATTTTTTTTTTATTATATTAAATTGTTTTACAAATAAATAGTGTACATTGATGATACCTAATTGTGCTTTTGTTTTTAATAGATATTTTAGGTAAAATGAAAATGATGCGTTCAAAGTCAAAGAGTGCATTTTCATTCTCATGTATTTATCCCTGCACATTGTTAAAACTCATTTCTTCTATAACACATTTTTTTGAAGTATGTAAATGTGTGAGTAAAATAAAATCCAAACGGTTATTTCTTACAAAATTGAATGAGTACTTTTTTTACTATTTTATATTTTTTATCACTATAATAGATTTCTAAGAAAAATAATAATATTTTCTAGGAATGGGAAAAGAGGTTGAAAATCTCATCATGGAAAACAACGAGCTTCTTGCTACCAAGTAAGTCATTTAAGTATTTATTTCATTTTCTAAATATTGACTTTATTGTGATATGTTTTTCATTTTTGTATTTATAACTAAATGAAGCTATTCAATTCAGTAAAATATAAGCAAAAAATATATACAATTTTATGGAACTCCCAAAAGTCTTAAACGATTCTTAGTTTAAGTAAGCATTTTACCCCCAAAATGTCCCTGCCCTTTTGATTTTGTTTCCAAAGCCAGGTTTAGTAAAATTGCATAGACATTTTCTAGAGGCAATGTAGAATTTAGGTTTTCAGTGAAACCCAACGCCAAAAATTGAATCATCAACTTTCTTAAACTGGGATCTGAAAATACCCATTTACATATATTTCCTAATTAGGGTTTTAAAACTAAGATATTCAACAATTAAATTTAAATTTCCATACATTAAGGGTAGGTACTTAAATGTTTGCTTTATTATAGTTCTCACAATTTTCTTAGACATATATTCATACTGTAGAATAACAGTACTGACAGTACTAGTGATTCTGAGCAAATGTTAAAATTGTGTATTATTTTATATCATAGCTTTGAATTTGAAATAAAGCAATTTCCTGTTCCACTTACTGGTACAGTAGATTCCCTCTTATCCGGACACCTTTTAACCGGAGATTGGTTTAACCGGATTACAATCGGCAGAAATGATATCTCTTTAACCGAACAATTTTTATCAGCGCATTGGTTTAACCGGACTAGATCGGCAGGAAGTGGGCGGTACTGAAACGACTGTTCTCGTGGGAAAGATTTGAGACCAGTGATTACGTGTCTAAATACAATGCTCTCCTAAATTTATTTTAAATATCACAGTAAACGGTCTGTTTTAACGAGTTTTTGGGGACGTCTGTTTAACCGCAAAAACCGTTATCCGAATTGGCCTCAGTTCCGAGGAGTCCGGATAAGTGGGAGTCCACTGTATGTATTTTTGTATGTAGTAATATTTCTCTTACTTTTTTCCAGAAATGCCTTAAACATTGTTAAGGACGACCTGATAATCCAGTTAGATGAATTAACAAGGTTAGTGTCTGGTTTTTGTGCTTTTATTATTAAGCTGCTATCTTATATTTCTAAAATACCATTATTATGATAGATTCAAAATTTTCTAGCATGTTTAACGTTTCATGTAGCTTTTTGATCAAAGTGAGTTTTTATATATGTTGATAAATTTGTAAAAAACCACTTTTTAAGACTTCAATGCACTCTCTATATATTAAGTTTTTGCAAATGCAAAAAGAGTGTGGAATGGAGTGATCTGTGTAGCTTTGTAAGTGACAAGGCCAGGTGAACCATTTTAGGACAAAAGGAAATATATAAAATGCAGGGGTGTTCAAGACTGTCATAACCAATCCTATACCTATATTAAAACGAAACAGGGTTTTTTTATTTCACGATTCTGAATCAACCACTTGACGGATTTTAATGATTTTTGTGTTGAAAGAAAGATCATTTTGAGAACTAGGGAATGTCGAAGCCATAATTTTAGTTTAGGGTTTCAGTTTTTTAGAAATTAAGTTTTAATTTTCAAAAAGTCTAGCAGCCGACGGACGAGTTAAAGTCGTTTAATTTAGTGGTGGTTTAACTAACAGCTGGTTTCTAACTGTCATTGAAATGTTTATGTTACAAGTTGTTTGTATACAAAAATATTGATCGTCAGAGTTTGCCTACACACTATTTTACTTTAAAATGCAGTTTATTTTCTACCGTAAAAGATCTATGTTATCAGGAGATTGTGTAATTTCGAACTAAACATTTTAAACGTATAATCAAGTTTTGTCATAAATGCAATCCGTCTAAGTATAAGTGCTTAATCCTTTAAGATATAAGTGGTTTACGTGTTGATACATCTTTTTCTAGATGTTTGAATATAAGTATGACTGCATACAGTACACATTTTATTCGTAATGAAAATATCAACCGGTGTAGTAGGTCTCCAGAAAACTGACCAGTAAGCTGCAGGGTGTCAGTAGAAACCAAAATCGATTCATACCATATCATAACTATCCCAGTAGTACTGTATGATTCAGAAACTTGATAAAGGGGTACATTCCAAAAGTAGACCAAAAGGCTCGGTCTCAGATGGGCTGGGCAGGCTTTGCGTGGCGGAGAGAAGATACTTCAACTTTTAAAAGTGTATTCCAAGGAGTACTACAAGGTAGACGACCACTTGGAAGACCAAGTAATGAAAGATATCTTCAGACTGGTATCTTCCTGTCATCCAGAAATGGCAGGGGATTGAAGAGAACGGGAGGCCAGGATCATTTTAGAGGTTTCAGTGGCCAAGGTGGTAAAATAAGGTACGGTAAGTGATAGTAGGCCTATGCAGTGGAAGGTGGTATGTACACTCAAAGCCAGTGTGTGTGAATCGGCCACCAAGTTGTAATCTAGCTGTTCTGAATCATATCATATTCAGTTTTAATTGACTACTCAATTCCCGTACGTAGGACGGGCCAACAGCTTGTTTATTTTAAATATATTTTAATCTCATTGAGGTGAAGTATAAGCCAGAAAGGTCTATTTTACTATTGCAAAACAATTGACTTCTAAAACTGTTAAGTAATTGTTTGATTTTGTTTCGCAGTGAACAAGAAATTCTTAGAGAAGAACTGAAATCATTACAAACCTTAAAGACCAGACTGAAACAAAGGATTACAGAGTTGGAAGAAGAATTGAAGAAGACAAAAGAAGAGGCTGAGAAATTAGCAAAATCAAACAAATCCGATGATGAGGTATAAATAAAATTATCTTATGGAATTACACACAATGTTCACCACATAACTTAACGACAGTAATATTAAAAACTGTAAACATCCCTGGAATATTGTAATACTACACAGGCTTCCCTTATTTTTTTACCTCCACCAATTTACCCCCTTAGGGGTCTGTAACATTAAAACTGTAGTTTCAACTAAAATGTGTGTGAAATCAGTCTATAGATATTCCAAAGAGTTATTAATAACCACCTTTTTAACCCGGGAGGACTCTAATGCTGATTGGAACAACCACGATACCTCACGTGTATCTTTCTAGGAACAGTCTATTTTTAATATGTCTTGTTGTGTTTTTATTTCTTGATGAAATCAGCTGCAACCACAAAAAGAAAATTCAACCAATAATCGTATGTAGTTTTTGTTATTTTATTGTTTATTTTAATTTAATTTTAGTTAACATTTCAAAGATATTCTTTTATGTCTAAACAAAAATAATTATATACAGTACAGTAATAATATTACATTTTATGTATATAACAAATGCCGAGGGTATTTCTCATTTTATAGCTTTAAAAATCAAAGAAATAACCATAAAATTATATTTAAAAATTGTTAAATATAGTTTAGTAAAAAAAAATCAATTTAATAGCAAAATAAACCTGTTTTAATCAATCCCGATAAAAAAACACCTTGAGTGAGTCCTTATAGTAAGTTCTGCTGGATTAAATAGCCTTTATACAACTTTTTTTTAACAAGTTGATAGAATAAAACAACTGATTGTATATACTTGTTATAGAAAAAATAATACCGCACCCATTCCTTTTTTTCATTTACACAATTTAAATATCTTTCTTCAAGCCCGACTGATTAATCATGATTCCACAGGAGGACGTGCCAATGGCTCAGCGAAAGAGGTTTACAAGGGTAGAAATGGCTCGGGTGTTGATGGAACGGAACCAATACAAGGTAAGTTGAAGCTACACAAGCAGCTGTTTAGTATACTTTAACAGGTGTACTCTTGATTTACCAACCTAATTTAATTATTGTCTATTAAGTAGTGTTTTAATTATAATCTCGTATAGTTTGTTTATTGAATAATCTTGTTGATAAAATTTGTTTGTGGGGGATTTGGGGTCCTAGCCTTAGCTACTTCAACCTGTTGATTTTTGTAGCACCCCAGCTCAGTCTGAGAGCACTAGGCTATTATAGCTGTGAAACGCTCATTTCTCTCATCACTTCAGGTTTGAGGTGCAGCCTTCTAAGGGATTTCAACATTCCTAGGGACAGTCCAGCACAAGTGTTTTGGAGATTTCCACCTCGTTTTTGCAGAATCTACATTGGTCTGTATGTGGCCTTCCAATGGTTCTAAGGTGTTTGGACCGTGCCCAATTAGCATCTCCACGAATTAACAAACTCAGAAACATGTTCATAAAATATCTTGAGCTTTAAGAAATTCGCTGATCATAGAAAATGTTGTGTACACCCAAGGAAGAGTTTTCAACATTTCCAATTTTTATCGACACTTGAAAATTCAACCAATCTTTCTGTTTAGGAGAGGTTTATGGAGCTGCAGGAGGCGGTACGGTGGACAGAGATGATCCGAGCATCTCGCAGTGAACCAGGAACGGACAAGCCTAGCAAACAGAGTGTCTGGAAATAGTAAGTACTTTTGGAAGGAGTTTGGGGGATGAGCTATTATCAGTATTATCATATATCACAGTGAAGCTTAATTCAAATTGATATTAACAATACTTTGTCCAGATTATTCCAGTACTAAGTTACTTTTTTTACGTTGGATATTTCGAATTGGGTTTAGTCTGTTTCCTTTCAAAAAATGGCAAAGGTGTGGGCACAAATTAATTATAAATAAGGAAAAAAACACAGACTAAATGAGAAAGAGAACTCTGTAGGTTGCTGGTAAATTGCATAAATTTTGCATAACGGGGTGTCGGGTTTATTTAACATATAGAGTTCAGGTAGCTTACCTCAGAAAATTTTGGTTTTGGGACTTAAAATCCGAGGTTTAAGTCACATAACACTGCCATTTCATCCAAGTGACTTCTTCCCAGCTTATATTTATATGGAATGCACTGGATAAACTCAAACAACTGGTTATTTTCACTAATATCTTATCACTAAATGAAAATTCTCTTTGTTCGCTTGGCTTACTCTTGCGTTGTACAGTTTCAGCAATCTGTTCAGCTCTAACGAGCGAGGAGGCATTGCAGGTCCGAGGAAGCCTCTTCCATATGGCAACATTCATTACAATGCACCGACCCACCACATCAGTCCAGCGTTGGACACTATGCGCAAACGCTCGATGAACGACCGCAAACGAGGACTTGATCTCATAGACTCGGGAGACATGTGAGTAGTTGTCAAGTCTTTGTTTCTTCTGGGTCGGTAGAATACTTCTCATCTAACTGTTGTAAATATGTAGTGTTGGTACAATTTAGTGAATTTTGTTGAACAATTTAGCCTTAGGATCACGTTCAATTAAAAAGTCAAATAGCTGCAGTAGTGTCAAGTGGTTTTGTTTTATCTTAAGGACAACCATTGGTTTCTAGCGAATCAAAAAAAAAAAAAACTTAAAAAAAGTAATTTCTTTCTTTTTTCAGCAAAAACACTTGTTTTATACACAAAGGTTCATTTTTCAGCTGAACAACGAGTTAATTAAAATAAGCTTCTATATCACTGGGGTAAAAATAACTTGGAAGTTAACCTGTAGGTTGGAAAATAGTAGTGGGAGAAAACTGGATCACCTGACAATACAATATTTTTTTCGTCATACTGCAGCAAAAACAACCGTTTTTTGTACATGTGTTGCAGGCCTAAAGTAGCAATTTTACTCCCTAGGGAGTAAAAATCCTTTTTAGTCCCTAGGAAGTAAAAATCAGCTGTTGTAAATTTCAATTGTAACAATCGCATGGATCGGAAATATTTATAGGTTGATTTATTAGGTTTTAGCTTATTGTTGCATTCTTGTCAATAGTTCGAAATATCGATGGTATAATGTACAGTAACACAATCGTAATAGACTAAATGATCGGATCACCTACTAAACAGCTGCTTATTTACAGAATTGAACATAAGCTGGAAGTAGTTTTGGTTATCTTTACATTAAATGTATTTTTGTTTTCTATCGTATTTTGTTAATTAATGATGTAATATGACAAAAAATATAGTTCATCACACGGGCAAAAAGTGTCTTTTTTTCAACCCTCACTCATTTTCTGACCTCGGCTTCCCCTAGATCGTAAAACTTGAGCTCGGGTTGAAAAGAGTCACTTTATGCCCTAGTGATGAAATATACTATTATTAACCTTTATTCGTATTTTATGGGGTTTGACTCTGTTTTAATGTTGTAATTTTCTTTAGTAAGCTGTGGAGGTGTGGTTTGAAGCTAAGCCTTAATTCATTCCTGTACAGTATCTTGTTAACATACTACCTGTCAACCACCTGTCTCCAGTCCTAAGTACCAGACAAAACTACTTGTATTACTATGGTTTTAAAGTTGACGGTTTGCCAAGTCAATCCCACAGTCAGAAATGTACGAACGTACTCTAAACTGCTGTGTATGTACTTGACATTCTATTGCTATTTATGGTGATGTTTCTGACTTATGAATAATAATAATAAAACACCAAAGTATGCTACAGCACCTACGTTGAAAAACTGTGTAGCGATCTTATTTTTATGCATACAATCTGGTGATGAAGGTGGGGGGGGGGGGGTTATTATAAGGGGCTTACGACATGTTCCAAATGGGTCAAACGACTTTTTTCTATAGTCTATTTAGTACAAACCTTATACCTTCTAGAAAATGTAGTCCACAGATTTTCTTTAATGTGTTTTTTCTTATCTTGAGATTACATTTTTATATAGTTCTTTAATTTTATGGCCTGCCAGATTTGATTTCCTCTACACTTATTATTCTTAAATACACAAACAATTTCAATAACCCTTTTGTAACATTATATAAACAAGTAAAATAATTAGTTAAATACACTTCACTTGGCAGTTTCATACTTTTATACCACTAAAATAAAAATTAAACCTTTTTTAAAATCCTGACCTAGTTCTAACTAGCCTAATTTTCTCTCTAAACTATATAATGTAGCAAAAATTACATCTTCCTTTCAATGTCAATGCCTCTTTTATTAGGCCTACTTATTTTTTTCCTTCATTATAGTCCATTTTTTTGTAGTACTTAATATTCCATGGTCGATTCATATTTACGAATAAGACTACATATTTCAATACTTGTGCAATTTGTTGATGTATAGAAACATTATATTATTTATTGATTACATCTTATTCAGTAAAATATCTGTTTATTGTCTTAGAATATACAGTATGATGGATCAATTGTCTTTATTTACTGTAGTTATTGAATTTCACAAACAATTTTATAGAACAGGTACCTTAATATCAAACGGCATTGGATATAAAAGAATCAATGCTGTGGAAATCAAAATAAAATTATTCTTGTCGAGTTGGAGGACCTGAATATTGAAGGCTACATTAATTATCTATATTCCTAGGTTTGCGATAAATTGTTGGTGCAAGTGCAAAAAAAATAGAAATACTGCAATAAAGTTTTACTTTGTAGTTTTATATTATTTTATTTTATTTCTTCTAGTTCTTGGTTATGTGTGCTAAATAACTAGCCCCGGATCTGTAGTATTGACTTATTGGTTTCACATTACCTGTAATCAGTTCCAAATTGCAACTTAACGTCAAAGTGCTACATACATGTTTTGGTGAACTGCCTTTTACAAGTACACAGTCCATGAACAATTTTTAAATCCACTTGTATAGTTTCGTTGTTAGTTTACACACACGGCACATACACCTAACATAAGACACATAAATAAATACTTTTAGTTTGATAGGCCCATCACGTTTATAGTAATGTTTGGAATGTAATATTAGAGTTTAATTTAACATCAACACTATTACATTGAATTTGCTGTACAATTTTATAAAATTGTTAGTTTTGATTCTCTATGATCCCCGGAGGAATAACATGAAAAAACGCCGGGTGTTGCCAAACCAGACAAATCGTTTTAGATTTTTGCACAAAAATAATTTTTACTAGATGATATTGCCTTCAGTAATCTATTTGTAAAAGCGAATAACATTTGAAACTTTCTTGATATACTTTATATTTGTTTATCAAATTTATTTAGTTTGTTATTTAAAAATTTGTTTAACCGAACTGAATTTTTAGCAGTAAAACAGGTAGACAATAACAAAAGAAAACATGAGTTTTGTTAGAATGAGTTGTTCGTTCTTAGGCCGAGCGAAGACAAAGAAGACGTCATAACTGAAGAGTCTACAGTGGGATCGTCCGATGTTGAAACCGGTTCATCAGATGTTGAAACCGGTTCATCAGATGTTGAAACCGGTTTGGAGTGCGATCCATGTGACGAGGTCACAAGTGCTTAAATGACTCAGTTTCAGGTTATGTCAATTTTTTTGCCAAAGAACCTACCATTTCTAACTTAAAATAGTTTTAACATTTGATACGCTCATCGATACTAGTTTAGCTGTAAGCGGAAGACACCGGTTTCCATTAAATGTGATTTGATATCAAATAGTTTATAGGGTAAGCCAAGAATAGTTATGGCGGTACCTTTAAAGTAATTAGTAACAATTTTAGGTTTTTATCATCTAAGTCGATTGTTGATTTTATCGCACTTGTTTTTTGTTACAAAACACAGAGGATGTTTAACTCAAATGTTAGGATATTCTAAATATCCTGGACCAGTGCTAATTTGTTATTATTGTGGTGCCAAGTTGATTCTAGTCACCATTATTTTCAAGAAACAAAGTGGTTTTTTGTGTAGAAAATAAGACAAGTTGTTAAAAAGAAAATTTCAATATGAAAGATAATAGAGTGTTTTTACAATCCTAACCATTTAGTTTAGTGTGACCAATATTACAGTTTTTTCCATGATTAACAAATTTCACCCTACTGGTTGCTAGAAGTAACTAAATTATGGTTGATTAAAAGATGCAAGGCATCTCTTTCTATGGCATAATTTTGTGCCAGTTGTTGAAATAGAGTTTTTTACAACCCCAACCATTTGGTTTAGTGTGACCAAGATTATAATTTTACCATTTAAAAATTGTTTAACCTACTGGTTGTAAGTGCAAAAAAATTTTGGTGGTTTCAAAGATGCAAGACATCACTTTCTATGCCTAATTCTGTGCCACCTATCAGTTAGTGCCACTAGATAGTGTTTTAATTTTTAGTCTTTTCAGATCATTGTGAATTGATTGTTGTGTGGCTGTATTTGTAATGTTAATTTGTCTTGTACAATTTCGGTTATTGGAATTCACCAGTAAACAATATAGGGCCTATCAGAAAAAATTAAAATTGTTTTTGTTATATAATAAATTGATAACATTCTTATTATTCAGTCATAATTTGGTGACTGTAGTTATGGATTTTTGAAATCCGATGTCACCAAAATATAGAAGACTATTTCTATTTTTCAATTGAAAAGTGTATGACTTTTTAAAATTCAAGTCTGAATATCCATTGTTGTCATTCTCTAAAATATTAAAAGTCTAAAATATTCAATATTATAAGTATATTGAAATCAGCATAGGTTGAATGAATCATTCTTTACAGACCTATATCTTTAAAATAACATGTTTTTATGAATATTTTATTTTGAGAATGAGACTGTATATTTTGTTAAACGTTCATCCAGCAAGTAAAATTGTACAAGCTATGTTACGATTTCAATGTATTAGATATGTTTTAAAGAAGTTTTTGTTGATGCTGAGTTCATTATGTTGTTTGAAGTATTATTGCAGACGTTTTCAATCAATAATTGGTTAAACAGAATGAAATAATCAGATATTGAAGACGTCTGAACATAATCCTCTTAAAGAAGCACAGAATTTTTTAGTTTATTGTTTAAGTATATTATAATAGTACAAGTTTGTTTTAGTACAAGTAATATATTAAGAAGATTTATATGATGTAGTAAATTTAAGAATGTTGGGGTAGGTAAATTGTAATGGATTACTAAAGTCAACCAAGTTACAATTGTCTGCTAAGAGTTAACACGTTCGCTACCGATTGCCACATATATGCGACGCTACGGTCATTGCCACGGACCGAGATATACATTTTAACATTACATATCTAGACCGGCTGTCCCTTGGTTTACAGTACACATAGACCATGGGGCAGTAAGGCAGCAAAGTAAAAATCAGTTTTGCCAACTATCATATGAGGTCCCTAATCACCATATCCATAGACCAAGTGACGCAGTTGTGCGGAAGACATCCATGTAGACCAGTGCAGAGAATTCAGGGCCTTCAAATAGACCGTTACAAAGATATAAGCTTTCTATTGTTGGGACAATGACGCAAATATGCCACGTCAGTCTATTTTAATGTGTCTATTTTAATGAGTTTAATGTCTATGGGTAGTAGAAATCAGCCATCGCATATGTGTGTTGCTGGTCCATATGAATTAAGAATTTAGTACAATTGCGGTAGCGAATGTGTTAATGAAATGTTTTTGGATTTGTGTGGAAATTATTTGGAACTGAAAAAAGCAGATTTTCACCAAACAATTTTTGTGTAGGTCTTTACCTTAACTGAATCATTGATTATTGGATACTAAAGTAGACATTCCATCTATATAAACCAACTGTTGCCAATATTAATTATTAAAAAAAAGAGCCAGTCACAAATTGTGCTAGTGTCTAAAATTATATTTTCTGCCTTTTTTTGTTGCTGACATAGTTAGTGGATAATAACAGTTGCTATAGATCATAATAAATCGTTACATCAGTTTGACTTGGTAAAAGAGTTTGTGTATTTGACAGAAATCAGTCATTTAGATCAGCACATCCTGTCAGTTGCTCACGTCAACTACAACAATTTCGATAAAAAAAATATTTAAAAACAAACTGGTGACAACTTTAGCATGGGGATGGAATGTCTAGTTGTATCAATAGTCAAGGACTATCTAATCAACTAGTCTAATTTTTGGTGCCTTGGTTATACAATTAATTAATGAACCATTAACTCTGAGTTTGAGTCTAACTTAACACTGAATTTAACACCAATAAAAATAACAGCGTGCCAGTGTTTAACATATTTTAAAATCTTTTTTTATTTTCATTACTTTTAAGGTTTTGTTATGTTTGAAAAGGAACCCCAAGTATGTACATAACCAAAATCGGTTTTTTTATCTACGCACAATACCTGTGCAATAAATAATCCTAGAATCTTATTTTAGGTCAGCCTGGATTGTTAATGTGTGATTTTTTTTAACTAAATGAACATTTTTATAACTTTATATTTATTATGGTGCAGTTATTAAAGACAGTTGTGCTATAGTTTCTAATACTCAAAAAGTGCAAATATCTTGTGTTGAGAACTATTTCATAAGTTAAGCGTAATTTCTCATATTCAATTAGTAAAAAAATTGAGAGTTCTATGAACAATTTAGAATTGTTTGTAATGAGGTTTTTAATTTGGGAAACCTGTAACTAATTGGTTCATAGTTTTGCCAAGTAAGAATTTCAATGAGAATTTTCTCAAATCATTTAGATTTTCCTAATGAAACATTTTTAGTCAAATGTACAATGTAATTATCCTAGTTAATTTAGTCACTGCCTAGTTATTTCAGTTAGCGAATCATTTATTTACCCAAAGAAGTGTATTGTATGATATAAAATGTAATACATTTTAAGTGCTTTACTAGAATAAGTAAACTGATCTATGTTGATTTTTACTCAGCTATGTTACTATCTGTGATAAAAGATGTAGCATGTTTTGTAAATATAACTGTAACATAAATTTGTTAATAAAGTTTATTTTCTTAATACAATTTTGCTGTCTGCGTTCTTGCTTTGCCCTAAGTATCCTTGTCTATGGTCGCTAATGATTGAGCTAAGATTTTATTTTAATAGACATGACAGACAGACAGCCCATCCTATACAAAATCTCTGCATAGCAAGAAGAGTGTTAAAAGAGCTATTATTCTCTATCAAAGGCCTGTACAAAATAGCTCTTATTACTTACAAAATACATTTTAAATTTTTTAATCAAAATGCTCATGGTTCTAGTGTATACTTATTTTGTTATTGCATGGTGAAATTATTCCTGGATCATCAAAATAAGTAAATTTAAGGTTTATTTTACCTGTGATCAGGTCTAAAAAGCATTAGGTTTTGGTTTTGACTCACTTAAGCCCCTTTCACACGGGGCGAGTTTACAAGCTACAAGCCGGATTTTTTACACGCAGCTAGTAAAACAGCTCAGTGTGAACGACGTACTCGCTCAAAAGCTGCTTTTAAAAAAGCGCTGAAGAAAGTTGACGCTGCCGCTACTTTACACGCCAACTCGCCAGCTTTTGAGCGAGTAGGCGTGTAAAGTAGCCCAGTGTGAACGAACACAGTTGCTTGTGCTTGTGCGCTTGTTACTCAAAGATGTTGGAGGATTTGGTTCAAGCCAGCTACTGAGCGAGTGGAAAAAGCATCGTGTGAATGACTACAAGCCCACTCGCCGTCGTCTTTCTACACGTCTGCAAGTTGGCGAGTGGACAAGCTCCGTGTGAACAAATACAAGCACACTCGCCAACTCGCCAGCTTCTTACACGCTGGCGTGTAGCTTGTAAACTCGCCCCGTGTGAACGGGCCTTTACCGATGCCACTACATTGCACATCATTTGCCCTCTGTTATGTTTGTTTCTTAATGTGAGTAAAACTTTTAGTCTCTGCGTGTATTTGTAATTGTACGTATACAAACCTGTTAAATGACCAAGGAATTTACATTTTTTGTATGAGACAATATCTCATGTGTAAACAACAGCTGATTTGTTTTGCTACAGCACAGGTAAAATTTTCAATACTTAGCCTATTTATTAAAATTAAAACTTATTTTTTATCTTAACCATAACCACAGTAATTTGCTAATCCTTGTTCCGATGAATAATTATTTGTGACACTCGTAAACGATAGCTCCTTCAGTGCCTCTTTGTACCAAGTTGGCCAACTGCAATTCTGACTATTGGCATTGACTTTATTGGTTTGTGTTGTTTTGCTGTGTGGTATCCACAGATGTTATCATTAACAAGCTTTCAACTAGGATTTTATAGTATGAAATTCTGAGGATATTTTAAAAGACTTTGAATTGCAAAATCTATCAATCAATAAATCTACTTTCTCATTATCTACGCTGTTTAATATTTCTGGCTAAATCTAAAACTATCACGTTTTCCTGTCAATGCAAACCTATCTAAGTGGTGTATTTGCAATTGTACCCAAGTGAAAGAAAGGACGAGAAAGAGTGCAAAGCAGACTCAGAATTATGCAGTGTTGAAACATTCTGATGCTTAGAAAACGGTGCTGGCCAATTCGATGATACTGAGCACAAAAAATTGTATTAGCTCTTTCAAAACAAACATATTAGTTGAATTCCAATACATTAACCATGTCTATGAAGTTGTCTTAATTCTGTGCGTAAAACTTAAGTGTTTTAACAATGAGGTGATGTTCAGTGCAATGAAAAGATTGTAGTGTGCAGAGCCCCTGAGGGAGTCGTATGAGTAGGGGCCTATCTTCAAAACTATAATCATTGATATAAATTTGGATTAATACTTTGCACACATCGCCTGTTAGTGTTTAAGCGATGTGGTGTTTACTGTTGGTGGTGTGCAGATGCAGTGAGAAGGTGGCGGCGCGCAGAGCTACTGAGCGCAAGGAGCAGTACAGACAAGTGCGCGCTCATGTGCGCAAAGATGACGGCCGTCTACAGGCTTACGGCTGGTCTTTACCTGCCAAGGTATTTAAATTTATTTTGAATAATTTTATGCCTTAAACCTTACATACCTGAAAACACACTTGCTATCACAAATTGCTAAGTCAAAAGGTAAAATAAGTAACTGTAAATATATTGAAAGCAAAGCTAATGTAGAGATTCTTCTATTGCTTTACGGTTTCATTTTCCTGTGTAGCTTATTTAATAACCGTAACTTTCAACCAGCACTATCTGGTTCAATTATATTCGTTATTAGTTGTGGTCAACTAGTCAGATATGTTTTATTGTTGTAGTATAGTGTTAAAAATAATATTCAATTTAAACTGGAGGTTGTCATTAAGGATATGGCGGTTGTAATCTGGGTTTTTATTGATATATACATTTTGAGCCTCTCCAAGACGTCTATTTAATTTCCCTTATGAAAGCAATGTAGAACTTGCAGACCAGTGTTAACGTCATTGATATTGTGATTACTGTCAATAATGTGTTAGGTAAAAGTTGGAACTGTGAATTTCAAAAAGAAGATATCGCTACAAAATAAACAAAATTATTCGTAAGCTTTCTGTTTGGTATTTTAATGATTCAATCAGTTCCAATAACTTCGATGTCACAATTAGAATTGTTACATAACGTAGCGAAAATAGCTTATTACTCTGTCAATTACTAAAACTTAATTGATTTAAGCGTAACTCAAATCAACCGCTTTATTTTGACATCAATTTTAAGCGTAACTCAAATCAACCGCTTTATTTTGACATCAATTATTCTCAAAACAGAAAATTCAAAACAAAGCCCCTCCCTTGTTATCAAATTAATGCAGTAGACTCTTGGAGCATCAAGCCTATATTGTCCCTTTCTACCTAGCTCTGATGGTCTCATTTCTCTTTTATTTATTTATTTATTATTTATACACAGCTATATACTATTTTACTGAGAGCTTCTTGATGTTTGATACAAATATATCTCTTGATACCTTTCATATTGCCTTTTATCTTTACCTCTTCCATCAGCGTCCCTCTCCATGGTCTCTAGGTCTTTCCGCTCTTTACCAGCAGTGTTCCATTCCAGGTCTTCTTTGACAACATCTCCCTGGTCCTTTATGCACCTTTCTGTGTGTCCTACCCATCTATATTTCCTTCTTAGCACCTCTTTGTTATTGTCTATTAATCTGTTGATGTGTGATAGGCCCCGCAGAGGTCTATAATGCCCCCGCCAGGCTCATCAGCCCCGCAGGTACCAGTGCCTGTTCCTGTCTATTGTCGACCACTCACTGAGAAAGAACCTGGCATGAAGGTAAGCTTCATGAATTAAATTTAGATAATTTAGTTTGCTACAATCATTGAAGATTAGATACTAAGGTAGACATCCATTTATCAAACAGCTGTAGCTATTTTTTAAAATTTAAAATAGCTTAGTTGGATGAGTCATTGAGAGAAAAATTGTGTATCGTCATACAGAAAAATAGCTTTTGACCCCAAAGTTCTCAGAAATTAGGTTATAGAATATTGTTGTTGTAGCGACCAAACTTGCTATGTTTGCTTTTGGCTGTTGATCAGCCTCAAACTTCTAGAATTTTGTGCATGATGTCACTGGTTGGCTACGTCACAGACAGCCCCATGACTATAAGTTACATGACTATACTGGCTGATACAGAGGTATTTTTTAATTAAGAGGGCTTCTGCACCTAGACACAATTTCTTATTGGGCTATAATTGATGCTATCTAACAAAAGGTCTATGTTAAATAGAAAGAAAACTATGGTTCAGACGACTCCCTCACAAAAAAATAAATTCCATTGGTGTAGAAAAACAACAAAAATGAAGAACAAATATGTAAAATTATCAAACAGAAAACATTAGTGGACAAGTCGTAAATTTTCCAGTGTGGCCATGTTTATCATAGTCTCGGAAAAAACTCAGGCTGTCTATCAATATATAGGATTTTTTCGCTTCACTACACCACTGAAATACATGCCGTTATGAAATTAGATTACTTCAATAATAATTCAATAATCTTCAGCCTGTAAGAGATGTGTAAGATTTTTGGTTATTCTTGCTAGATCTGGTGTGCGACTGGAGTGAACTTAGCCGGAGGTAGGACTAGAGACGGAGGCAACATTGTTGGGGCCAGTGTCTTCTACTCCAACAGTCACGGGGAGGAGAAGGAGGGGGAAGATGTCCAGAAGGATGACAACCCAGTAGACCAACTCGACAGAGAGCTCAAGGTAATCCAAAACAAAAACTTACACCCTTATGTTATAATAAGACTATTTTAATTTGAATAGGGGTCTGCACACTGCGGGTCAGTGATATTCTCAAGTTGGGTCATACCAACAGTTGGCCCAAGGTATCCTTTCTTGGCTGAAATTATTTTTAGGCCAAGCTCGGAATGAGTCAAGTGTTTGTGGAGATGCTTGGTCTAAAATTAACAATTTTGCCACAAATGCAGGTTGTGGTTTTGCCGCCATTGTCAAAGACGATGAAGTCACCATGATCACAGTAGATATTCATGATTTTGCTGCAACTGCAGAATATCATGATTTCTCTGTGACTGTGAGAGATGATCACAATATCACTGCGTCTATGAAATTTTTATGTTTTTACACATTAGTTATTACTGTTATTACACAGATAGCCTACTGTTATTACTGTATGATGGTAATAGTTCGTCTGGTCCGACCTTGCCACAACCAACGCCTTAGAGGAGGTTTTTGATAGGGGCTTACTTGTGTGTCGACTCCTATTCTGATCTAAAGCCCTAAATCATGATGTCTGTTGTCAGGAGGGTGAGAGAGAGCGTCAAGACAATGAGCAGGTGTTGTCCTCCCTGGTGTGGATCTGTACAAGCACTCACTCAGTCAGTAGGGTAACTGTGATAGATGCCAACAACCCAGCTGATATACTAGAGTCATTCAATGTCTGCCAGTCCTACCTGCTGTGTATAGCCAGTGTCCCAGGTATTTCCCATCACTATCTACCTTAGATTTGACCTAAAATAAATATATTCAAAGGATATATATTTGTTAGAAGATTTTTATGGGTTCATGATAATAGAGAACAGTATTTGAAAGCCTCTAAATGCCATTTGGATAGTGTGTAGTTTGAGATGGTCAAACAACATGACGATTATCTCTGGAAAATGCTGTAATATTGGAAGATTACTTACCTAACTCTGTTAAATTATAAAAATCCTGCCGGTAAACAGAGAAATCCTAGACTGATCAAAGAGAAAAAAAAAACTTTTGGTTACATCCTTATTAAAAAGCTTATTTCTTTGAACACAGGTTGCAGTTGTGTGGTAAAATAAAAAGTGTAACCAAATATGAAATTTGAGAATCTGTTGTCACACTCATCCGAATAGGTCTTGATTTTGAACCTATACATCACATTAATAGGGTTCAAAATGGATAATTTTGCAGTCTTAAATACTTTTAATTACTGATACTTAGTTTTGTCATTGTAAGGCTTAAGCAAGATACTATTCCTATTGGTTAATGATTATGTCTTTGCAGGTGCCTTGCCAAGTGACTACCTCAGCTCAGACGAGCCCGAGGTGCCAGAGACCAGCGTGGAGGTGCCTGCGACCACTGAGACAACCGACACTGAGGAGCCCAAGGATGGGGATGGGGAGACGGAGCCCTCGGAGCCCAAGATCGGACAGATCACGTTTGTCAGTTGCGCCACAGGCAGTGACGATGTTACCACTCTACCTCCCGTCTCTGAACATACTTCACAGGACAACATCAACAATGGTGGGATTTAAATAAACAATATGGTAGACAGTGTCGATATGGCACCTACTAGTTTTATTCCAAATCTATATATATAAAATCCAATGTATGTATGTTTGTTTGTTTGTCCTTTATGGACTCCGAAACCGCTCAACAGATTGTAATGAAACTTTCAGGCATTATTAAGCATAATTCAAGGATGGTTTGTGTGAAGTTTGTGCAGATCCGTCAAAAGGGCTCCGCCCCAGTGGCTCTGGAGTTTCCCATGTTAACCTTATGAGAAGTCATAATTTAAATGGAATTAAAGAATCTTAACAGCTGGTTCAACTTAACAATTTGATTCTGTGATGTTCAATAGCATTAAAAAGTCAATAGGTTTGCCAACAGGGTGTAGCACTATTATTTTTTTTAATTATGACAAAAGCTAATTTGTAACCAAAAGGTGAGTGAGCGTAGCGAACAAACTTCAACCAGGAAGTGATTGAGCCATGCGAAGGAGCTCATCTTGAAAATGAACGAGCATTGACATAAAACCACATTAGGACAGGACGACGTCTGTTGGGCCAGCTAGTACTATTATAAAATCCAAACAGTATTATAAAATGTTACCCTATAGAACAAGGTTTTTGAACTATTCTAAATTAAAATAGTACTTAAAACTACCTGTTTTTGGATTTCATAAATTATTTTTAACTAAACCTTAGTTCTGGGGAGCTAGATGTTCTAGTGGTAGAGCGCGGGGCTTCGATGTCTGAGGTCCCTGGTTCAAATACTTCCAATCACCAATGGATTTTATCTATAATGATAATGTAGATCATTATTCAAATCATTTGATTGAAAAGTATTAAAGTATTAATGCTGCAATCCTCTAGAACTAGCTTAAAGTTATGTGTAAAAAAAGTTCCGGTCTAGAACTTAGCGTCCTAAGAGGTGAAGGTGGGACATTAAAATAAAATGAAAAAATAAAAAAACCTTAGTTCTAAGATATTTTCTGTCAGTGCCATGCAAGTAAAGCAGTGTAAGGGCAATGAAACATTCTTCTTATTCTTATCAACTAATTTAGTTCATTCCCTGTAATGGAGACTTATGTCATGTTTTATATGTTATAGATTCCGTGACACCCCAACATCAGCTGGTGAATAATTTGAAAGATGAACTGATAAAAGACAGTTTAACAGCTGGAAGTGCAGGTAATTTTGCCTAATTAAATGTGGAATATTTCTTACTCTAACGATACTGAGGCCTTAAAGATACAGATATAGGTGAGAGCTAGTAAGCTAAAACAGTTTTTTTTTTGTAAATAAACATTGTTGTATTTAAAAATAATGCCTAACCTGATTAATTTGAACACCCAATTTTTGAGGAGTACACAGCAAGGCTTTATGTAAGAAAGCTTTTCTTAGCTTATAGGCTAAACTTAGTATTAGTTAATATTTGTCATTTGCTATCAATTATAGATGCTTGTGAATAACATGTCGACGTTAGATAGTAACAAGACCATGGTTTGGACCGTTCCTTTACAATAAACGGTAATAAAAGCTTGGATAGACAGTAAAAATATTTTATCCTGTTTTGTGTTTTTTGCAGAAGAATGTGAAGTATCTCCGACACCCTCGCGAAGACTCCTGAAGGACCTCAAAGAAGGACTGTTGAAGGACGGGATTGCCAACACCCCTAATGGTAGGGTCTCTGGTATTCATCCTATCTAGCCTGTGTGATGAGCTATATTTTTGGCCAAACTGCACCTTTATTTCACCCGTTGGCCTAATTGAATAGTTGCTAACCACTCCACCGTAGTGAGTAGTAACAACAGCACACTAAATAGTGCCAACTTATCTTGTCACGCAACAGCACTAATCGGAGAAATCTAATTTCCTATCCCTATTCAAATATATTTACTATAGAAATTGCAACAGCTTGGCCTCACCAAGTTAAAAAACTTGTCGGTGAGGTCCAATTGATGCATAAAGATAACAAACAAAAAGTTTAAATTTTTTTTCTCTTTTTCTAGAACAAAGATTTCTAAATAATACTATTTCTACGGCGGTTTGTGGTAGGCACTTTAACTTGAAACAAAGTAATTGGCAGCACATTAAAAAATCTAAATGTAATTGATTGACAGTGTGTCATATTTGGCTTTACAAGAACTGAAGGTAGACCTAAAATTGGTGAAAAATATTCATTTTCCAAAGGCTTGTTAGTGGTGATTGTTTTGTGAATGTTAAGATTTGCAATCATTTTGTATAAAAAATGAGATTGTTGTTATAGTGAAACTGATAGAATTGAAAATGGTGGTTTTTTGATGAGGGTCGACAACAGAATAAATAGTTTTCAATAGCTATACAAATTCAAAGTGGACAAAAACACTTTGTAAGTCTTAATCTGGATTTTCAGAGAACGGGTTGGCCAATGAGCAGTTAGAGAAGATGAGCTCAGTTCTGCCAACCGTGTGGCTCGGCTCACAAAACGGCTCAGTGTTCGTCCATTCAGCTGTGTCTCAATGGAGAAGATGTCTGCATTCTATCAAGCTAAAAGACTCTGTGCTCAGTATAGTGTAAGTGCAAGTTACTTAAAAAACATAACATGTTTACTGTGGTAGAGCATGGGGCTTCGGTTCCCGAGGTCATAGGTCCGAATCTCGCCAATCACCAATGGATTTCGTCTATGTGATAATGCCACGATCCTTTAGGCCTAGCCTGAAGTAATGTGTAAAATGTTTCCAGTGTAGAGCTGAATGTCCTAGGACGTACTGTTGTGACTAAAATAAATGGAGGTTTAATTAATTGGTTACACTCTAAATAGAAAATAATTTTTTTTTGTGAAGGTATGTATTTGTTTCTAAAAAATATTTTGCAAAAATGTTCCATACTTATTAGTACACAAACCAGTTTTGACAACGTTAAGATATTATTTTTATATTTAAGGTACTTTATAACTGAATGAAGGGATGTAAATTCACATTGTGAAAACTTATTTATTACCAATTCAGATGGAAAATGACCGCAATAATCCATAAAATATCCTGAATGTGGTTTCTTTGTTTTAGCCAAGGAAAACAAGAAAAACCTGCAGTGACTGTGAAATTTTAACATTTTTTCCATAGTGTTTTTCTAACCTTTGTGTGATTTGAGTTAATTTTGGTAGTTTGAAGCATACGGACAATAAACTGTGCAGTCAAAGAAGTTTTAATTCAAGTTTTGTACATTTAACCTTGTGGTTGCAGGCATGTCAGTGGTCGAGTGTTGTGTGCTCTTGCTGATGGCACTGTGGCAGTGTTCAGGAGAGGGCTGGATGGTCAATGGGACCTCAGCAAGGTATGGACTACTGAATTTGTTAGGAATTGATATAAAACTAAAATTATAACTATTCAAACGTTTTTAAAAAGGCAAAACGTCCTCTTGACTGCCAATGATGTGTTAATTTTAAAGTTTCCCCAAAAATGAGATCCTTAGACGTTGTTTGGAGTGAAAAAATCAAGAATGTGGAACATTATCTAATTGTTACTGTGACCGCAGGAGATGGCCACGGTGTCACGTAAACCGCAAGAGGTGCTCAATAGTGTTGCCACAATCAAAGTAGGCGTAGATGTTACTATAATTATAGTGTAAATGTTCAGTAAATGTTCACAATAAATAAATAATACATTTTCTTTTATTCATTCTATGATTTAAATTTATTAAAAAAAATTCACTTAGATTTGAATTATGAGAATTTGATAAAAATCATAAAGTATTCAATGTACAAAAATGTTTCTAAAAATATGTTTTCTCCTTGATTGCACTGTAAAATGTTCAAGTAGGCACAAGTTATTTTTTTAACCTGGATTTTTTATATTTTATAGTTTAGAATCTATAAAACCAAGTATTGAGTTTGGATTTTATTTTAATGTTTTGCAGACACTTAACATACAAACCACGTTAACAGATCAAGTTAACGTACTGTTGTGTTTCAGTACAGTTAGATAAAGTAATTCAAGAATTTACGGTAGTATTAATAGAATTTAACATTCACTTTATCACAATCGTATAATGTTACAGTACCATCTGGTAAACCTAGGACCTCCTCAACATTCTATCCGTTGTCTAGTCTCTGTCCACAACAAGGTTTGGTGTGGCTACAAGAACATGATACATGTCCTCGACCCCAAGACATTGGCTGTGCAGGTAACATACTACTTTACCTCCTTCCGGATGGGTTCGATACAGTTGATTCATGACAATGTGACATTTGAGGTACCTGACGAGTGTAAAATTACCTAAATTGTTTGATTGCCAGAAATTAATTCTAAATTTAAACGAGACAAGAAAATTCAATTGATGAAATCTCATGCTTCTTAAGCACTAAGCTTAATTAGATAAGGCATATTTTACACAATGCCTATTGAATATTGGACAGTGCAGCTGTAAAGATTTCTGTTACAAAACAAATAAAAATTCAGTATTGTACAGACTTTAGCTTATGACTCATTTCATTCATTCATCATATCATTAAATTACTGAGAGTAAACTGTAGAATAAAGATAATCAGTCATAACTAGAAGGCGACCAAGACTCGGGACCGATTTGCAGTCACAATCAACGTGGTTGTCAAAGTAAATCTATGCTGGTGTTTCTGCTCAAAACTGTGGAATTATTTTTTTTTACAAACAATGAGTATGTTAATCACTTTTGAACTAGTAACAATATTTAAAAATCAATCCTCGGAACCAGGACAAACATTACCACCATTGATTTTTCTGTACGTAGTAAGTCTAAGCATCGTGTTAATTGAAGATGAGAAATGTTAAGGTTTACTATTAATTTTATTGTCTGAACAGCTCAATTGTGTGTTGTAGACATCTATTTACGCACATCCTCGCAAGGAGAGCCAAGTTAGACAGATGTCCTGGGTAGGTGATGGAGTGTGGGTGTCTATACGTCTAGACTCTACGTTGCGGCTGTACCATGCTCACACCTACAAGCACCTGCAGGACGTCGACATTGAACCATATGTCAGCAAGATGCTCGGTGAGTCTGGAGGAAAAAAATTCATTTTAAACCACTATTGCAAATAATATAGCTTATTATTTTAAGGTGTTTTAATTTATTTTGTTTTTTGTACAGTTTAAGAAATTTCTCTTTTACGTTTAAGTTATGCAAAATTAAGGAAAACAATACAGTTTTGCCTAATTTGGAATTAAAGTCGAAGATTGTGTTTGTTCATTATGATACCATGAAGGAGTAGCTATTACTTAGGGCCGAGTTCATGGTCATTTCAAATAAATCCAAGCCAGAAATAATTTGGGCCAAACTCAGGGCTAGCTGAGCCGAGCCTTTATTTTCACGATCATATAAAGCCTCTGGGAAGATGCACAATCGAAAATGAACGATTTTGATGTGCACGATATTGTTGTGACAGTTGTGAAAGTTAACAATATTGCCATGACCCATGACCGCAGAAGACTTTCAGAAAATCGCTGCTCGGTTTTACTGTGAAAATTTCCTAATTTTGCAGTGTGTTTTGCTGAGTCTGCATGGTCTAGATTTAACAGTGACCTCAGAAGATGTTCACAATTTGCCTTGAAGTGGAAAACATTGAGGATTTAGCTGTGACTGCTGAAACTATTCACAATTTATCTGTGACTGCGAAAGATGTTCACCATTTTACGAAAACTGTGGTAGACGTTCACGACTTTGCGGTGACCGCAGAAGACGTTCTTAGTTTTGCTATGACTACAGTAGATATTCACAATTTTGTCATGGCTGTGGAAAACATTTGTTTGTTCTAAAGTTTCAATTGAATATCTAATTTTACTGGATGTTTTTATAAATATGATGTGAATCTATAACCTTCTCATCCATAGTCTTTTGTGTGGTCTTTGAATAGTAGGATTCCCAACCATACTCCTAACCACTCTGTTTATGATTTCTTTCACAAGAAATAATTATGACCACGAGAAATCATTTTTACTGTTAAATGTTGATAAGTATATTTAGTACACTATACTTACTTATACATTTTATTGTGTAAATAAAACAGCACTCACACAATTCATAGACATTTGAAACACATAACCATACAGTGAGTGTAGCTTCTAATAGTGTGTAGAAGATTGAATGGCAGATGCATGTTTGTCCATTCATACTCATCTTTGGGCGCAAAATGTGGCTGACAAATAAATATTGACAAAAGTTATTCTCTAGAGTATCTCTATAACTATACAATCTATCACGAACAAATGTCCTACTCAAGTATGAGACAATTACAAATGTTCGTATTATGTTTAAACTGCTTAAAATTAGATATTCATGTAGATTATTGGAAAAAAATACGCAAATTTAAAACTTATTGTTATGAAAATATTTATCTGTATGTGAGTGACGTGAACCACATTTTGCACCCGACCTGTGTACATTGCTCATTGCTTCACTAGAGTATGCTTGTGTTTGTTACGCTGTCGTCTGGACGCTGGCTTGTTGTTCCCACCAATCACGCGCGTAGCAGTGTTCCCTACAGGTATATTCACCCACACTCCTTTTATTACCATTTGTCATGCATTGGTTTTTCTTCCTATTCTTTTTGTAGTGGTTTTTATTTTGTGTTTAGGGCTTTTCTATAATGTGAATATTTTTTATGTATTTTTTGTGAAGGAATGTTCAAAATCCTGGACTTGTTATTATCTAACATACCCCTTTTCTTGGATACATTTAATTGATTACCTAATGACAAATGTAATATGTCATATTATTTAACGAATGAATTATGTGTTGATGCTATCCTGCAGATGAAATAAAAGACATATATACCAATACTATTTTGATCCTTTGTACAGAACTGATGAAGACCAGTGAGAGTGTATAAAATAGTTCCCAATGTAATGTCTTTTGAATATACAGCATACTTAACACTTGAAAATAAATATATTAATCACCTGATTAGTGTTAGAAGAAGTCTTTTATTTTGTTGTTATTGTATATAACCTTTGACTATTAATACAACGTATAGTAGACTCCCTCTTATCCTGACTCCTCGGGACCGAGGCCAGTACTTTCCGGTTAAATCAACGTCCCCAAAAACTCATTAAAACAGACCGTTTGCTGTGATATTCGACTTAAATTCAGGAGAGCATTGTATTTAGACACATGATCACTGGTCTCAAATCTTTCCCACGAGAACAGTCGTTTCAGCACCACCCACTTCCTGCCGATCTAGTCCGGTTAAACCAATGTGCTGATAAAAATTGTCCGGTTAAAGAGATGCCATTTCCGCCGAGTGTAGTCCGGTTAAAAGGTGTCCGGATAAGAGGGAGTATACTGTAACTCAACAGTTGTATGCTTTGGATGTAAGTTTAGTGAAATGTTTCCCCATTTTAATTGTGTGTCAGTTAATGTGATAATGCCTTTATTTTATTTTCTGTCACGAATTCCTTATGCACATCAGTTTTGCTCTATGACACAAAAATACTCTCTAACTTACTCTTGCTAAGGTTTTGATAGTGTAAATCAATAAATTGACTTAATTTGGAAAATATATTTTAAGTTCAAATTGTAGGAAGTGGTGTGACTAAGAGAATTACAGATGGATGGGCAACATTTTTTACACTTTATAATGTTGTCTATTCATTCTCCTTTTTAATAACTTAAGAACTAGATAGACAAGAAGAGACATGAAATATTCCTCTTCCATGCCACGTTGATTATTTGTTGCATTAGAAAACTACTATAAAAAAAATCATGTTCCACAGTTTCTACACTACCTAGGCAAGGTTTGTTTTTAAAGATTTTTGTCAGGATGAATGTTACATAACATTAATAAAGGTTTCAGATCATAAAATAAGATACATCGTTGACAATAGTGAAAACATAAATATTTTTTACTCAATTGTGGTGTTTGTTGACTTATCTTTCCAGTTTATAGTACAAAAAACTTTAAATTATTTCTCATTAAGAGTTTTATTTCAGAAGTTAAAAACCATGTAGTATTTTCCCTTTACTCTTAGTAGCTAAAACCTTTGATTAGATTGATCTAGACATTTCCCATGTTGTTGGTATGTTAAATTTGTTTGCTATTTTAAAAATGTACATAGTTTAATTCAACCACCCACAGAATGTGCTGATGTAACATTATTGATGACTGTCGAATACGCCAACTTGTTAATCAAACCAAACTAAAAGCACTTATATTATTAAAAGGTTCAAATACCTGCTATACTGCTTTTAGGCAATCCAATGTTATTGTAAACTGAAACTCGTCTAGTTTCGGCACCTGTGGGGCACCTTCATCAGGCTGTACAAGGACGGTTTTCTTTTTCATACAAAGAGCGTCATATTGTTTAACACAAAAAAAAACATTTAAACACGACATGAACACGAATACAAAACATATATGGGAACTAATTAGTTAAAAAAACAGACGACACTAACCCGGCGGAGTTTGAGTCCAGACTCATAGCAGGTTTAAACCTTTTTAATATTATTTGGCAATCTGGAGGCTAACATCTATAATGCACTTATTTTAAACTATAGCATCTTTTTTCCACACCACTATCTCGGCAACAAAAATATGAGTGAGTACAATTAATTGTAGACTGACACTGTGTGAGTTGTTGAATCCACTATGTTCTATTTTACTATAAAATGGGTTACTGCTGGTCTTTATAAATGGAATGTTTACCTCAGTATCTATAAGTCAATGCTAACAACACAAGAGCTTAAGAAGCTTTCAAACACCAACACTTGATATTATGTGTTTGATGTCAGAACTGTTGTTTCAGGCACTGGTAAGCTGGGTTTCTCGTTTGTCCGAATCACTGCTCTCCTCATCTCCTCCAATAGATTGTGGATCGGAACTGGCAATGGTGTTATCATCTCTGTGCCACTCTCAGAGAGTGAGTTCAATGCCATCAGAGAGAAGTAAGGTACAGAGGAAGCTTATGGGACAACCGTGCGCTTTCAGCTCTGGTATGTTGTGCCGGAAATGTACTTTTGACGAACAACGAAGAGCCCGAACGGCGAGGACTGTGCAGGAGTTCCTATTACACAAGGCACAGGGTCTTCCTCCACCGTGAGCGTTGTAGTACATGAGGGCGAGGGGGGTGGTGCGGACTTTGCCCTAGACACCACTTCAGTGTACCGTGGAGTGTATCCTCTGTTCCTTACTTCTCTGTGATGCAATATAGTTCTGTTATTAAATATTAGGTAAATTCCTTCCTTGGAATCGAACTCATTATATTGGTTAATTTTAAATGTTGATATTAGGGTCAAAACAAACAACTGGTTCCACTAGGAGATTTTTTTACCTGGTTTAAATATTTTATGTCTAGATGAAATTGCAATTCTTGTTTTTAATAAACGGCTTTTTAACATTGAACCTATATTACCTGTTGCTTTAATTTAAACATAATAGAGTAGTTCTTACAGTAGTAGATTACATTGTACAGTATATGAGATAGTTATAGATGAACTTGAAACTGAAAACATTATGTTTTGTCAGGGGGGTTGAGTCAACAGTCCTTACTCGCATGAAGATGCTGAAGTAAATTTTACTTATTTGCATAACTGTGCATATGGGTTGGTATTTTCTCTTAATGGTTTAGATTTTTTGAATTTGTCAAAGATATTATAGTAGTAAACAAGTGTATGAATGATAATAGCATAGATAAAACATAGTCCCTTAGTAGATTTCCCATCCTTATGGAACAGCTGAAGCCAATTTTGTTAGTTCTGACCGGTTTTCTGTAGGGTCAGTTTTTCATTATTTGTGTCTTACTGCTTGGTTATATAGCTAGTGGACGAGTTATTGTTTATGATTAGATAGTTTTATTTGGTTAAAAAAGGTTTAAAATTACTGAAATACCAAGATACAAATTGTAAAGAAAACACGACAACTACAGAAAACCTGACAGAACTAATAATAAAATTTGCTTCAGCTGCTCCATAAGGATGGGAAATCTTCTAAGAGACTATGTTATATCTATGATAATAGCAGAGGAGGATTACGTTGTCATGATGTGTTTTGGACGGCTAGAATTGGTAAAATGGTTTGCTGCTGGAGCCTAGTGCTCGTGCAAGATGGACGTAAAACTAACTCCTGTTACCCTTTGAAATATATGACTTATACTCCGTATTGCATAGTGAACAGAGAATAGAGTATAACTAAAACCTTTTACACGTTTCCTACTGTCAGAATCTGTACGTCTCGTGTCACCTGGTGGTGAATGTGTCAATCAACGGCTAATCATGTACACTTGCAGGCGCTGGTGGGGCAGGAGCCGTGGTAGGCAGTGGAGGGGGTAGGATGCCGGGAGGGGTTGTACGAGTGTTTGCTGACTCCACCACAGACAAGATCACCCCCGGCAGCTTCATACCTTATTGCTCCATGGCACAGGCACAACTGTCGTTCCACGGACACAGAGACGCAGTCAAGTTCTTTGTAGCCGTGCCAGGTGAGTTGGAAATTCGTAATTTCACAAGTCAAAAGAGTTATTTTTTCACAAGTTGTTTTGAAAGCAATAAAAAAAAATTGTTTTAACAAGTTTATGTTCATGTAAAATTTTTGTTGATTGTTTTGTTTCACTGCTAGGCCCTAAAGTGACTCATTTCGGGCTCAGTTGTTTGCCAGCGAGACCAGGCCCGTTTTTGACCCTGTCAGCGCCCTAGGCACATCTAATAGTTAGCGCCCCTTTGCAATATATATATATATAACAGGGTGTCCACCGACCGGGAAATCCGGGAATCATGCGGGGGATTTTTGAACCGTGAATGTTGTATTTATACCTGGAGTTTTCAATTTACCGTGATCGCGCATGACAAAAGTGACGTTTCCGTGATCGCGGGAGACGATAATATGTCTACACACGGCCGCAAAGGATGATCAGAATTTTCCGCGATTGCAGAAGACGATGATGGTATCTACAGAGCCGCAACGGATAATTAGAGTATTGCCGCGATCACAGAAGACGATGATAATGTCCACACGACTGGAGGACATTATTAACATTTTCCCGCAATCGCAGGAGACGATTACGGTGTCTTCACAACTGCGGGAAACGATTACGATGTCTACAGAACCGCGGAATACAATAATGATTTCTACGCGGCCACTAGGGATGATCACAATAATGCCGCGATCGCTCAAGACGATGTTAATGTCCACATGACCGCGGGAAAAGATCAGAATTTTGCCTCATTCGCCGAAGACGGATATCTTCACATGTCCGCGGGAGATGATTACCATTTTGCCAATCGCGGGAGGCAATCACTATGTCCAAACGACCAACAGGGACGATATAATGATGTCTTCACGGCCGCGAGGGGTGATCAGAATTTTATCGCAATCGCGCAAGACGATGATTTTGGCCACACGATCGCGGGAAAAGGTCAAAATGCTGCCTAATTTGCGTAAGAGGATGATGACCTCCACAAGACTGAGGGAGATGATTACCGTTTTTCTACAATCGCGGGAAGTGATTACTATGTCCACACAACCGTGGGGCACGATATGATGTCTTCACGACCGCGAGGGGTGGTCAGAATTTGACCGCGATCACGCAAGACGATGATAATCTCCTCACGACCGCTGGATATGTTCATATATTGCCTCGATCATGGAAGACGATAATTTTATGTCCAAACGACCTGACTGCAGAAAATAGTAAGAATATTGCCGCAAACGCGGGAGACGATTACGATGCCTACACGGCCGCGAGGGGTTATCAGAAGTTTACCGCAATAGCATGCAAATACTACCACGATATTTTTTTAATTTCCAAATTTTTGGCGCCCCCAAAAGAAGCCAATCGCCTCGCGCCCTAGGCACGTGCCTACCGTGCCTATTCGGTAAATCGGCCCTGAGCGAGACAAATCCGAGTGCAGAAACAGCTATCAAGCCCTGAAATGGGTTTTTGTGACAAGTTGTGAACCATATTTCTCACAATCACACAAGGCTTTTGTTTTAAATATACTAGTAATTTTCTTGGAAGTTTTCAGAGCATGATTTTTCAATTTATGTACAAGTCAGCTCTTTTAACAGTAAATTTCAAAATAAAATAGAAATCATATCTTAAACTGTCCAATCACTCGTAACACTTTTCTATTTTTTCTTATAAACTAATTTATTGGTGCTTTTGTTGTTTAAGGCAGGAAAAGGTTTGTTTGGGACAAACAAAATGTTATGTTTTGAAGGATCGAAAATCAACAATTTTTGTAATGCTCTCTATAAAACTAGCTGTTTTCGAATTCAGAATGAAGAAATCATTGTTAATCAGGCGTTGATAATAATATGAAGTTGCCGTTTCATTCTGACAGTTATTTATAATTTACTTTTTCAACATTATTATAGTTTTTGTTAAGTACATTTTTTTGGTGTTCTATGTTTGGTAGAGCTATTCAGTAATCACAATGCTTAACTTATTGTGTGGTACACAACTTTGGGCACTGCTCTTTTGTTTGTTTGTGTGTGTGTGTTTTTTCCCAAAATATTTTTCATATTTGTAGCACCAAAATAAACATGACATGTTATTAGGAGTAGGGATGGGCTGATTTTAATTCTCAATTTATTTCAAAAAAAGTGTCAATACTGATTTTGAAATCATGATCGTATTTCCTGTTGCTGGCAAAATTGTAAATTAATTATATTCAAATTCCAAGATAAAAATGGAAATACAAATTTTCTTATTTATTTTCAGGTTTGAAAATTCTTACTTTAAAGATTCAGTTACATTTTGAGTATATAGCCATTTATTATCATATATATTTTTTTATAAATCTTGCTCTTCAATTTCCCTAAATGTTAATCAATTTGATCTAGAATCGTAATCACATTTTCTTCGGAATTCTAAATAAAGTCAACATTTTAGTTTTGGAATCAGCCCACTTAAAAACAAATCCGTTAACAATAACATAAAATTAAATATTTTACCTATGTTTGCTTGGTTTTGTTTATAATCAAGAGCCAAGTAGTACTTATATTGAAATATCCTCAATTGATGGGATTTAGTTAAAATTGCATCCAACCCGTTTCAAGATTTGATTAAAACATTTGGATAAAAAGAGTCAGCAAACATGTTTTTAGATAAGTAATGATGGATTTCCAACATTTCTAGAAGTATAGGGGTTTTAATTTTAAAGTGTTTGTTACTTGCGTCTTTGCACTTAACTTGTTAACTAATTCTGTTTTATCTTTGCATGCACTTATTTACAGCTAAAGGTAAGCAAATTCACTTACAATCTTGTTTTTATTAGCTTTTAGTTAGAATATAAGTAGCTCTGCTTCTTTTATTTTTTTAGTTTTTATTTCTGCATGTTGGGGTGTTAGAAATATGATAAAATTTTTATTGTTTTCATAAAATGTAGGCCTAATAATTATTTTGAATACAAAATTTTACTCAAATATAAATTACCATGCTCTGCAACTTGTATATAAATCATCAGACTTGCTATTTGAAATCAATTTAATGTTCAAAGTTTTATCTTTAAATACATAATATTTTATAGGTAAGCCAGTTACTGTTCCTTTATTTAAAAAATCAAAATCCTGGCCTAGAACCTAACCTTACTCAAACTATAAGGTATTATGTTTAATCTATGGCATTTTCTCTTCTGTGCTTGTTTTTATATACATTTTCTGTACACCATTGATGAAGTAGACTATCTTCAAACTGTTTTCTGTCATTAGGCTGCGGAGGTCTGTCAGCTGCCTCAACGCAGGTTCCAGACTCTCCCACAGTCGACCACGCAGATCCTGACAAGCCTACCTCCATGCTGGTCATGTCCGGAGGCGAAGGATACATCGACTTCCGCATCGGTAACCACTCACACATACCTGTAGGCTTCATCGTCTGCCAAAGCCTCCAGATTATTGAAACTTGTGTAAATTCCTGCTTTGGTGGTCCTTTGAATTGCATTCAGCAACGGGTTTTGGCTCTAAATCGGATCCAAGGCTGTATATGGAGATCCTGTTTTAGTCATATTTATCAGATGAGTCATTCAATGAAAGAGGTGTTTTGTCTATTGATAACAAATTTTACTTATTTATAGCGAGAAATATCTATATTTTAATGACGCCATTGTATTTCTATGAGAAATCACAAATAAAGAGGTCTATTGTCTAAGATATAATGATATAATAGATATAATGATTTCCATCTACATCCTGACGCAAACTAGCTGCTGATCATTTTCATGGCCAATTTAAGGGACGGAAAGTAAATAAAATATTTGTCTAATAACACTTAAAAGTGTCTAATCAATTTTACGTGTTTTATAAAACGTATCTTTTATTTACCTTCCGTAAATTTAAAAACACATACAATGCTGATCAAGAAGTTGTTTAATTTAAGGGATTACCATTTTTAGCAGGTATTTACGCCGTTTGTTGTAGACTCTTCATAATCTTTTAAACTCCTTCTTTATTCCCTAAACCTCTTTTTTTCATTTATAATAGTTCTTAATGGTTTTGCTTTCATATCGTAAGTATTTTTTTCTAGTTAAACATTGCTAAAGTAGGCTTAATTTAGTTTGAAAGGTGTGTATGCATTTTTATTTTTTATTTATTCCCTTTTCAGATTTGTTTTATTTAACTTAACAACTTTTACTAGTTCCTTATTTAATGTTTTAAGATCAAATTTAACCAAAATTTTACCTGTAATGTCTTTAATTACTGATTATTTTATTTTCATTTATTTTTTTACCTAAATTACTTTTTTTACCGTAATAATATTAAATTTGGTTGCATTTTGGTCAGGCATTTTATGATTAGCATTGAAATTAGTTTAATTTAAAAAAATTTACTTTGGTACCAAGTCAAACTAAAACTCTATATCGAGGTATTTCAAGAATAGTTTTGCTCTTTCTATCTGAAATCATTTTTATCATTGTTTAAAAACATTCAATATTAGTTATAAATTTACCAAAAGTATTAAAAACCTCTTATATTTTAGGCAATCCGGATCATCAAAACTCAAATATTTCAAATGAAGTAGATCTCTTCCCCAAGCGTATGTATATTTATGAAATGTGTGTTTCTTCACAATTTGTTCAGAATAAACTGAGTTGTAAATGTTCAAATACATGATTAGGGTGTTTAAATAATTACTTGCTCAGCACAGTTTTAATTTGTTTAGAAGAGTATTTGTGGAGAGAGGTGATTTGAATGTTTTAAATTTGAGTTTATACAAATGCTTTTTAACCCAGCTACTAATAAAGCATCACAGTTTATATAAACAGTTGCACCATCAATATAACAAGGTGCTGGTTTCATCATTTTATCGTTAAATTTGGTTGTGGTTTTCAATAATATTTAGGTGGAATTATAAAAAGTATAGGCTAACCCTTTTTAACAGTTTTAGATTTTTACCTTATAAATAAGAAAATTTAATTTTGTTAATCGCACTAAAGTGAGTGTCTCATTCAACTACGGTCTTTCAATGACTAATTAACTCTAGAAATTGAAAAGTCAATTGTTTTATCTAGCTTTGATCCTATAATGCTATTGTTTATTTGGCAAATTAAAGTATTTAAAAATATTGAAATAAAATTATAATCTGCATTTACCTTAACCACATATATTTAAGATCAAAATACTAAAAATTATTTTTTATATTATTAATTCAGTATTTTAAAATTTAGAAAACTATAACTATTTTTAAAGTCTAACTTTTACCTGTTCAACATTCAAATCACTAATCCTGTTGGATATCTCTCATGTTTTCAAATACAGTAAGAGTTAAAACTAGCGATAGTATAAATAAATATACAAGCTTAATTTTTACATTTTTTGAAATTTTGTGGTGGGGCTTTAATATTTTACATAGTACTAATCTATGGGATCATACTAATGCTTCTATATTTGAAATTCAAACATTTTTGCTCCTAAAAAATTGTAGTTACAATTTTAAATTATTATAAAACATGATGGTAAACAGAAAACACTCAGATCAATAGTTTCATTTCCGAAGCTTACTTTTCTGGGATTTCGTTGATTTATGCGCTTTATTTACTACTACCTCTACTTTCCAAATCCCAATATTTAGTTTTTACTTGATTATTTAATCGTTTTATTTTTCCCAGCTTGGTTATTGTTTGTTGTGTTGAGTTGTGTGGAGTGAGGCGTGAGAGTGGTTGTGTTTACAGTGGATGACGCTGAGGAAGCAGAAGACACGGCCTCACATCTCATTGTTTGGCAGTTGATGCCGCGGTACGAACATTCACTCATCGCTTACAGTCCGTCTATAATGCAACCACACTTTCCACTAATCACAAAACTTTGCAGGGTTAATTTATGTTCTGAATTGTTGAAAATATTCTTTTTGTTGTTTGTAATTTTCTACGCCATCGGTGATTTTTTACTTTTTTTAAGCTGTCTAAACCCTTTATTACAAAAATATAAGGCAAAGGCAGATTTTATTTTACCACCGTCAAATAGTCTCTCGATTATTCAGTTGAATCAGCTTGCCTGATTAGTTGTGAAGGCAACATTTTAAAAGCTTGCAACTTTGTCAAAACATTACCGTTTTGAAAATGTGACTTTTGCAATGAAACGTGTTAATTGATTCAATTGAATAATCATGGAACTATTTGTCAGAGACAAAGTCAAACAAGTTCTTGCCTTTACAAAAAGGTCCAGGGGCCAGAAATACGAATTTTGACAAGATTTTAAGTTGATGGCACATTTTTTTGGAGTGAAGTTTATATTTACGGCTTGTCAAGTCTGTATTTGATGAACATAAGTAGGGCTTTACAAAGGCACTAATTTTGATCTTCATACCTAGGCTTTTGCAGACGGTGTCAGTTTCCATATCAATTTATTTTTATTATTTTTATAGATTAGTTTTTTACTTGATTCTAATCAGATTACCATAGGTACTCAATATCTTTCATTTTTAGGTTAGTGCTTACTTCGTAATTATTGCATTTATGTTGCGTAACAACCATAAAAATTAGGGGTCTGCGGTGCACCAAAAAAGTCGGTACGGTACGGTACAAGCTTAATTACCGTCATCGGTTCGGTACAGCATTTTACACGGTACAAATTCGGTTGGTTCGGTACAGCCTATTATAATAATAAATTACTTTCAGCTTACTATCGTAATAAATTACTTTCAGCTTACTATCGTAGTCACCGACAGTTGGTTCCGAGCACATAAAAGTCTTATCAGATGTTTGTTTACAATCTTCATAATTTATTACTGGGGTGATGATGCAATAAAAAACCCATTAGCAGTCCCAAATCCATTAACATTTTATCACGACAATAACATTTTATCTCGACAATAATTGTTGTATTCAAGTACTTCCAAGAACTGTTGAGTTTTATCACTTTTATATCTTTACGACTTTCACCAATTCTATTTTATCATAAAAATAATAGTTTTATGATGACTGTTAAATGTTATCTCTAACTCAATCAGTATTTTCTACTGCCATAAAACTGTTAGGTGCTACATATTAAACTTGTAACCAATCTAATCTACAATCTTATTTATAAGTTAAAATATTTGTTATAAATATTTTATCTTTCTATTGAGAAACCACAAGCATATTTGTTGTTTGCATAATTTTTTTTCTTGTTGTTAAGCAAGCCTACTCGGTCTCAAATTATGTCATTGCATGTTCTGTGTCTTACATTGTTAGATGTGGCTGTTTAAGGCTTAAAAATGTTTTTTAGTTTCCTAACTACGCGCTACCCATATAAAATAATGTTAATTTTTTTTTACTTTTTGATTTTTTAATGTTGTAATATTGTTTACTAGAGAACCCGTGCGGCTCAATGAGCCGCATGGTATGAAACACAACGCCGAGGAAAACCTTATGCTTAAATTCAAGTAACTTTAGTAACATCTTAGAGTGGTTTGAAAACTTGTTAGAAACTAATTTTAAATATCTCTATTGGCGTCGTCAAGGTTTACCTACATTAGTTTTAACCGATAACTTCTAATGAATGCAAAACGATCTGCCTCAATTCGAGTTTACATGTTGCAACAAAGTTTTTCCAGCATTGAGAATTGGAGAACACTGGTACCTTACTGATAACCTGTCTTAAGTAATTAAAGTTGGGTCATTTTATTTCTTTGATTTGAGACATCCCCCTGATCAAACAAATTTTCTCCGTAGAGAATCCTGAAAAGTGAGATGATATCAACCATATTATGTGCTCCATTTTTTACCCACAAACTCTGCGTTACCAAATGCACAGCCATAATCTGCTTTGAATAGACTAAAGCAGCAACACCATTGAAAGTTGGATAACGTAATTTTACGTGTTTGTCAGTCACGGTATATGCCCCGCATCAGAACGTTCTCACGTTGTTCAGTGCAGTTTCTTTTATATACCTGTCTCGAAGTTTTGAAAGTATGTATACATTTGTCGAAATAGGTTGGATAAATCTTGTAGTTATAATATTTGGATAGCAATTTTAATTTTCTCTTTTTTGAACAGCGTATAGGCCCTTTTATTTGCCTCTCCTGAATCATAAAAATAAACTTGACTGTAACTACTCGATCGTTTAATACATAAACACTAATTCCATCACTTATGTATGGTCCAATATTGCCACTAAAACTTTCAATAGCAAATGAGTTTTTTAAACTTCCTATTTTTTACTTGACATTTCTTGATTGTGTTGATGAATTCAGTCAAAAAACGTTGTATAAGTTTGTCCGAGGAACTGGCAACATAACATAGTAGTAAACAATCCATTTAAGTTTTTTTTTCCATTGAAGTAGAGCGAGTAATACAAAAGTTTACGAAAAAACATAAGGTCCACCAAGATTTGGTATAGTCTTACTACTTGAACTTAATATAGACAATGCATTATTATAGTTTCTACCAAATGTTATGAAATATCTCAATCTGTCAGTGTCTGAAGTAAACATTTCTTGCATGCACTCATTTGATCTGACATTAGGCAAGTTAACTTTCCCACCGTGACAACACTATGAGCTTCGTATATTTTTTCACTTCCAAAGTAAGTTGTATAGCTGAACTGGCAATTGTTATTCATCTTACCAAGTGAATGTGTTTCTGGATGGGTATCAGTTAGACCAGGCCTCTCTTTTTCTACTCTCCTCATACGCACAAGATATCTTATTATTAATTGTGTCCTCCTCCCGTGTTCAATATTTCTTCTTTGAACTTGAGGCATTTTCTGTTCCTCCAACAAAACGTCTTAACCAACTGAATATACAAACATCAATATTTACTCCCAAAAAGCTAATGAGTTTCTTTTTATAAACAGCTGTTATTTGTTTTTAAAATTTGTTCTATGTATTTCTTATGGGGAAAACCTGACCTTTGAGAGGGTCTCACGCCCTTAAGAGCAGGAATTTTAAAATTCTAAAACCTTATTGCAAAACTACATATTGAGACGAATCTTTTGACACCTCAAACGTTGAAATTGGTCCACAAATAAGGGAGGAGTTGCGTTAACAAAAAACGGCTTCACGCATTATATATACAGATAATCAAAAGTTGACACCCACTATGTGTGCCAGAATTTCAACCGTTTTGCCGTATCTCAAGCCGTTTTCGAGATATAAGCGTTTTTAAACAGTTTTACGGACACTGCCCCAAGAGCCAAGTTCGCGGTCACGGGACTGGGGAATCCCCAGGTGGTGACGTCACCGGGGACGAGTCTATATATAGAAGTGGCATAGTAATGTCAATGTATTATAGTTAAAAATAATGGTTTTAATACAGTTCTGAGAAGAAAACGCAAAAATATGGGTAGCCGCGTACCGTACCGATTATGTACCGAGAACCGAGGTACAAAATATTGTACCGTACCGAACCGTACCGACCTTAAATTTTCTGTACCGCAGACCCCTAATAAAAATTCATTTCTAAACATTGTTTGCCGAGATCCTTTTTCTACTGGTTTTAGTATGAGCATAGTTTTTATCCTAAAATTTCAGAACATAAATCAACTTTCTTTCTGTTTTAACTATTAAAAAAGTATGTGTAACTCTGTTAGGTTGGACAGGTTTTCAGACCTTGTATTTGTTTATGTCTGATGGAAGTACATCCTTGATATTTTTTACTATTTTACCATTTGGATCTTATTTTATTTCAAAATAACTCTAAGATTTAAAATGTTACTAACAGCTGTGATGGTTTAATGCAAGTCAGTTATGTGGTGTGTCAACTGCATTGGTCACTAATCAACTAAGAAGATAATTTGAGTCATGAGTATTAGTTTAACCCATTGGGTGCCAGAAATTTATTTTGGTACTTTTCCAAAAAGTGCCAGAGTTTTTTTTACTAGGTGTGTCTGAAAGTGGCAGGCTTTCTGTGGGGGCGAAGCATAGTGCGCAAGAATAAAAATTGGTAAAACTATAAATTTTTATCCCAGAAGTGCCATGGAACGATATATCGTGCCTCGAAAATATGAGAAATCGATTGAAATCATCGTTGTTTTATAATAACAACCGAGTCACCCGATATGCCCATTAAAACTCACATGATCAAAAGTCGCGCCGGCCTGATATATCGTTGCAATGTATTTTTCGGTAAGACTACCGACAATGATATATCGTTGTGAAGTATCTTTCAGATGTGTTGTGCAAAACGATATATCATTGCATGGCACTCAACGGGTTAACTAAACATGGTGGTTGGTTGGTCATTGTTTTAGAATCAACTTTTATACATTTAATTTTAACCATTTTTGCGAATTTCCCTTATAGGAATAATGTTTCTTCATAATATTGCCAAACGGCTTAATCATTTTCAAAATAAACTTATCACACACTTTTATAGAAATTTCTATATTTCGGCATTAGCCTTCTTCAGGAACAAACACAATAACAAATAGAAGTGTTTACCACTCTGAATCATATGGTTTTAGCAAAAATCCAAAATACATATAATTTATGAAGAAGTAAAAAAGAAAATGTTTTGATAGAAAGAAAGAAAAAAATTTTATATATATATGTATATATATACTATCTCAAATTTAGACCGGAAGGTGTTTTAGATTTAAGTATTAATTGATGAGCTTGCTCAAGCTGTCTTAATTTCAAGTCTGGTGCGTCTTTTGCCAATTTTCTTATTCCTTTTAATGAATAACATTGTTCAAAATTTTGAGAATGCTCTCTCGCATGAATAGCCACAGGTTTTTGTTTATCAGGATGGTTTACATCATATCTGTGGCCATTCATACGAACTCTTAGAGCATTGGTGGTTTTGCCAATGTAGTCTTTAGGACAATTTTTGCATGAAATTTGGTAAATTACATTAGTAGACTCACAGGTGATGTTACTATTTATGTTATAACATCTTTTTGTTTGCCTGCTTGTGAAAGTTTTTGATGGGATGATTAATTTGCAAGTGGCACATCGTGGTTTGTTGCATTGATTACAGCCCTTTAATTTAATAAAAATTTAATAGACAGTCAAATAAAAAGCTCAAAAAATCCTAACACAGATAATTTCAAAAAAGATCCAAAATTCATCACCCAATACTTTCCTGGCCTTTACAAAGTTAATAATGTTTTAAGAGTGGCACATAATATTCTTTCAAATTCACCTCTGACCCATAATTTGTTTTCCAAACCCCCAAGACTAATATACAAAAAAGCTCCTAACTTAAAAGACATTCTTTCAAAACCCAAACTACCTCCCACTTCCCAACCCTCAGCAAAACCTTCGGGCTGTAATCAATGCAACAAACCACGATGTGCCACTTGCAAATTAATCATCCCATCAAAAACTTTCACAAGCAGGCAAACAAAAAGATGTTATAACATAAACTAGCTGTGTACCCGTTCTACGCACGGGGATCTTATAATATTCGGTTGAAACCTTCTTATATAACGAACAGCAGTTGGTTTGCATATTTTAAGATATGCTGGCCAAACTATTATACATAGCTTCATTTTATGTTGTTTTTTGTTGTTCCGGATCGGTATGACAATCAATAAAAGGTTAAATTACCTCTGTGTCTGCCGGTCGATCCTATAACGGTAGGCTTACTTTTATTTTTACTATCTGATCTCGTTTGCATGGCTCAATCACGTCCTGGTTGAAGTTCGTTCGCTACGCTCACTCACCTGTATGTTGGAGCTCGTTCGCTGCGCTCACTTTCCTTCAGGTTAGCTCGTTCGCTACGCTCACTTGCCTTCAGGTTAGCTCGTTCGCTACGCTCACTCGCCTCCAGGTTGCAAATTAGCTGTTGTCATAAATGTAAAAGAAATAATAGTGCTAGTGCTGCACCCTGTTGGTAATCCTTGTAACTTTAATGCTATTGAACATCACAGAACAGAACCAACTTGTTTAATTGAAACAGCTGTTAAGATTCAATAATTTCATTTCTCATAAGGTTAACATGGGCTTCCAGAAATTCCACGTCAAAAATCGACAAAAACTTGATTTTCAAGGGTTTACTGTTAAATATCTAACTGTCTCATATTCGATGAAATACGTCTAAAACCATCTCATATATGTATAGTATTTGGAAAATAAGTTTCAGGCGGGACAGTGCTATAGTTATTGAGGAGTAGTTGTAATAAAGTGCGTATTTTAGCGTTACCAAGAGAATGACAGATAGACAGACAGACAGACAGACAGACAGACAGACAGAAATTGAGATAAGGTTTGATTCGGTTTCTCTGACCTATGAAATGTAAAAATAACCAAAAAGTTCATTATTCTAAGCAATGTACAGACAAAACTCTAATTTTATTTATATAGATAGTAACATCACCTGTGAGTCTACTAATGTAATTTACCAAATTTCATGCAAAAATTGTCCTAAAGACTACATTGGCAAAACCACCAATGCTCTAAGAGTTCGTATGAATGGCCACAGATATGATGTAAACCATCCTGATAAACAAAAACCTGTGGCTATTCATGCGAGAGAGCATTCTCAAAATTTTGAACAATGTTATTCATTAAAAGGAATAAGAAAATTGGCAAAAGACGCACCAGACTTGAAATTAAGACAGCTTGAGCAAGCTCATCAATTAATACTTAAATCTAAAACACCTTCCGGTCTAAATTTGAGATAGTATATATATACATATATATATAAATTTTTTTCTTTCTTTCTATCAAAACATTTTCTTTTTTACTTCTTCATAAATTATATGTATTTTGGATTTTTGCTAAAACCATATGATTCAGAGTGGTAAACACTTCTATTTGTTATTGTGTTTGTTCCTGAAGAAGGCTAATGCCGAAATATAGAAATTTCTATAAAAGTGTGTGATAACCTTATAGGAATAAGCTATTGCCGTTGGTCTCAAGGCGAGACCCGGAAACAGGACTGATTTACTTTTTCGTTTTGATGTCCCTAGAAGGGGGAAGCACCTCAGAATTTTTAAAGGGGTAAAGCCCTCGGTCAGTATCTAAGTGCGAATAGTCTTAAACGGATCCTTGGTATAGTAGTTATTTTTTGGTAAACTTTAAGCCCACTCAGTTCAGTGGCTTTTGCGCCAGTTAGTAACACACATACAGACATGGACCATTAGATATATATATATATGTCCGTTAGCCAAAAACTCAAGTAAAAATTATCCTATTTTAATTAAATTTTTCACAGACATGTAAATCTACTATATTCACTACTATAACTATAAGGCACTATCGGAATATGAGATCAGGGTTTCATGGGGGGTTTTATGGGGTAAATATTGGTTTGAAGTGGATGATACAACACACAATCAATTAATTGTTGCCTGTCCACTGTCCACAAATACTTATTGTATTCTTGAAGTAAGATTTAACACTTTTGTTCTAACATAAGGTTGCATTATTGACCCAACTCCTAAGGTGTAGGCTGATAACTTGATCAACTACTGTAGCTAGCGCTTGGTGATGGGTTTGGTGGTGGAGGTTAGACAATTAACAATACAATACAATACAATAACAATACAATTAACTAGAGTTAATCTTATATCCAAGGAAATGCAAGGCTACTATACCAGGTTAATTTACCAAGGTGGATTTTGTCTAACAGGTGTAGGAAAGTTAAAAGTTCATTATTTGAGGATTTCAATTTTTATGTCTACCTAATAATAATTTACTAAGTTATTACCATGTCACACAGTTAATAATTATAGAAGTTGATGATTTGTCTTAATCACAAATCCCGCCATCTAAGTTTGCAATGCATATAACTAACATAATTGTAAATCTTAACTATTATTATTTATTATTTTTAGTTCAGTTTGTTTTCTTAAAGTTACGTTGCTTTTTGTATACAAACTTTTTAATTAGGATAATAGCTTCTCACAATGTAAAATATTAAATCCACATAAACCCCCAACAAATATGGTATCTGTCGTGAAACACATGACATAGTTCCACTATTAAAGTTGCTGTCAAGAATTTCTTCTAAGCACTCGGTGACAAAAAGGTAATTTCTCCTAAGCATTATTGTTAAATATTGCAGGGTTTGTTATGAAATTCTAAGTTTCAGGAACTTTGTAATATTCATTTACCATTAGTTTGCCTTAGCTCCTGACAATACAGTTTGATGTACATCCGATGTCACACTACGTGGTGAAATGTACATTTTATATACAGTGTCTTCAGGAACTAAGGCCAACTGAATGTAAATAAATAATAAATTTGGCAGGGAGTAGTGCAATTAATCATTAACCCATACATAACCCATACATTGTTTTAATCACAAACTACAAAATATTTGACTGGCTCATATATTTTGATCGGTACTATCACAGCCCTGTGTTTGTGGTAGGTGACGGAGAAGAAGGGGAAGAAGAGGTAGCAGAAGATCCTCAAAATCAGCTGATGCAACTCAACAAAGTGGAGAAAAGTCACCTGATCGTGTGGCAAGTAACTCTTCCTCACTGAGAACGCGACTAAATCAAAGGAAAAACACACCGATCAATCTAGAGTCCTACGGAGGGAATCAGTTTGATCATTTACTGAAATCATGTCTAGCTTTACATTCATCAATCAATTTTAATTTGTCAATAATTGTAAATAACAGAAACATCGGGTGATATGCAAGATGCTCCGTAGTAAAACTAAACGTGTTATTATTTATTATGTTGGTTTATTTTGTTATAGAAAATATATTGTGGATATTATTAATTTTAATTGTAATTGTTCTTATTTATTAATGCAATATATTGTATATATGTTTTTAGAGTGACTTTTAAAGTTGGTATTTTTTATTTATACTGAAAATATTTGTGGATCAATTAGTCAACAAAGTGTTAGTATGTTTGATTTTTGATTGAACAATGATGTTTTCAATGAATTTTTGTTCGTGGAGATTGTCATAGTTAAGATGCCTAGTTTGTTATTAAATAAAAAAATTGTATGTTACGAAATTAACGATACTCAAATACAAATACATACATTTTGTATACAGTCAGCCATTAGACAACAGCTGTGTTAATTGGTGTCGTGCAATGTAAAATATAAACATTGCATATTTGTATGTAAAAGCTTGAGCACAGTGTACATTACAAATGTATAAACATTTAGTAGTTTTGTAACTTGAGGTTTGATTAGTTATAGATTAAGTTTGTCCAATTGTTTTTATAGTAGTTTTTTTCTGTACTAAATTATAAATAATTCACCTTTTTAAAAACAGTAACAATAGTAATCCTTAGTAACAAATTTTACGTATACCAAGTTAATGTTATGCTTGCAGTATGCTCAAGGTAGAGGCTCTTTAAACAGTTTTATAACATTTACCAAGATTTAACCTTTTAATTGTGATAATGATGTACCTTGCTTGGTATGATTTTAAGGATTCGCCAAAGACATAATGTTTACTTTTACTTATGTAAGCAGTCCTTATATAGATTGTACAAATAAATGAATTTTTAACAAAATATGTTCATTTTACCCTGCGTTAAAATAGCTTAAGCGGTTGTGTCAATTAGAAAGGTGAGCAGGAAAACTCCTGGGCAAAAACTCTCCCCTACCACCATCGCTATTGTTATTTTATTGATTAAGTTATTTCAATGATTAATTGCCATTGGATTAATTTAATACCATTAGCGTCTAGTGGTGTGACTACCAGACCAGTGTTGATGGGAGTCTCTCCCTCATTCCTCCCACACGTCATCCTAAGGGCCGGCACGCACTATCCCGACCACGACTCCCTCTGATCAGATACGACCAGTTTTATAATAGGAATAAATGGGCCAAAAATCTGTAGTTTTAAAATTCCCATGTTATTCTTATGGAGAATAATTCAACTGTTGTAGTTTGCTTATTTATGAACATATTTTAATCAAATTTGGAAAATACATTAATTTCTTACTAAACTACAGTATTAACATTTTACAACAAATAAACACTTTATTATCCTCCCTGTTGCAGCAAACCTAAGTACTCGTTAAACTAATTCTATTGAAAAAGGGGATAAATGTGATATTTTTAAGGAGACATTTTAGTGTGAATCCAATCAGGTAAATGGAAATTTGCCAAGTCTGCAGGTTTGCTGTGGCGGGGGTATTTAAATTGTATCATGGTTCAAGTCATTATAAATAAAATATTGCTATTATTAAAATAGGCACTGTACAAACTAGAATTTTTTTAGTATATGCACATGTGCTTCATAATTAATGGTTGGAATTAACCACTCTTTATAGCTCAGTGACTCTAATAGCATTGACTTTATAAAGTCAATGCTAATAGGGTAGAAGAGGAAGAAGAACAATGATGAGCTGAATAATCCTTTTTTTATAACAATTTACTAACCGATCAGCATTACATTGCTATATAGGTTAGGTATAATATAAGAAAAATATAGCATTATTAATTACATTAACATAGGTAGAGGTCAGCAGCTAGCCGCTCAGGCACTTATTTTCACTGTTTTAGTGGGTCGGACTGTAAAGGCGCTGTCCACCTATGAAACACGAATAAGAAAAAATGGTTATAATAAAACATCTTGAGGCAATCTGGGTTTTAGTCGGAGTCTATGGATTTCAGAAGGTTGGCCTGTGTTATAAAATCCAATGCTGCTGGTTAATGGAAGTTTTTCAAATAATTTTGATGTAATTTTCTTAATGAAATCTTCTATAAGTTTGATTCCCAGTTCAAAATGTATTTGACGGGTTCGAAAATACCAGGGACATTTTAGAATTATCCTTAAAACTTTATTTTGAAACGTTTGCAGATTACGAATCGAGCTTGATGAAGCAATTAATTCCCTATACCGGGCGGGCGTACAACAATAGTGGACGTAGAAGTGTTTTGTATAGAAGGATTCAATTTTTAATAGACATACATGATTTTTTGTTGATTAAAGGAAACAATTTTGATAATCTGCCATAAGCCAAATTTAATTTTTTATTAATATGAAATTTCCAATTTAACTTTCAGTCGAAGTACACCAATATATTATTGCTATTATTGGTATTTTATTGCTTGGTCAGGAGGGTTCCATGCAATCTGTTCTTCTAGAATTTCTAAATTTGGAGGCTGACGGTTTTCGGAGGGTAAAAATCTTAGCTTCATAATCCTGGAAAGACAGACATATGTCATGCTATGCCTATGCCTGTCAGCTGTATGTATGTATACAGAAAACAGCTGTTACAGTATTGAATATTCATCAACAAACTGAAGGTAACCTAACCATCAAACCAAACCTTACTAAACTTAAACTAACGATAGTAAAATAAATACCCCCGCCGCAGCAAACCTGCAGACTAAGCGAATTTCAGCTTGTCTGATTACATATTTACTAAAATATTTCCATAAATAAGATAAATAATACTTAACGAGTGCTTAGGTTTGCTGCTACGGGGAAGGTAAACAGTGTTTTCAGACCAAACGTCAATAGTATGAAATAAATAAATTTGCCAATTTTTATCAACATATATCCATAAACAAGTAAACTACAACAGATTTCATTTTTTTATAAGAATATCATGGGAATTTTAAATTTACACTTTTATGAATTTTCTCCGTAACCATAAGGCATACAACAATGCTTTAATATATTAAATTATTTTTTTTAAGCTCTATAAGATGGTTGGGAAAGAAATTCCAAAATTTTATGTTTTTAGGGTTAACCCCATAAACCCCCGTTCCCATGGTCCGATCATGCTAGTTCGCCAACTCGTTCAAATAAATTTAGGTTTACACTTTTATTCCAATTTTCATCAAAACCGGATAATTTTTGTTCGAGTTACCGTGCTAACAGACACACACACACACACGCACACACACATATATATACAGGGTGTTTTTTTTTTAACTTGCATCTTTATTTATGTAAAAACCGCAATAGATAGAAATATGCAGTTGGCGGGAATCATCTGTTGACGTAGGGGGCACAATTTTTTTTAATTCAACGTTACATTCACATTCCCCCCTTCCCACAACTTAATTTTTTTTAAATAGCAAGGTACCCCTTGTGACATATCAAATGAAAGAGCATAAAAAAAGAAAATGTTGGATGAACAAAAATGAAAATCGGTTCATAAATTTGTGAGATATTCCCCCCCCTCCACCCCCCCGAACTTAATTTTTTTAATAGCAAGGTACCCCTTTTGACATATCAAATGAAAGAGCATGAAAAAAGAAAATTTTTGGTGAAAAAAAAATTAAAATCGGCTCATGAATTTGTGAGATAATCCCCCCCTTTTTCCCCTACCCATAACTTTTTTTAATAGCAAGGTACCCCCCCCTTGTGACATATCAAATGAAAAATAAATTTCACCAAACATTTTATTTTTTCATGCTCTTTCATTTGATATGTCACAAGGGGTACCTTGCTATTAAAAAAAATTAAGTTCCGGGGAGAGGGGGGGAAAATATCTCACAAATTTATGAACTGATTAAAAAATTTTTTTCAACAAACATTTTCTTTTTTCATGGTATTTTATTTGATATGTCACAAGGGGTACCTTGCTGTTAAAAAAAATTAAGTTGGGGGCAAGGGGGGAAAGGGGTGGAATGTAAATGTAACGTTGAATTCAAAACAATTGGGCCCCCTACGTCAATAGATGATTCCCGCAAACTGCATATCTCTATCTATTGCTGTTTTTACATAAATAAAGATGCAAGTTTTTAAAAAAACACCCTTATATATGAATTTGAACGGATGGTGTTATAGGCCTCTGGGCACCTCGAAACAAAAAAGTAAATCGGTTCCGAGTCCAGGTCTTACCATGAGACCTTCCCTATATATCTAATTCTGTAAGCCCAAAATTTTACAATGAAATTGTCAGCGAATGGGAGGCCGTAGAAAGCTGGGACAGGTCTCATTTTAAAGGTCTGGGCATGAAATTTTGGGGGAAATTATTCATTTTTCTTAATTATGCACCAAAAGGCTACGGAATAAATTTATTCACATTTAAATAGCATGGGAACCCAAGGTCATGTATGCTTTGTTTGTTTACTTTAAAACATGTGGTTTTAGTTTATTTAAAGACATTTACAAATTACATGGTAATTTGTAATATGTATACTACTGTATTATAAAGCTGAAATAGACTTTTTTACAATTTTAAGGATCTGAAATTAGTTAATGCAGTGTGATTGGTTGTGTTAAGTATGTCTGAAAAAAGTTAGAAGGAATTACTGGAGTAGGCAAAGGGAGCATATTTTCCATGCCAAAAACCAAACTAATATCTACGGATCCTAATATGCCGTTTAAGTTTACAAGGATTCAATTCCCATTGCGATTAGCTTTCGCTATTACTATAAATAAAGCGCAAGGCCAAACCTTCACAAAAGTTGGCATTTATTTGAAAAAACCCAGTGTTTACCCAGTGGCCAGCTTTATGTTGCTTTTAGCCGGTAAAGCGGTCAGATTATGTTAAAATACTACCAAATAAAGACCATGGAATCTACTAATATATGGATAGGTACTGTAAAACAGAGAGATTTTGCATTTTACAATTTGGAGGATGACCCATTATCTCTATGTGTTTTTTCAAAGTGAATTTGTCTATATTCAACGAATTTTATATGTATTTAATTAATAATCATGAAGAATACTATTGAAAATGTTGTTTAGTTGTATTATGATTAGAAAGTTTAAATTATAAACACACCGCATAAACAGTCCTTTGGAATTTTTATTTCAAACAGAGCAGACATCAAAATGCATTATACAGCTATGTAATAACTATCATACATATTATAACATATAAAAATGTTAAACAATTTTTCAAGATAGTGTAACCCATGAGACTAATAATTTGTACAAAATAATTATCATTCAACTAGAATATATATATATATATATATATACATATTAAAAAACATATACATATATATACATAAAAAAAAGAAAGAGGTTATGGTAAAAATGACTTGATAATGGACATAGTTCGATCCGAAACATGTCGTCATGAAAAATAAAATAATTACTAAAAGGGTACTTTGTTATATATGTTTTTGATTTTTATTATATAAGTGTGTAGCCCTAAAATGCAAGAAAATAATATATACATATATATAGGGGCTATTGCCCCTACAAGCCACTAGTATATGGGAAATTCGCTAAAGGCCTAGTCAGTCGATCAGTCTACTTGCTCTTGCCGAAACCAATTAGTGGACGTCGCTCGCACAGTCGCACAGTACGTGAAACCATTGACTTTATATCTCTACGTGTAGATATATAAAGTCAATTGTGAAACACTGAGGCCGAGTCATATTAGAGGTGGCTGTGGTCATAGTCATAGGGTACGTCCACAATGCACGCTGGTATGAGCATGAAGTCAGATTCAGATTTTCGGTGCCGAGTGTCTGCCTCAGATGAGGTGGCCATAATGCAAGCAGGTTGTCAGCCGGACCTGTCTGTGTTGAGACCTATTTAAGGGATACTGTACATTGATACATACATGTTTTATACATATTTATACATATT